CTAACCCCCTGGTGGTCAGTGCGCATCATAGCTACGAGTTGAACGGTCAAACAATCACTTAGGCTTTTATATAGAGAGATAATAATAAAATAATAAGATAAAATAAAAACATTATAGATATATAGGATACCCAATGGACATCAAGATTAGGGCATTTCAAAAAAAAAAAAAAAAAAGAAAGAGAGAGTGAGATTAGGGCAGTTCCCACACTAATTAACATTCATCTACTACTAATATATATAATATCAAATAAGAAAATACACTATGATAGAATTAAAAGTATCTTGATGTAAACAGATCACACATTTTTATGCAACCTATCAGTGTGGGATGATATCTTGAATAAAGTGTTAAAAGGTTATTATGAGAAAATTTGACAATATATAAAGCTTCATGCCTATTTGAAGACTTATCCCCTGGATTACAACAAAGGAAAGTAACTTTGCAAATATACTTGTTGCATGTAGCATTTCAGCAAGATATTAAGATACTGTCTAAATTATAACATAAATTAAAAAAAATAAACTGGAATGTATGAATCACTCGCTTAAATGATCAATTACTAGTATTATGAGAAATAGGCACACTTAATAATATTAGGGCCTGGCCCATGTGGTTTAGTGGTTGAGTGTGAACCTATGAACCAGAAGGTCACAGTTCAATTCCAGTCAGAGCACATCCCTAGGCTGTGGGCTTGGCTCATTCACCAGTGTAGGGCATGCAGGAGGCAATGATTCTCTCTTATCATTGATGTCTCTAGCTTTCTCTCCCTTATCCTTCCTCTCTAAAATAAAAAATATATATATTTTAAAACATTAGGATGTTATAGACATTCTCATTTCACCTTTGAAATGGAGATATAAAAACTTAAACTGTCTCCAGATTTGAATTTGTGAAAAAAAATTTTCAATAGATACTTCTGATTTATAACAAGTAACTACTGATTTAGTTCTCAAATATTCTAACAACTTAAGTGTAAAATTTCATTTTATTATTTTAAGCAGCATGCAATATCAATAATTCATATTTTAAAAATCATCATTGTGTTTTGATATTATAATATTGATTCACATGGGCACAGACAATAGGGTGGTGAAGGCCTGGGGTGGGCAGCAGGGGGTGGGGCAGGCTGGGAGAGGTCAATGGGGGAAAAAGGGGACACATGTAATACTTTCAACAATAAAGATTTAAAAAATAAAATTGATTCACAAATTTTACTTAGTGCAATCTTATCTAAATTTGAAAATGACCTTCATGTGTGTGTGTGTTTTTTAACACTATCATCACAGTATTGGGGTCCTATTCAAGATGTTTCATAATTACATAATTACAAATTAAATTGTAAAACATGGCCATCTTACTATTGAAAACAAGATACATTAAAGAAGTACATTTAAAAAATATTATTGTTTGCCTCCAGGAAGGCCAGGAATGTAAATTTGTAATAATTTTTGGTATTGGTATAAATATTACATTTAAACTTAATGTTGTGAGTTTTAATATACCTATTTTTTTTTCAATTTTCCAACATTTTTTCAACTACTTTAACGTTGCAGAAAAATTACCATTAAAAAATTAGTAAAGAGAGTGTGTGTACCGATAAGACATTTTCTCTGGGTCCAGTGTGACTTGGCTTGGCACTGGCTATATCCCTAACTTACTTTCCTGGAAAGTCCCAATACTTTGTATATTCATTTTCTAACTAAATGTGTTTTTCCTTTCTCTAAATTTGTAGCAGGATTTCTCCCAGAAACAATCCCAAATCTGTAAAAATTACTATAGCATGCTAAGATTAGGAGCCATTAAATCTCTCCATAAATGGATATTTTATAAAATAAATCTTTTTTATATATATATATAAATTATCAGGATCTTTTAAGAAAGTGCAATTTAAGTTTTTGGGTTTTTTTTAAATATATTTTATTGATTTTGTACAGAGTGGAAGGGAGAGAGAGAGTTAGAAACATCGATGAGAGAGAGTCATCGATCAGCTGCCTCTTGCACACCCCCTACCGGGGATATGCCCGCAACCAAGGTACATGTCCTTGACCGGAATCGAACCCGGGACCTTTCAGTCCCCAAGCCGGCGCTCTATCTATTGAGCCAAACTGGTCCCGGCTATAAAATAAATCTTACTAACATACTACATGAGAAAGAAAAGAATAAAACTCATAGGAACAGTCCAGAAGATGAATGGTTCAGCACTTGCATATGTAGAGAAATATGTCTCCAGAGACGGTTCAGCAAAGCAGTCAGGAGTAAAGGAATAAAGCTTTTAACTTACTATTGAGAGGGCACCAAGTTAGTCCCCAAATCAATAGGCACATCCTTTAGTAGGCACATTCTTTAGTAGGCACATCCTGATACAAAGGTAACACAAAGATTTCATGCTATCTTTCATGCATATAGTCATACTAATGCTTACTCAATAACAAATTGTGCCCTCCCTCTCTCTTTTATTTTTTAAAAATATTTTATTGATTTTGTACAGAGAGGAAGGGAGAGAGATAGAGAGTTAGAAACATCGATGAGAGAGAATCATCGATTAGCTGCCTCTTGCATACCCCCTACTGGGGATGTGCCCGCAACCAAGGTACATGCCCTTGACCAGAATCAAACCCGGGACCTTTCAGTCCACAGGCCGATGCTCTATCCACTGAGCCAAACCGGTTTAGGCTCCCCCTCTCTTTTATATTGGTGATATAAAGGGGTCTTGGGTGGCAGGGGTTTTTTCTCAACAAAATGAAGGAGTTTCTCAATACTTCTCAACAGAGAAAGAAAACAATTCCCTGTCCTGTAAAGCTAAGTCTTCTGTTGTATTAAACTAGAGGCCCAGTGCATGAAATGTGAGAGTAGGATCCCTAGGCCTGGCTGGCAATCAGGGCCAATCTGTGGGATGACCAATGGGGTGATGTCATGTGTGTGTGTGTGTGTGTGTGTGTGTGTGTGTGTCCCCCCCCCCCCCCCCCCCCCCCCCCCCCGCCTGCTGGCACCTGCCTTGCCTGGGGCCTACAGGCTGGGGGCAGCTCCTGCATTGAGCGTGTCTGCCCCCTGGTGGTCAGAGCGTATCATAGTGACCAGTCATTCTGCCAGTCCTTCCTCAGTTCCACCTATTTGCATATTAGGCTTTTATTATATAAGACTAGTGGCCCAGTGCACAAAATTTGTGCACATTAAAGGGGAATTAAGAGGAAATATTTTAATATTACTATTGCCCTTTCTCTATAATAGAAGTGTCAGAGGTGAAAGAAAATTAGTAAAATGTAAAAGAAAATTAGTAAAATGTATATGAAAATCTCCCTCCTGTCAGAGTCTGGGGCTCGCCGTAGGACTGAGAGTCAAGTCTCTGCCCACCACCTGCACATGTAGACTGTGGCATATTAACTAATATTTCTGAATAGCTCATAGGGAATAAACTTATTTTTTATGAATTTAACCCAAAATTTCCACTTGTTCATTTTAGGTTCTGTTCCATAATACATGTTTGCTTTTGTAATATTAACAGTTTAAAGTACTCACTATTAAGGAAAATTGATGTAGAAAGATGGACCATATTTTACAGTATACTGTGACATTCAATACCCCTTAGCATACTTCAGTGGTACCGAGGTTCAGAAGTAGTCTTACTGATCAGTTCATGAAACATGGCTTCATAAACTTCTAGAAACACTTATCAAAAGAAGCTTTGTAACGCATTTTTAAAAGACAAAGGAGCCCTAACCGGTTTGGCTCAGTGGATACAGCATCGGCCTGCGGACTGAAAGGACCCAGGTTCGGTTCCGGTCAAGGGCATGTACCTTGGTTGGAGCACATCCCCATTAAGGGGTGTGCAGGAGGCAGCTGATCGGTTTCTAACTCTCTTCTCTCTCTCTCTCTTCATCTCTGTAAAAAAGCAATAAAATATATTTTTTAAATTAAAAAACAAAGGGCAGATACTGAGTGTTTGGGGGTATCAAGGAACTCATTATACCATCTTTACAACTTTCCTTTAGTCTATTCTAAAATAAATAAGACTATTTTTAAAAATTCCACCTTTAGAATTGAGGAACCTCAAGGGCCTATGACTTTTCACTAATACTATAACCTGAATGATAGCAGGTCTTAAAACTTTTAATTTTCCCACACCCTATTAAGTTTGAAATGAGCTCATCTTTAAGCTGTTGTAGTTCTTGGGTTCCAGTTTTCCTATATTTTTTAAAAATATATATTTTATTGATTTTTTTTACAGAGAGGAAGGGAGAGGGATAGAGAGATAGAAACATCGATGAGAGAGAAACATCAATCAGCTGCCTCCTGCACCAACCCCCCCCCACCCCACCCCCCCCCCCCCCGCTGGGGATGTGCCCGCAACCGAGGTACATGCCCTTGACCGGAATTGAACCTAGAACCTTTCAGTCCGCAGGCCGACACTCTATCCACTGAGCCAAACCGGTTTCGGCCAGTTTTCCTACATTTTGACAGCTTTTGCTATTTTACTCTGTTGGAAATAGTGAGGAAAGTTGAAGCCTTCCCAAGGTCAACAAGTGATGATCAAAAAGGAAGAAGTTGGAGAGGGGTAGGTAAAGGGACAATTCACCTTTAGGTCTGCCATGAAGTAGCACCAGTATATACTAGCCCAGTCACTATTCGGCAATAGATTTAAAAAATTGGTAATAACATACCCTAACCTAGTCACTTCTTCACAAAAAAAGGGGGGGGGGTGGACTCGAGGACAAGCTGTACTGGCTGACAGGGGGTCGTTACTAGAAGAGGGTCCCTGCCCTCTGCTCTCCTACAGGACCTCGCACTCGTTCTGGAAGGCCTGGGCGAGGGCAGGAGAATGTTGGCAACGACACAGCCCAAGGTCCGGAGAGTGAAATTCTCCAGCCGCAGCGCCCGGAGGACCTAACCTGCGTGCCCGCTGCGAATGAATGAGCGAGTGTCGCGCAAGGCCTGGAGGAACTGCGCACGCGCAGAAGGCGCCCCGCTCCGGCCGAAGAGACCGCACGCGCCTGCGCGCTCCTCCCGGGCGGGCGGCAGCCTTTTCCCTCCGGGCAGGTGAGAGGCCGCCCGGCCGGCCGCTCCCTGGCCCCGCCCCCTGCGCGGCTCACCCGCCAGGCGTTGCTATGGGGATCCAGCGGCCGCGGCCGGCGGCCTGGGACTGCGCCACCTCTGCGGACCAGGCGCCGGCGACGGCGGGAGGTCATGGAGCCCCCGAGAAGCTCGGATGTGGAGGCCCGAAGGCTGAGGGGCTTGGGCCGCTGCCGGCATTTCTTCTGGCTGGGCGTCGCCTTCGACGCAGTGGGCGCGACGGTGCTGTTCGTTGGGATCTTCTCCGACCTCATCTTCTACGACTTGCTCCTCTACCTGGGTTCCATCATCATCTTCCTCAGCCTCCTCTGGTGGGTCTTCTGGTACACCGGCAACATCGAACTGAGCCCCGAAGACACCTGGAAGAGGCCCATCCGCATGGGCACGCTGGACCAGCACTTCTCCTTCACCTTGAACCTCACCAACACGTTGGCGCGGTTCCGACGGGACCACCGCAGGAGACTCCTCCAGAGTACCACTAACATTCGGAGTCCGTCCTTCACCATCCAGGTACCCGACCCGCTAGCAAAAGAGGACCAGGTCCAGGACAAAGGCAGAAGGAAAAGTGTCAGATACAAAGACGAGGCTAAAGCCTCAGGCAGAGAGGTTCTGGGCCCGGAACCGGAAACGGAAGCTGTAAAACATTCAGAAAGAGTTGGCCCCCCAGGCCCTGAGGCTGGTCCTCTGGGCCCCGAGGCTAGACGATCGTCAGGCCGTCTGGTGCATCCCAAGTTCACGCCATCAGAAGTTCTGGACCAGCCCCTGCCTGCCGACATTGCCTCCTCTAAGAGCCTGACTGTGGTCCCATCATCCTCTATTAGTCAGCCTCTAACTATTAATTATTCTAAGAGCCTACCTACTTCGTTGGCCTCTGAGAGCAATCCTCTAATCACTATTACCTCTGTGAGCCTGCCTGGTGTCCCCTTGCCCTCTTCAGGTCAGCCTCTGGACACTCTGGCCTCTGATATCGAGACTGTAGATTCCGGAGTCTCACAAAACTACCCCCTGGTGCACGTGGCTGCGATGAGCCATTTCCCGACCCCAGTCGACTCGGAGAGGGATTTCCAGAGTCATTCTCTAGACACTCAAAATCAGGCTTCCCAAACCCAGGGCTCTCTGACCCACCTTACACCAGGCACATTTTTTCAGACCCAACCTGTGCACCCATGGGGCGCCGTGGCTGGCCAGGACTTACAGTCCCTGTGTAACACCCAACCGTTCTCTACGAGCACTGTGGTTCAAGAGATTGCGCGCAGCCAATCTCCACTTTCCCGGGAGCCATCAGGGGGCCAGGAACTAAGCCAGGAAGTCCCTGACGCCATATCCCGGCTCCCGGAGTCTGAGTCCGTGGCTCCAGCTGCTGAGGCCCGGAAGTCAATGCCCCATGAGAATGTGCCTGCCCCTACCACCCAGAACGGTGGCCATCTCTAATGCAGAAGCAGATGCTCTGGCCTCTGCAAAGTAAGTACCTTGGGAGGAATCTTCACCTACAGTATTTCTTGATCATTTCCAGATCTACGTTCTAGTTGTTTTCTCAACCTCCTCTGTTTAAAAAAAAAAAAAAAAAAAAAAAAAAAAAAAAGGGGCGGGGGGGGGCGGTTAAAAAATTAAGTTAGTGGAAATGAAGTGGCCTTTTCTTTTTTTTTTATTAAGTTATTATTTTTGTACATATACCAATGCCCCCCCCCCTCCCGTGTATATCCTCCCTCCCCAGAGTTTTATGTCCATTGGTTGTACTTATATGCATGTATACAAGTCTGAAGTGGCCTTTTCCCTCAGGGATTAGATTTTTGGAACTTCGGTGCCCTGAGCTATAAGATTTCTCACCTACTCTACCAGATACTAATGTGAATAGTTTCTTTTATTTAGGCCTAATTGGGAAAGGGTGGAATTACATTCCCTCGTGGAGCTCTCCGGTGAAAGCTCAATGTTTCTGAAACAAGAGGATTTTAGGTGGTACAGGGACACAGCATTAAATGGCAGTGAGTTCTTCAGTGGGCAAGTTGCTCTCTTTTCGGTTCTTCCTCCATCTTTGTGATTATGTTAAAGAGAATGTCCTTAGTTTGGGGGTGTTAGTGAGCTCTTACATCTCTATCATTTTGGTAGGGCCCCCAGCTGGGATTTAATACCATTTGTGTTAATAAAGCCATTTCAATGGATAACTTCTATTGCGAAGTATCACTGGTTTTTCCATTTAAAATAGTGTTGGTTGCACCCTAGCCTGTTTGGCTCAATGGATAGAGCGTCAACCTGGGGACTGAAGGGTTCCTGGTTCGATTCTGGTCAAGGGCATGTACCTTGGTTTCAGGCACATTCCCAGTGGGGGTGTGCAGGAGGCAGCTGATGGATGCTTCTCTCTCATCAATGTTTCTGACTCTCCATTCCTCTCCCTTCCTCTGTAAAAAAATCAATAGAAATATATATTTTTTAAATAAAGTAGTGTTGGTTGCTTTTTAAAAAAATATATATGTTTTAATTGATTTTAGAGAGAGGAAGGGAGAGAGTGATAGAAACATCAATGAGAGAGATACATGGATTGGCTGCCACCTGCATGCCCCCTACTGGGGATCAAGCCTGCAAAACCCTGGCTTATGCCCTAACCAGGAATCAACCAGGGAACTCTTGGTTCATGAGTCACTGCTCAGCCACTGAGTCACACTGACCAGGCTGCTTTTTCCTTTTAATCCTCACCTGAGGATATGTTTGTGTGGTGTTTTTTTGTTTTTTTTTGTGTGTGTGTGTGTGTGTTTTTTAATTTGAGAGAGAGAGAAGGGGAGAGAGAAACATTAATGTGAGAGAGAAATATCCATCAGTAGCCTCCATTTTCCACTCTGACTGGTGATCAAACTCACAATCATAGGTATGTGCCCTGACCAGGAATCAAGCCCAAAACTTTTTGGTGTACAGGACAATGCTTCAACCAACTGGGTGACTGCTTTTTGAAATACATTTATTTAAGAAAGAAAAACAACAACAACACATGAGTCAACTTAAAGATAAAAGTTAATTATATAAATGAAACTTGGAACAATGCTGAAGTTTGGACATTTTCTTATTTGTCCTAAATCACATGCACTTTCTACTAAATCACACACCCTTTGTGCTAACCTGTTTGATGAACTTTATGGTTAAGGCTATTGAAGGTGCTTAACTCTCCATTCCTTTGACAATTAGAAAGGTAGAAAAGGCCATGTGAATGTCAAAATTGGTGGCCCTGTTTTCTGTGAGTTAATTGCTGTCACAATAGTATACTTTGCTGAGAATCGATTTCCTGGTCTTTCTAATTCTCTTCCATGTGTTACCTGCTCTTTGGGGGATAAGAGGAAAGGGTATGAGGCAGAGCAATTTGGATATTATGTTATGGTATTTGTTGCTCAAAAATATCAACATATTGGCTCAGTGGATAGAGCGTCAGCCTGTGGACTGAAAGGTCCCAGGTTCGATTCCGGTCAAGGGCATGTACCTTGGTTACTGGCACATCCCCAGTAGGGGGTGTGCAAGAGGCAGCTGATGGATGATTCTCTCTCATCGATGTTTCTAACTCTCTATCCCTCTCTCTTCTTCTCTGTGAAAAATCAATAAAATATATTTTTAAAAAATACCAACATATTATCCAAAAAGGTGTTCATCTTTATTTCATATTGGTTGACTTCATTTCTAGCATGGAATACAATTGAATATTAAGTGGAAGCCAAACTAGATTTCCTTACAGTTTTCTTTCATTCTCCTTTAAGAGATTTATATATAGCCAAAGCCGGTTTGGCTCAGTGGTAGAGCGTCGGTCTGCAGACTGAAAGGTCCCAGATTCGTTTCTAGTCAAAGGCATGTACATTGGTTGCGGGCACATCCCCGGTAGCGGGTGTGCAAGAGGCAGCTGGTTGATGTTTCTCTCTCATCGACGTTTCTAGCTCTCTATCTCTCTCCCTTCCTCTCTGTAAAAAAAATCAATAAAAATATATATTTAAAAAAAAGAGATTTATATATATACTCTCTCTATAGGTGTGTATATATGTATATATACATTACAAAGATAAACTATAGGAGCAAAGCATTTGACTCCTTTAGTTTTGTACAGTTTGGACACTGGGTTGTGTGTGTGTTTTAATATATTTTTATTGATTTCAGAGAGGAAGGGAGAGGGAGAGAGAAATAGAAACATCAATGATGAGAGAGAATCATTGATCATCTGCCTCCTGCACGCCCCTTACTAGGAATTGAGCCCAAAACCTGGGCATGTACCCTTGACTGGAATCAAACCTGGGACCCTTTAGTCTGCAGGCTGACACTAGCCACTGAGCCAAATCAGCTAGGACTGGACACTGGATTTTAAAATGAAATACATTAAGTGGTTTGTTCGTTTGCTTACTTTTTTTTTTTTTTTTTTTTTTTTTTTAAACAAGTAAAGAGGTCTTTTTTTCTTTTTCTTTTTTGCACTTACCATGCCATGAATTCATGAATTCACAGTGAATGGGTTCCAGCAGCTCAGGCTCCTTTCCATTGGTTCTCACAAAGTATCCTCCTCTGAATGGAGCAGGCTAGTGCTTCAGTTGAACCCAACTATCTTTCTCTTTGATTTCCTTATTTTCCTGGTTATTTTTCCTTTACATGTTTCAGGAAGCATTCTCAGCTCTAAGAGTGCTTAACATGCTCAGTATGTCTGTTAATTCTCTTGGGAAAGATCTTTCCCTTATTTGTTTACAACAATGCCCACTGCATGCTGGGTAACACTGTAGACTTCCAGTTTTGTCATGGTAACGTTTGTAGGGCATTCCTTGTGAGCAGTGCCATTCCTTTAATGTCTATAGTATCACCTTTCTTGTAGATTCGCATGTATGTGGCCAAAGGAAAAACTCCATGTTTTCTAAAAGGCCTGGAGAATATATTGCAGGGGCCCCTTGTCTTTCCCTTTGTGTTAGTCATTTTGGCGAATTACTGGAAGATGGTGGTTCTAGCTAAAAGGTAGGCAGGTTTGTTTATTTGTATTTTTAAAAAGAAGACAAAAAAAAAAAAAGAAAGAAAGAAAGAAAAACACTAGCAAACTAAAATAATTCCAGAAAGAAAGAATTTAGTATTAGTGAATGAGATAATTAATTTTTTCCTATTCTATTTTTTTTTTTCGGGTAAAATATATTATTGAAATACTTAGGATGCAGACTTTGCCATTAGAAAGCTTATAGATTTGGTTCTCTAAATCAAAAGAATAGCTTTAAAGAGGAGAACATTTTAGACAAGGAGAAGGAGTAGGTTGGTGTCTACCTAATAATTCTTAGTGGAAGAATTAGTTTTTGAGAGGAAGAGCCATGCAATGACCTTTATTTTTTAAATATATTTTGATTTTTGATTGATTTCAAAGAGGGAGAGAGAGTTAAAAACATCAATGATGAGAGAGAGAATCATTGTTTGGCTGCCCATCTGCATGTCCCTCACTGGGTATCAAGCCTGTAACCTAGGCATGTGCCCTGACTAAGAATTGAACTGTGATTTTCTGATTTATAGATCAATGCTCAACCACTGAGCCATGCCAGCCAGGTGCAATGAATTAATTCATTGACCATACATATATTATTTATATTTTTATTCTGACCATTTATTTTTTTATTTTTTAATATATTTTTATTGATTTCATAGAGAGAGAGAGAAAAAAACAGCAATGATGAGAGAGAATCATTGATCAGCTGCCTTCTGCACACCCCCTACTGGGGATTGAGCCTGCAAACCGAACATGTACCCATGACCAGAATTGAACGCTGGACCCTTCATTACACAGGTCGATGCTGTATTCACAGAGCTAAATCAGCTAGAGCAAACATACATTTATTGAATTTCTAGCAAGTGCCAGGCATTATAGTAGGCTCTGGGGATCAGAGCTAAATAAGATACCTTTACTCTCCAAGAGCTCTCTATTTATCAAGGGAGAGAAACATACTAAACATAGGAATAACTAACACAGTCTAATGTAATAGAAGTCTGGTCAAAGTGCTTTCAGAATACAGGTTTGCAATGAGTGAGAGATATTTTAGTTGGATTACCAAAGTAGGTGTTCATTGGGTAAAGAAGTTGGGAAGAACATTCCATGCAAAGGGAAAAGCATCACAGAAGTATAATAGTCCATGGCTTGTTGGGGACACCATTTAGGAAAAAAAACAGCCTGATAGGCAAGGGTGTCTATAGACAAGGATGCTTGAGACTCAGGTTGTAGAGAGATAGAGAAAGAGTTGGGGGTGGGGTGGGCACCAACTGAGACCAGCGTTAGAAGGATTTTAAATAGGATATTTTGGGTTCTTAATTCTACCATGGGCTCTGTGATAAAATAATGACAATAGGCAAATAACCTATAATAATAAAAGTGTAATAAACTAATTAGACTGGATAGCTGAATGGCCTCCCAGGCATCATTCTGGACATCCTTCCAGATGAAGCCACAGCAGTGGAAGCTGAGGCAGAGGTGGTTATGGTGATCAGGCAGACAGGCAAGCAGTTAGGGGCGATCAGGCAGGCAGGTGAGTGGTTAGGGGCGATCAGGCAGGCAGAGATAGTTAGGGGTGATCAGGCATACAGACAGAGTGGTTGGAGTGATCAGACAGGCAAGCAATTAGAATCCAGTGGTCCCGGATTGTAAGAGGGATGTCCGACTGCAAGATTGGGCCGAAACCAGCAGTCGGACATCCCCCAAGGGTTCCCAGATTGCAAGAGAGTGCAGGCTGGGCTGAGGATCCCCCCATCCCATGTACGAATTTCATGCATTGGGCCTCTAGTTAGAGAATAATTGCCAAGATCTCTCCAACTTCTAAGATGAAAACAGACCTATTAGATGTTAGCAACAGTTTTTAACTGAAGTGTAGGCTCCATGGGTATTCATCTTGGAAAACACTTTCAGGTATTTGTTTACTTGTACATGACTTTTTTTTATTTTTTTATTATTTATTTATTTATTTATTTATTTGCTTCAAAGATGACATGAAGAAATAATCATGTAATTGAAATCTGTGTCTGCATCTGTCCTCATTATTTTAATGACATTGGTTAAACGTGAAATATACAATTTAGAACTATCAGGGCTGCAAATATATTACTTTAAATAAATGTTTATTATAACTTTAAAAATAAGTAAATAGAACAGTTATTGAGAAATTTTCTATTAAGGCCAAGATAATAAATATTTTAGGTTCTGAGGGTCAAAAAGCAAAATCAAGACCTGGCTGGCATGGTTCAGTGGTTGAGCATCAGCCTATGAACCAAGAGGTCATGGTTCGATTCCTGGTCAAGGCACATGTCCAGGTTGCTGGCTCAATCCCCAGTGTGGGGCATGCAGGAGGCAGCCAATCAGTGGTTCTCTCTCTCATCATTAATGTTTCTATCTCCCTCTTCTTTTCCCTTCCTCTCGGAAATCAATAAAATATATCCTAATATATAAAAACCCTGGGTTGTATGACCAGTAATGACTGAGGCTCAACCAACGAGAAGTCAGTCCTAGCTGTGGCAACCCAGCACTGTCTTCTTCTATTGCAGGTGGTGCCCCAGCACTGACTGCTGAGGGGGCTGTGAATCAGGGACAGAGAGAGCCCTGAAGAGAGAAGCAGGGACTATTCTGTCACCATTGTGGCAGCTTTTGATCAGCAGTTGCCTCTCTTTTTCTCTCCCAGTCTGGCCAGCAGCTGTGCCTCCATTTCTCTGCAGCCCCACCTTTGTGATCAGGCCCTGTTGATAGACCCAGAGATGCTGACTGGCATAGGAACTGACCAATCAGAACCAAATGTGGGTGTTGTGAAGATCCAATGGCTGCCTAGAAGGTGGAGCTTCTAACACTGACTGGCATAGACACCAACAATCAGAACCAAATGTGGGTGCCTAGGAGGCAGAGCTTTTGATGCTGACTGGCATAGGAACTGATCATTCAAAACCAATTGGCCAGCAGAGGAGGGCAGTTGGGGGTGAGATCAGGCCGGCAGGCAGAGGCAGTTAGGGGTGATCAGGCAGGCAGCTGTGCAGTTAGGAGCCAGTGGTCCCAGATTGCAAGACAGCTGTCCCCCAAGGGGAGAGGGTGCAGGCTGGGCTGAGGGAACATTCCCAGTTGGAGAAGGTGCAGGCTGGGCTGAGGGAACCCCCCTCTGTGCACAAATTTCGTGCACTGGGCCTTGTGTGTGTGTGTGTGTGTGTGTGTGTGTGTATTAAAGCAAAATCTAGGATATTGTGTGGCTGCTTATCTAACATGAAAGAAAACTCCTGAACCCCCTCTTTGCCTGGGGTATGCTGTACTGTTAGTTGCTTTGACTCCAGTTGCATCAACTGAAGCCATGAAACTGACCAAAAACAACTGGCCAGAGAGAGAGAAAAGAGGGGCCTGGACAGTTAGGCCTGCAGCCAACACGATATATTTCACTCTGCCCAGTGACACCCAGATCTGAGGGTGCCATTCTCTCATCTCAGAGAACCTGGCCATCTCATCTTGGTTGGTTGGCTTGAGGAGAGGTGATTTGTTGAGTCTCTGATTCCTAGATTGAGATTTCATTTCTTAGTGCCTGGCATTGCCATCACTGGAGTCTACATGTGTAGGTGGTGATGCTCAGGCCCTGAGCAGTCCATTGGCCAGACAGCAGGCACTGGGTGCTCTGGAGATAGTAGGTGGAAACTGATGCCCAGGCTTGGACTTTGAAGTAACAGCGATAGCCCACAGCAATACAAACACACAGAGTGGGGAGGGTACTACTGGCATGTAATGTGTAGAGGCCATACATGCTGCAAAACACTCTTCAATGCACAGGCCAGCCCCTCACAACACAGAATGTCCAACCTAAAATGTCATGTTGATAAACACTGACCTAGAATAATAAAAAAGTACTCTATAGTCTATGAGATACTTAAAGAAAAAAAAATCTTACTTTGATCCTCAAATTAATCATTGCTTCTTATATAATACTAGAGGCCCGATGCATGAATTTCATGCAAGGGCTCAGCCATCGCAGCCACAATGGCTTGCCTCAGCCTTCGCTGCCCCAGCTTCATCTCGAAGGTCGTCTGGAAGAATGTCGGGTCTAATTAGCATATTACACTTTTATTATTATAGATGATATCTTTTCCACTAGACTATTTTCCACTAGACCATGAGGATCTTATTCATCTTTATTGTATTCACCTTTGTATTCCCATTTGTATCATTTTTGAATCAACACACATGGAGCATTTGTTAACAATACTAGCTACATTTATTGGGTGTTTATAATAGACATTGTACTAAATAACTTACTGGTATTATCTCCTTCCTCACACCAATCAGGAAGGAAGTTAGCATTTGCTATTGAAGGGTTGAAGATTTGATAATGTGAGGTTGAGTAGTTTTCTCAATGTCACACAAATGGAGAAGCTGAAATTGATGTATAATTGATGTGTAATTTGTTATAAGACTTATGTTATAAACTTTTCTTCCAAATTAAACTTATTAATGAGCCTTTTTATTAAGCCTGTTAATTGTTAAGTTGTAATATTCTAGATCAGTCAATGAGCGACTTTTTTTTTTAAAGCTGTACTTTTAGAGAGAGAATGAAAATCAACAACTCTAATTTTTTGTTTCAGTCTATGTTTATAAATGTCATTTCAAATAAAAAATTGTTTTCTTTTTCTTTCCAGAACTCACCAATGTTTCTACATATTTAAGTGCCAACTTTATAAAAGTATAAATACATTCATCTCATTTTGGAAACCTCCATATGGAATTTTGACCAATTCATACCAGCAGACTTGCTAGACTGCCTTTGCCAAGTATATGTTTCAGTGTTGGGGAGAGTTTTCCAGCTGCAGATAATAAAGTTATTTATTTCCAGAACTTTTAAGCCATAATATATTAGGCCATTCCTAATATATTTGATATATAAGTTTGTTTGTTTGTTTGTTTGTTTTTTAAATATATTTCTCTTATAAAAGCATTCTAACATTCTAAGTGGAAAATAATGTCTCACGTACTCTGGGTAAAGATGTAAGTAAATATGATTCCTTTGGAATGGACATTGAAAATGTAACTTCTTGATTTTCAGGATATTTTGTAACCTCATTAGCTATTCAAAAGGTTAACACAATCAATGCATTATAATATATTACAATTTATATTTATATGTTCATTTGATTTCAGTAATATCTGAATTTCCCTTTTTCCCAAGGATTTAAAATCTGCTGATTTGGAGCCCTGGCTGGGTAGCTTGTTTGGTTAGAGAATCATCCTGATATGCCAAAGTTCACATTTGATCCTGGGTCAGGGCACATACCAGAATCAACCAACGGGTGGGTAAATAAGTGAAACAACAAACCTCTTCTCTCCCCTTCCCTCCCCTCCCCTCCCCTCTTTCCTCCTTCTCCCTTCCCTCCCCTCCTTTTATTCTTTCTTTGTATTATTGGATTGTTTATGTAAGAATGCTCTAGCCTTGGCAAGTTTGGCTTAGTTGGTTGGAGTGTTGTCCAGAAAACCAAAAGGTGGCAGATTTGATTCCTGTTTAGAGCACATACCCAGGTTTTGTGTTTGTGTAGGAGAAAATCAATCGATGTATCTCTCTCACATCGATCCCTCTCTCTCTCTCTTTCTCTCTCTCTCTCTCTTTCTCTCTCTCTCTCTCTCTCTGTCTCTTCTCTCTCTCTCTCTCTCTCTCTCTGTCTCTTCTCTCTCTCTCTCTCTCTCTCTTCTCTCCCTCTCTCCTCTCTCCTCTCTCCCTTTCTCTAAAATTCAATTTAAAAAATAATGCTCTAATACAGAGGTAGTTTCCTTTTGAAATTTTTAATTATAGTCAAATATATATTTTTAGGTGGTACAATACTTTGGATTAAAACTTGCAAAATATTAGCTGTTTTTATATTTCTTTCTATTTTCTGTGCTATGTGTCACAAAATTTTTTAAAAAGACATTTTTCTTGGTCTCAGAGAGTAAGGAAAAGGGGAGAGAGAGAAATATCAATGATGAGAGAGAATCACTAATTGGCTGCCTCCTGCACACCCTCCTTAGAGATTGAGCTTGAAACCTGGGCATTTGCCCCAACCAAAGGACCAGAAGGACTGGTCGACCAGTTGCTGTGATGCGCATTGACCACCAGGGGGCAGACATGCAACCTGATGGTCAATGGGCTCCCACAGCCAATCTCCTATGGCAAGCCAACTTCCCCTAGTCCCTCCTCCTGGCCAGCAAACCTCTCACAGCTCCTCCCCCTGGCTGGCAGGTCCCCAGGCCCCGGCTGACAGCCAGCAGGCCCTGGCCAGCCTGGCCCTGATCAGAACTGGGCAAGGCGGTCCAATAGGCCATATCTCCAGCCAGGCCTAGAGACCCCACCCATGCAAGAATTTCATGCACCAGGCCTCTAGTCATTTTATTTTATTTTTATTTTTATTTTTAAAAAAATCAATCTTTATTGTTCATATTATTACAAAGGTTCCTCATTTCTTCCCCCCTCCACCAGGTTCCCACCCCACTCTCCGCCCTCTCCCCATCCCCCATTGTCCTCATCCATAGGTGCAGAGTTTATGTTCAGTCTCTTCCTCCCTCCCTTTCCCCGATAGTAAATCCCTTTTCAGAAAGTAAATCAGTTACTTAGCATTTTCTCATATCAATAATACCTCCACATGCCCAATGATACAGTTCACACAAAAGACATTTCCAAATAGGTCAACCAGCCTCATCCAGGCCCCACCCAAGGCACTCACAGATCAACACCCCAGCACTATACTAACTCAACACATCCAGATCTAATAGTCATTTTAATAAATGGAAAAATGGGTCATACAAATAAATATAGTTTTAGGATGTTCTTTATTTTCTGTTATAGAAGTAAATTATTTTTCTTCGACAATCTCAGTTTCTTTATTGTTAAAAAAAAAAGTACTTAATAAATAATGATTCTGACAGACATTAATCAAAATTCAACTACCCACGAAAGCAGGACTGTGTATCTTATTTCTTCCAACAATGTGTGGCAAACTAGTTCTCATTAAATATTTGAGTAAATTTTAGTATAGTAGGCAGTCATTTAAAAAAAAAATCATGTTATAGCCTGGTTGGCATAACTCAGTGGTTGAGCATCAGTCTATGAACCAAGAGATCACAGTTCAATTCCTAGTCAGGGCACATGCCTGGGCTGCAGGCTCGATCCCCAGTAACTGCCAGAGGCAGCTGATTAATTATCAAAATTTGTGAAATTTAGCTAATGCAATTTTTGGAAGAAAATTTAAAACTTTAAAGTCTTATATTAGAACATCAAAAATATATAAAATCAAAAGATATATAGAGTGAATGCCCCAAATTTTGAATCTAAAATAAATGTGTGTGTGTGTGTGTGTGTGTGTGTGTGTGTGTGTTTGTGTATGTACACAGTGTGGGGCAAAAGTAGGTTTACAGTTGAGAGAGTAAAGGCAGTCCTCGGGTATATCAGACTCGAGGTACATCATTTCGTGGTTACATTGCCATCTCACATTTTTTTTTTTTAAGTTCCAGCCGAAACCAGTTTGGCTCAGGGGATAGAGCGTCAGCCTGCAGACTGAAAAGTCCCAGGTTCAATTCCAGTCAAGGGCATGTATGTTGGTTGCTGGCACATCCCCAGTAGGGGGTGTGCAAGAGGCAGCTGATCAATGATTCTCTCTCATCGATTTTTCTAACCATCCCTCTCTCTTCCTCTCTGCAAAAAATCAATAAGATATATTAAAAAAAAGTTCCATCATTTTGATGTATGCACATATGTGCTTTATGTTTTTTATTATTTATTTACCACAAGTAAAGATCAGGAATTATTATCTTTCTTTTAATTTTTTTTTACTGTTTCACTTCATTACTGCTGTGTATGTGCTCCATGTGAGTGATATAGCTGCTTATGTTGGTGGGTTCCAACTTATGGTAAAATCGCATTATGTCGAGCCATAGGAATGGATCTCCGACATAGCCTCAGAACCTACTGTACATGAAAGTTTATTCTTGCATTATTACTTATTGCATTATTATTTTTATTTTTTTCATTTTTTTCAAGAAAAACGATTTTAAATATAATAATGTTACATGCAAAAACCTTAGTTTTTTAAGAAAAACAATGTTAAATATAATAATTTTTCATGTAATAAACATTAATATCTCAAGAAAAACTTTTAAATATGATGTTACATGCAATAAACACCAATTATTTAAAAAATGATCTTATATATTACATGCAATAAACATTATTTCAAGAATAAGAGGATTTTAAGTATAATAATATTAACAAAACTGGACTAACATAGTATGATATCACAAAAGTTACAGGAATTCTGCAAATAATAGGATTACTACTATTTTAGAATATTTTCTCCCCTCTTGTTCTATTTTTGTTTATCAGTTTACATTGTTCATTATATTCCACAAATGAGCGAGATCATATGATCTTTTTCTTTCTCTGACTTGCTTATTTCACTTAGCATGATGCTTTTAAAGTCTATTTTGTCAGATATGAGTACTGCTACACCAGCTTTTTTTTCCCCCCCACTTGCATGGAAAATATTTTTGCTATCACTTCACTTGAATTTTGTGTGTGTCTTTTGTTTTGAGATGGGTTTCTTATAGATAGCATATAGTTTGGTCATGTTTTTGTATCTATTCAGCTACCCTTTGATTGAAGCATTTAATCCATTTACATTAATGGTTATTATTGAGAGGTATTTATTTATAGCCATTTTAATTCTGTATTGCTAGGTTTTTCTCTCTGTTTCTTCTTCTCAGCAATGCCCTTTAGCATTTCTGGTAATGATGTCTTGGTGTTGATGAACTCTTTTAGTCTTTTTTTTTTGTCATCTGGGAAGCTTTTTATTTGACCATCTATTTTGAATGATAGCTTTGCTGGATATAGTCATCTTGGTCTCAGATCCTTGCTTTCCATTACCTGGAGTATTTCATGCCACTCCCTTCTGGCCTATAGATTTTCTGATGAGAAATCAGATGTCAGCCTTATGGGAACTCCTTTGTAGGTAACAGTTTTCTTTTCTCTTATTTCCTTTAAGATTTTGTCCTTAATTTTTGGCATTTTAATTATTATGTGTCTGGGTGTGGTTTGTGTTCTTCTTGTTTGGGGTTCTCTGTGCCTCCTGTACTTGTGTGACTTTTTCCTTTACCAGGTTAGAGAAGATTTCAAACAATTTCTCTATTTCTTTCTCCCTTTCTGCCTCTTTTGTCACACTTACTATTCTGATATTGTTACATTTCACATTATCCCACAGCTCTCTTAAGCTGTCCTCCTTTTTTTTGTTGTCGTTTTCTAAAATATATATTATTGCTTTTTTACAGAGAAGGGAGAGGGACAGTCAGAAACATCGATGAGAGAGAAACATCAATCAGCTGTCTCCTGCACACACTCTCCATCGAGGTTGTGCCCGAAACCAAGGTACATGCCCTTGACCAGAATCAAACCTGAGACCCTTCAGTCCACAGGCCAATGCTCTATCCACTGAGCCAAACTGGTCAGGGCTGTCCTCCTGTTTTTTAATTGTTTTTTTCTTTTTGGTTCTCTAATTGAGTGATATTTTCAACTCTGTCTTCTAATTCTCTGATTCGATCCTCAGCTTCCCCTAATCTTCTGTGTATTCTTTCCAATGTGTTCTTTGTGTTATGTCATTTTTTATCTCACACTGTTCTTTTTTCATAGTTACTATATCTTTTTTCATACTGTTGAGCATTTTTAACATCTTTACTCTGAACTGTTTCAGATAAATTTCTTATTTCTGCTTCATTTATCTCTTCTAGATAATTTGCTAGTTCTTTCATTTGGGGGTTGTTTATTTGAGGAACCTCCTCCCGCATGCACAAATTTCATGCAATGGGCCTCTAGTGTGTGTAGATATCTTTATTTTTTTTAATATATTTATTATTGATTTCAGAGAGGAAGTGAGAGGGAGAGATAGAAACATCAATGATGTGAGAGAATCATTGATCGGCTGCCTTCTGCACGCCCCCTATTGAAGATCAGCTGCAACCCAGGCATGTGCTCTTGCCCGGAATCAAACCCAGGACCCTCCAGTCTGCAGTCTGACGCTCCATCCACAGAGCCAAACCAGCCAGGGCTATAGATATCTTTAATTATATATTTTATTAATGAATGGAGTTTTATAAAGGTAATTGACTCATAATATAATCACTGACACTGGAAAAAGGAAAACAACCAAATGGGATATCTATTTTTAGTTTCATTATTTTAAAAAATATATTTTATTCATTTTTTACAGAGAGAGGAAGGGAGAGGGATAGAGAGTTAGAAACATCAATAAGAGAGAAACATCATCAGCTGCCTCCTGCACACCCCCTTCTGGGGATGAGCCCACAACCAAGGTACATGCCCTTGACCGGAATCGAACCTGAGACCCTTGAGTCTGCAGGCTGATGCTTTATCCACTGAGCCAAACTGGTCAGGGCTTGTTTCATTATTTAGAAATTGTTGCTATGGCTCTCCCCAACATTCAAACATTTGAAAAACATTTGTTGAGCATTTAGAATGACCCTTCATCCATAGCAAAGATTCATCGGAAGCTATTTGGCACAATATGACCTCATTTCTTTATCTTGGGTTAGAGAAAAGCACTTGACCCAAACTTGACCAATGAGAAATTCTTTTCTGATGCCCTAAGGCATCCTTGTATGCTTAGAACAGATTTTCCTTTTATGTTTAGGATAGCTTGAGATAGTTTCTGATACTTTCAAACCAAGAGGCTTTATATTTTATTTTTATTGATTCATAGAGGAAAGGAGGAGAGGGATAGAAACATCAGTGATGAGAGAGCGTCACTGATTAGCTGCTTCCTGCACACGCTTTACTGGGGATTGAGCCTGCAATCTGGACATGTGCCTAGACAGGGAATCAAACATTGACCTCCTGGTTCATAGGTCGGTGCTCAATCTGAGCCATGCTGGCCAGGCTCAAGCCAAGAGGCTTTAACCAACAGAACCACTCTAGGGATAATTGTAAAATTCATCTCTAGGGGAAGACTGCTCTTTTGAAAAAATAACAACAACAACAACAACAACAACAACAAAAACCCGGCTTAATGGATCTACTGGGTATATGAAAGTAAAGCAAAAAACCATCCTGAAAAAACAAAAAAACAAAAACCATCCTGGAATGAAGACGCTCAGGACAATTTCGAACAACTGTAATTTACAGTGAGGTGACAAGGTGACTATAATACATTGTGGGCAAAGCTTCATCTTTGCAGGCAGCTTGCTGATGTTTGTTTGCTCTATTGTTTTGGGAAGTGGGCGTGCCTTTATTTACTTTGATTTGATTTAGAGACAAAAAGAGATGGGACTCTAGAGAAGGCAAGACTGGTAAAGGCTTCTTTTCCTGGCAAGAGGAGTTGGCTCATGAAACCAGGTAATGGAGGAGAGGATCCCAGGGAAGGGACATGACCAAAGCTTTCCAACTGTGGGTTATGCTATTTAGCTTTAAGATTTTTCTTGCAAGCTCAGGCTTCCACTGCAAATATTTTTAAGCATGGCAATCTTGTCTTAGCTATTCTTTGGAAAAATAAGGAAGGGTCTGTGCTCAAGCTTAAGAAGATATTGCTGGGAGTGTATATTGGCACAACTTTGGGAAGCTCTTGGACTGTTTCTTATATACCCTTCACACCAACAATTCTACCTTAAAAAATTCTCACAGGCAGGTTTTAGAACATACAAGAATATTCGTAGCAATGTACATAATGGGGGAATGGAGAAAGGAAACTAAATGTTAGTGACAGGAAATGGATATATAAATCATACAGAGAAAATAGAACTACATACAACAAGGATGCATCCTAGAAACAAAGTTGATTGAAAACAAGCAGCAATATAATACAGCATGAAAATAAGTTTATCAAGTTCAAAGACAAGCAAAAATAAATAAGGCGTTATCTAGGAATACATATGGTAATATAAAGACATGATTTTAAAAAATCAGGATAGTGAATACTTTTGGAAGGAAGCAGGGAGAAGGTATGATCTGGGAAAACCACATGTAAGCTTCAATAGTACAGGTTAATATTCTTTTTCATAAATTGGGTGGTACACTTTATGTTTTGTAATTTACATTAACATATTTTTTGTACATATCAGACTTTCGTCCCCTTATTTTTTTCCATCACCGTTTGTCCCCCTTTACCCTTTCCCCCCTTCCCCATACATGTTAGACTTTTTTTTAAAAAAATGAAAGAATTGTCATATTGCTTGACAGTACAGAGTTATACTTCTGACAGTGCCAATGAACTGTGATTTAATTTTTTTTTTTCCTTTGGGGGTGGAGGGGAAGAGATTCCTATTTAAACAGGTGTGTTGTAGCATCGCTGTGAGCTAGGGCACAATTTCCCATTCTGCCCAACATTCTGTAGGAACTCTAGGGTGAAGGAAGCAATAGTGGGACCATATGGCCAAAACCTGTTTGGTTCATTGGATAGAGCACATGTGTCAAACACAAGGCCCGCGGGCCAAATCCGTCCCGCCAGGCCTTGCAATGTGGCCCGCACCGCGCTGTCATCACTGCACTCCGCTGCGTTTCCATCACAATGACAGTTTATGACTGTTCAGTAAACCATTCGGCCCGCGATTTAGGCTGGATTTTAGATTTTGGCCCCTTCTCTGATTGAGTTCGACACCCCTAGGATAGAGCATCAGCCTGCGGATTCAAGGGTCCCAGGATCGATTCCCGTCAAGGGCAAGGGCATGTACTTTGGATGCGGGCACATCCCCTGTAGGGGGTGTGCAGGAGGCACTGATTGATGTTTCTGGCTCTCTATCCCTTTCCTTTCCTCTCCGTAAAAAATCAATAAAATATATTTTAAAAAATAGTGGGACCATATGGAGACTTACTTATTTTACACGTTGTAAAGCAGAATATTGTTTTATATTTCACAACTTGCTTCAGCTGATATAATGTGTGTGTGTGTGTTCTTTTTAATGGGTTTTCAAAGGTTGCATTATAGAGACCAAGGGGGAGGAGTTGTCCCTCTTTCCCTACCAATTCTCCATCGCTCGCCACGTTCTGCTTCTTGTGCCAGGAAGACCCTTCGCTGCTTTGCTGAATTGGCTCGTGTACCTCCTTTAAAATTTTTAGTTCAGGGGCTAATGCCTCTTGGAAACTGGCTTCTCCCGCTCTTTGATTTCTCAACCTAGTAGGTCTTTGGGTAAGTCGCTCGGTCCAACCTCAGTTTCCGCGCGAGGATGAGGTTAACTTGGTTGTCCTTGAGGATAGTGCAGTGGATAGAGCTGTTTCCAGCGTCTAGCCGTCTAATCCGAATCCCTTTCCCACACGTCCGAGGCTTTGAGTTCATCACAGTTTGACAGGGCATGCTTCAACTTCGAAAGGGTGATAGGCACCCAGCCACCGCTTAGCACCTCCCCTGGGCGTGCCGCTCTTCCTTTGGGTTCCTCCGAACCCGGCGTGGCGGGCGCTGCGGGCTTCCTCCTCCCAAAGCCCTTCAGGCCCCGCACCTCCAAGTGGAGGCCGGGGTCCGAGGCCGGCGCCGAAGGGAGAGAAGGCGCCGGCGGCGCTCTAGCCCGCGAGCGCGCGCCGCTCCCCTCACGCGATTGGCTGGAGGCCGCTTCCGGGCCGAAGGCGGTGCTAGAGAAAGCATGACTTCCGGCGCGAGGCGCAGATGTCGCATTAGTCGGGCCCAATGGCGGCTCCGCTGCTCCACACGCGGTTGCTTGGAGATGCAGCCGCTGCGGCCTCTGGAGTGAAGACACTGCGCGCATCCAGGACCGGGTGAGTCCGGGCGGCTTCCCGCAGCGCAGCCGGGGCCGGACCGCAGGACCGGCGTGAGGGAGCGGGTCTGAGCGGGCCTGGCCCGCCAAATGGTGGCGGAGGGCGGGGGGTGGGGAGGGGAGAAAGGGGAGAGGATCACCTCAGGTTCTCAAGAGTAAGCCCATGCTCCCTAAGTGCATACTAAAGGTGGGAGAGAGGCCGGAAAAATTCATCTATTTTCTGCTCCAGAGTCCGGTTTTCTCCTCACTGAGCCCCTCTGTCATAGCGTCCCAGGCCTGGGTACTGTCTTGGGCCTTCTCCCTCCCGCTTCTTCGTCTAGATTTGGAAAGTTTCCTATTTGGATCGTAAGCGCAATGCTGTCATTGATGGCAAATTGACTCTTACTTCTTAGTCTGAGATTTGCTTCGAGGCACATGTGTAACATGTGTCCCTTAACCCCCCCAAAAAAGTATTTTGGGGCTTAACTTCTTGAGAGTCACTAGTAGGTAGGATTGTATGTTTTTCACTAATCTGCTGTTTAAAAGAAGCAAACTTTGTAAAACACCTAGCGTAATATGATTCGTTATATTTATTAAGCTCCTACCTACTGTTTTAGACACTGGGGAAAGCAGTCTGTCAAAAGACACAAAAGTAACTCCAACAGATTGTACAGTCTAGGAAGAGAAAGACAGTAAATAGATGAACTAGATAATTTCATATAATGATAACTGCAGGGAATAAATAAAACAGAATAAATAAAACCGTGTTGAGCAGGAAGAGAGGGGATGGGTATTTCAGATTTCTGATGGGTAAGACCTCTGACATTTGAACTTCAATTTGAATGAAGACAATTCAACCATGTATAGATCTGGGTAGTGAGTGTTTCAGGTAGACCAATGATTTTCAACCGGAGTGCTAAAAGAATTTTAAAAACGTGTAATACTTGACTATTCAGGTCACTGACCTCTTTTCCTTTAGATTGTCACAAAAATTACAATAACACAATAGCCATCTGGTGTGAATGAATCAAAATTTTACCTTTTTTTTTTTTTTTTTTTAACTGCTTCTTTATAGAAAGGAAGGGAGAGTGATAGTTAGAAACATCGATGAGAGAGAAACATCGATCAGCTGCCTCCTGCACACTCCCTACTGGGGATGTGCCCACAACCAAGGTACATGCCTTTGACTGGAATCCAACCTGGGACCGTTGAGTCTACAGCCAGCTATCCACTGAGCCAAACTGGTTAGGGCTACAATTTTACCTTTTTTTAAAAAGAAAATTAGTATTTATCTGTTTGTTTTTTAACATCATTAAAAATATATATTTTCTGAAAATATTTTTCCATTGGTTTTTTGAGAGAGAGGGAAAGACAGAAATATTGATGAGAGAAACATGGATTGGTTGCCTCCTGCATGCAGGCATCCGATTTAATTTGCCACCAATGACAGCATTGTGCTGACAATCCAAATAGGAAACTTGCCAAATCTAATGGAGAAGCGGGAGGGAGGAGAAGGCACAAGATGGTACCAGGCCTGGGACGCTATGACAGAGGGGCTAAATGAGGAGAAAACCGAACTCTGGAGCAGAAAACAGATTAACCTTTCCGGCCTCTCTCCCACCTGTAGTATGCACTTAGGGAGCCCGGGCTTACTCATGTCCTTGACTAGAATCGAACACGGGACTCATCAGTCTGCAGACCGAAGCTTTATCCACTGAGCCAAATTGGCTAGGGCATTTACCTATATTTTTTGGTCAGATTGGCAAAAAGTATATATGTTGGTGTGTTTGCAGAATTTTAGTAATTAGTTTATGTGCCATGAGATGAAAAAGTTTGAAAATCACAGAGATGGAGGAAACGGCAAGTGAAACAGGAACCAGCTTGGCAAAGAATGGAAAGGACATTGACTGCAGCCTAGTAAGGGGTTGGAAATGAGGTCAGAGCGGTAGAAGGGCCAGATTAATGAGGACCTTGAAGACCTCATTATGGAATTGGGATTTGTATTCTGAGTGAAGTAGGAAACCTTTGGAAAGTTGAACATCAAGTAGCATGATCTGTTTTAAGCTTCTGAAATATTAGATCTCTGAGTGAAGAATGGATTGTTGGGGGATAAGAGTGGAAGCAGGGAGAACAGTGAAGCACTCGGTTTAGTGTGTGAGTGGATAGTATGTCTCACTGAATGGTGATGGGTTGATAGATGCTGAGTTGTGATTTTTATCATTCTCTGTCATATACTTAATAGCTTGGTAATCTTGGTTGTACAGGATTTCAGATGTGCTTGAATTAGAGAATGATTTCTTCAACTCTCCCCCAAGAAAAACTGTTCGATTTGGTGGAACAGTCACAGAAGTCTTGCTGAAGTACAAAAAGGTAACAGATAACACATGGAGTTTGGTGCCCCCTTCCCCATCTTTATTGAGATATAATTGACATTGAGGTTTGGTTTTTGTTGGCCAGAATACACAGATAGCTATTATATTCTTTAGTTAACATAATAACATGATTTTTAGATATATATCTTGAAATCAAATATTTAATAATAGCATGATGCTGTCAGCTCAAAATTAGAGTAATAATTTCTTGCTGAAGTTTCACCTCTTCAGTTGCTTTATTTACATACTTTGTTTTTCAGCAAGTGCTAGAGTAAAAACACCATAGAACATAGCATTTTATTTCTCAAGGAATTACTAAAGCATTATTTGGAACAATAAACCATTAAGAGGAATATTTTGGGTTTATTTTTGTGTTAATTGAAAAGTGATTCCACTAAGTCTCAGCAATGGAGGGAAAAATAAGAATTTGTTTTGTTTAAATTGAGGTATAATTGACATATAATGACTATTTTACATATAATACCCAATTATATCTATATATGTGATGGATAGTATCAACTATCATTCAAATGTCAGTACACAAGTGTACCTATTTAAATTACTTTTTTAAAAGGGGGTTTTAATGATTTTAGAGAGAGAGGAAGGGAGGGAGAGAGAAACATCGATTGACTGCCTCCTGCATACCCACTACTGGGGTTTGAGCCTACATCCTAGGCATGTTCCCTGACTGGGAATCGAACCTGTGACTTCTTGGTTCATAAGTCAGCGCTTAACCACTAAGCATACCAGTAGGGCTAATTTTTTTTTTTTTTTTGTAAGAGAACGTTTATTAGGTAAATTACAAATAGAAAAAGTAATTCCTAGAATAAATTGCTTTTTAATTTCACTTTTTTCCAAGGCCCCTAGCCCCACTAATGTGAGTTTTTTTAAATTTCTGTGGATTTTGTAATCCACAATTGATGTGTGGAAGTTACAATGTTTCTTTTGTAATTTCATCAGATATTAAGATACAATTAAAGGCTCTTTGATCTTCAATAGAAAACTAAACCAAGTAAAACCTAATTTCCCCCCCTTCTTGTTAAGGGTGAAACAAATGACTATGAGTTGTTGAAGAACCAGCTGTCAGATCCAGACATAAAGGTAATTAATTTTATGTTTGATCATTATTAAAGTCGTTGCCACTTAGGACAGATGTTAGTTTGCACTTCTGTTTGATCCTATCTCATTGTTTAAAACCTATTCCCTCTGTGATCCTATCTTTTTTTTTTCTTTCTTTTTTCTAAGATTGTTTTTTGTCCTCATCAGAATATGTGTGTGTGTGTGTGTGTGTGTGTGTGTGTGTGTGTGTGATATTTATTTATTTATTTATTTACTAATTTCAGAGAGGAGGATTTGAACTTACAACCTGGGAATCAAACCTACAACCTTTTGGTGAACAGGATGATACTCTAACTGAGTCACCTGGCCAGGGTGGATCCAATCTTATTTTAATCCAATGGTTCTCATTTAAGGGCAGTTTCACTCCTTTATTTTTTTGTTTTAAATCCTCATCTGATATTTTTTCCATTGATTTTTAAAGTATCTAGAAGGGAGAGGGGAGTGGAACATTGATGTGAGAGTGACACATCGATTGGCTGCCTCCCCAACCGAGGCCAGGGTTGAACCTGAAGCCCAGGTACATGCCCTTGACTGGGAATCAAAACATGACACTTAGGTCCATGGCTGATGCTCTAACCATTGAGCAAAACCAGCTAGAACCAACCTCTTCTTTTATACAGTGATAAACGAGACAGTTTTGGTTGTCATAACAGGAGGAAGATAAGGGTGCTACTGACCTCCGGTGAGTGGATGACAGATAGTTGCTAAACATTCTACAATGCACAGGGCAGCCTTCCACAACAAAGAACTATCCAGCCCAAAGTGTCAGTAGTCCCAAGGGTGAGAAACCCTACTTTAAACTTTCCTAATACTCCTCCTCTATGCTGTAGGTCAGTGTTTTTCAACCTTTTTTGGGCAAAGGCACACTTGTTTCATGAAAAAAATCACGAGGCACACCACCATTAGAAAATGTTAAAAAATTTAACTCTGTGCCTATATTGACTATATATAAAGTAATTCTCTTGAATAGGAATCAAATAAACACAAAGAAAGTATTTTATAATTACTTTATTATGAAATATTAAGTAAACAAAATAGTGAAAAATAAAATTCTTGTCTTGTCTGCACCTACGGCACACCAGGCAAATGTGCCGCGGAACAGCGGTTGAAAAACGCTGCTGTAGGTAACACTCATGTCTCTCCAATGCAAAAACAAAACAAAGAAACAACAAAAGATGACTTGTCTTTCAAGCTGCTACTTTTTCAGTGTTTCAGAGTTCGAGATACGGTATATACCTGTCACGTAATAACAGTTCAACACATTTTGTTTCCCTTTTCTTCCTTTATTGTCCAATATTGGAAAGAATCCTCTGTTATCATGACAGTGGTAGTCAGATTGCCTGGGATAAAATTTCAACGCCACTGTTATCCAGGGTGTGATCTTGGACAAGTTATTTAATCTGTGTTTTTGCCACCTTTATGTAAAACCAGTAGAGGGTTTTTAAACAGAGGTGTTAAGAGGATCCAGTGAGTTAATATATGAGAAGCACTTACTAGTAGAACAGGCCCTCACTCAAATTAAGGGCTTCGTAACTGTTATCTGTTATTCCTGCTAATGATTTGCACTTTCTCATTTCCCATTCATGGTTAAGACCACTGCTATAATTACTATGAAAAGATTACCTGTGATTTCTTACATACTGATTTTGATGGGGTTTTTATTTTTATTGATTTCAGAGAGGAAGGGGGGGAGAGAGAGAGAGAAAGAGAGAATCATTGATGGGCTGCTTCCTGCATGCCTTCTATTGGGGATCGAGCCCTTAACCTAGGCATGTGTTCTTGACTGAAATCAAATCCAGGACCCTTCAGTCTGCAGGCTGATGCTCTATACCACATGTGTCAAACACAAGGCCCGCGGGCCAAATCCGTCCCGCCAGGCCTTGCAATGTGGCCCGCACCGCGCTGTCATCACTGCACTCCGCTGCGTTTCCATCACAATGACAGTTTATGACTGTTCAGTAAACCATTCGGCCCGCGATTTAGGCTGGATTTTAGATTTTGGCCCCTTCTCTGATTGAGTTCGACACCCCTGCACTGAGCCAAACCTGTCAGGACTGGGCTTTTTTTTTCTTCTCAGACCTCATACTCATATCCTTTGGGGGATAAAAATCTTTTGAGTCTTGTTTTGAGTCTGTCTAGATTCCTTCAATAATGTCTTTAGTGGTCTTCAGGTTCCAATTCTACTCTATCTCAACCCCCATTAAAATTTTTTTATCCTCAATAGTGCAGCCTAATGACTTCCAAAGCACATGCTAAATATGTCATTATTCTACTGAACATACTTATGTATATACTAGAGGCCTGGTGCACAAAATTTGTGTATGGGTCGGGTTCCTAGACCTGGCCGAAGATCAGGGCCAATCTGTGGGGTGACTGGCAGGCAATCAGGGGTCCCCACTGGCACCTGCTTTGGCTCGCCTGGGGCCTGCAGGTGGGGGCAGCTCTTACATTGAGCATCTTCCCTCTGATGGTCAGTATGTATGATAGTGACTGGTTGTTCTGCTGTTTGGTCAATTTGCATATGAGGCTTTATTATATAGGATATAAAAGGCTAAGTGATCAGCCAACCAGCTGGTAGGTATAATGTGCACTGACCACCAGAGGGCAGATGCTCAATGCAGGAGCTGCTGAGAGACAGCAACTTTGCAGAGTGCCCTCTCGCACTCTATGACCTCTTGGGGGATGTCGGATTGCAGGTTTCCCCGGGCCAAGCCTAGGGACCCACCCCACCTGCCAAAGGGACCCCGCTCACTCCACAGACATTCCTTCAAGCTGCAGCACTGCCCCAGGCCCCAGGTATGGCTGGCCGGGGAGGGACAATGGGAGGTTGACTCCAGGGTGTGTCTGACCTATCTCACCCAGTCCTACTGGCCACCTTCTAATTACCGTATTTTTCGGACCATAAGACGCACTTTTTTCCCCCCAGAAGTGGGGGGAAAAAGTCCCTGCGTCTTATGGTCCAAATATAGCCTACACATATACTTTAAAAAAAAAGTTTTTTTACTTGCCCGGCTCTGTGTGCTTGCCCGGCTCTAAAATGGTTCTAAATGCTGCTGTTTACTTTACAGGGTTGATTACATGTGTTTATGACTGTGATGTTGGGTTTTAATGCACATAAAATATTTTAGGACACTATTTGTTTCAGAATCTTTTTTTCTTCATTTCCCTTCTCTAAAAACTGGTGCGTCTTATGGTCCGGAGCGTCTTATGGTCCGAAAAATACGGTAATATCCTTTCAATGTGTACAAATCTGTGCACCGGGCCTCTAGTTGAAGAATAAAGGACCAAGTTCTTTTTATGGCCTATCGTATTTTTTTAATGTTCAATCTTATTAGATACTTCATTTCATACTTTTCATCTTTACGCCTTTATGTGTGCCTTTTCTCTCTGGCTGCCAGAGGTTCTCTGTATCTGGCTAGCTTTGTGACTGAGGCAAATTACTGCACTTTGTGCCTCTATGTCCCCATCTATAACATGGGAACCAATGGGAATGCCTAACTAAATGAGTGGTTGTAAGAATTAAATGAGTTAATGTATGTTAATGTCTTAGAACAGTGCCTGGCACAAAGTATAATATTGGTGTTTACTATTACAAGTGTTCCTCAACTCACAATGGCATTCCATCCCATTGTATGTTGAAAATACCTTAAGTAAAAAATGGATTTAATACACCGAACACTGTAGCTTAGCCTAGCCTACCTTAAACATGCTCAGAACACTTACAACAGCCCTCAACTGGACAAAACCATCTTGCTACTGTTGCCCAGCTTTATGCCGCTATCATAGCCTGGGAGAAGATCAGAGTTTAAGATCTGAAGTATGATTTCTACTGAATGTATATGTCATCATTGGGCAGTCAAAAATTTGTACTTCAAATCATAAGTAGGGAACGCCTGTAATATTACGGTAATTTACAAAAATCCTAGTCTTTTTTTTTTTTTTTTTTTTTTTTTTTTAAATATATATTTTATTGATTTTGTACAGAGAGGAAGGGAGAGAGATAGAGAGTTAGAAACATCGATGAGAGAGAGTCATCGATCAGTTGCCTCTTGCACACCCCCTACTGGGGATATGCCCGCAACCAAGGTACATGCCCTTGACCGGAATCGAACCCGGGTCCCTTCAGTCCCCAAGCCGATGCTCTATCCATTGAGCTAAACCGGTCCCGGCAAAAATCCTAGTCTTTGAGGTCCAGCTAAAATATAATCTGTAATAGAACTTCCCCTGGTTCTATCTAAGCACATGGTGGTTCATTCAGTCTGTTCCCCACACTTCCAGCAGATCTTTCTGATTGCACATCTGTCTTACAAGGACTTCAGTGGTTTAACTAGCCCTTCTTTGCTCCCCAGGTTTATCTATTGTCTTGCTCACCATGTACTCCAGCCATACTGAACTACTGATTTTTTTTATAAACATACTTTTCCCTGTGTAAGGAATTTAGCCCCTCAAGCACACTCACTCTTTTTAAAGACAGCAGAAGCATCACTTCCTGAGGACTATCCCTGACCTATGCTTTCTTTCAAAGTACAAAGGACCTTTTCTTTGTGTTCCTCTGTATTTTAAAAAATATATATTTTTATTGATTTCAGAGAGGGAGACAGAGATAGAAACATCAATGAGAGAGAGGATCATTGATCTGATCGTGTTGCCTCCTGCACAACCACCACTGGGAATCAAACCGTGACCTCCTGGTTCATAGGGCAGTGCTCGACCACTGAGCAACACCATCTGGGCTGTGTTCCACTTTTTTATGTTAGCATTTCTCATTCTTGGTATCTTGACATACAGATAATCACATTGGTTGTGTCTAAGTTAGTTCAGAGGGGTGTTGCAAGTAATTTGCTTCAGATAATTCAGTACTAAAGCACCAAAGTCTGACTGGTTTATTTTTAAAAATGGAGTAGTTTAAGTATTATTCTTATAATTTTGTCGTATGTAGTTTTTTGTTTTTTGAGGTTTTTTGTTTTTGTTTGTTTGTTTGTTTTTATGGGAAAGAGATAGGATAGAGCTAACTCATTTTATTTGCAAATACCTCAGCTGGTCTTTGCTCAGGTGGTGGTGAGCCACCATTAATGTTATCCTGCATGGTTGTGGACGTTATAAAATTACCATATGGCAAATGAGTTGTGATTTACTTTATTTTAATGGCAGCTTACTTTGGGGTTTCATCAGAAAATAGTCTAAGTGAAGTTTGTCACATAGCACATAGAAAGCAGTAGTAGTTGAATGAAGGTGGGGAAAGGTGGTGCAAGGCATTGTGAGAAGGTAGGTGGAGCTTAAGCTTTGACCCAGACAGACAGGTTTAAACCTGGTTCTTTATTGGCTTCTTGGTTGGGCAAGTTGCTTAGTAATCTCTCTTTCTCTGAACTGTAAATACTTTTGCAGTGCTGGCAGGATTGGGAAAAGATATACATGGGTGGGATTGAGCACCATGCCTACCAGCTGGTGTGTTCTCACTAAATGATACTCTATAAAATAGTCTGTAACTGTTGGTTCAACCCTGTCTTTTTTTTTTTTTTTTTAATATATTTTATTGATTTTGTACAGAGAGGAAGGGAGAGAGATAGAGAGCTAGAAACATCGATGAGAGAGAGTAATCGATCAGCTGCCTCTTGCACACCCCCCACTGGGGATATGCCCGCAACCAAGGTACATGCCCTTGACTGTAATCGAACCCTGGACCCTTCAGTCCCCAAGCCGACGCTCTATCCACTGAGCCAAACCGGTCTCGGCAACCCTGTCTTTTATTGTAATAGTGTATCATTCTAGCTACAACACTGTACTGCTTTTGTTTATTAGAGATCGTTCCCTAACTGAGTCTTAATCTGCATTAATTATTTATTTATTTTTTTTAAAAGGGGGCTTTTAGTTGCTGTTTTTTTTTTATGTTGTATATATGCATGTTTATAAACTTTTATGTAACTTGATACTATATTTTATTCATGGCTTGTTTTTCTTTTCTTTTTAAAAAAATATACCCATGGGTTAGTAACCAACAGATCAAAGGGGCACATTTCCTAACGTGACTGCCTGTGTTGTAGTCGGTGATAAGGTCTGGGAGCGGCCCTGCGGAGCCACGGGGTGTTGCCCAGGGTGGAAGGTGGCTGAGACAAGGTCTTGTGTGTGTGCGTGTGTTTTTAAGTTTGCATCAATCTTAATGTCTCTTCATGATACTTTTATAATGCATTAAGCCTCTTGTCTACATATTTGGAGAGAATATGACTTTACTAGCAGAGAAATACAATATATCTTATCTACTGGACTGTAAAATATATGTACGAAATAAAATTAGTTCCACTGGTCTTCAAAAATAAATAAATAAATAAATAAATAAAATAAAATAAAATAAAAAATATACCCATGGGTTAAAGTTTAATTTTCAGACTTGTCAAAGATTTCTCTATTCATTTAGCAGTTTTATTCCATATCATTAAGAATTGTATATAATAATTTTATTGCCTAAAAATATTTCATGGAGTAGAGGAATCATTAACATGTACCATCTTGATACATCTAAATCCAATGTCAGATTAGGTTGAGAAAATTTTATATTTATTGATGACTGTAGTTAATCAGCTTAGACTGAATATTATAAGTATGCTTTCATGTCAGCATTAATATAGAGGATATAGAAGTCCTTGTGGTCTTACAATATTTGAATATTGCAAGTCCCAGGTATCAAAGTTTGAGGGGTTTTCGCCTTTTTAGTGCAAACAAAAGTGATGAGAAGAAAGTACTACATTTAATTTCCTCCCTCCCTATGTAAAAGTTACTACAAAAGTTTTTTCTAAAATTAGAAAATTGATTGTAACATCTTTTTCCAGTTTGATACAAATTCAGAAATTTTCATCTCAATTTTGAATTTAGTTCAAGTTTGTGACTTTTTCTAATGTAATTATTGATAGGTGATTGGTGTAAGAGAGATATCATCTTCTCTGATATTTTAGAGGATTTATGATTTTGAAAGTACTGTTTTCTTGTTTAACTTAAGGATGACCAGATCATTAACTGGCTGTTAGAATTCCGGTCTTCTATCATGTACTTGACCAAAGACTTTGAGCAGCTTATCAATATTCTCTTGGTAAGTTCACCATTTACTTCACTGACTAGTATCTAATTCAGTACTTTAAAATACTATTTATTGCATCAGTGAAATGTTTCTTTTGTCTTTCTCTTCCTCCTGTCTTTAGAGGTTGCAGTGGTTGAATAGAAGTCAGACAGTGGTTGAGGAATATTTGGCTTTTCTTGGTAATCTTGTATCAGCACAGACTGTCTTCCTTAGACCATGTCTCAACATGATTGCTTCTCATTTTGTGCCTCGTAAGTGGTTCCTCTTTGCTTGCTTTGATTTTTCACTTTTTAAATATCTCTATTAAAATACTACCTTCCAAATAACACTTTGGAGATCGGGCCACCATTGACGATTCCAGAACACATGTTGGCAGCAGTTCTGGTACATCTCTGTTCCCTGTACTGCAGAAATGTTTAGGTTTGTTTGTCGCAGAGATTTTTATGGGTTGTAATTTACTTTAGTGAACTTCTGGCAAAGTCTTAGAACTTAGGAATTTTTTTCCTCCAGATTATGAATTTAATCGTTATGCTAGTTTAGATCATGGGGGGAAAAATCACTTTTTGTATAGATCAATGACAGGAGAATAACATTTTGTTTTTTCTTCAAAAACCCGAGTGGTCATTAAGGAAGGTGACAGATGTTTCTGATTCCGATGACTTTTTTCCCTCCAGATTATGAATTTAATCATTATGCTAGTTTAGATCATGGGGGGGGAAAAATCACTTTTTGTATAGATCAATGACAGGAGAATAACAATTTGTTTTTTCTTCAAAAGCCCGGGTGGTCATTAAGGAAGGTGACATAGATGTTTCCGATTCCGATGACGAAGATGATAGTAAGTATAAAGTGTATTAAAGCAAAAAATTATGCCTACTGTGTCTTAGAGAATGCATGTTGAAAGATAAAGCTTAATGGCAATCTTAATGGAACCTTTGCTTTTTATTGAGCACTAACATGCAATCAATTGCCCTTAATGCATTAGTTATATAATTAGTCCACTTATTCTTCATTGATAGTTGGCTGTGGAGAGAAATATTGAAATTATTATTTTGCTATTAAATGATTCAGTTTTGGTTACAGGTGCTTTTAGTTTCCAGTACATAATTTTTCAGTTTTCAGTTTTACTTTGATGTTCATGCTCTCATTTTTTGTCTTGTAGATCTTCCTGCAAATTTTGACACTTGTCACAGGGCCTTGCAAATAATAGCAAGATATGTCCCATCGTGAGTATACTTTTGTTACTTACTTTGAAAAAAGAAAATTGCAATCAATTAGTAGGAAACTAAAACTTGTTTATAGAAGCAAAATTCACACTGTGTGCTGCGTGTTTTTTGTATCCTGTTGTTATAACATCACATTCTAACAAAAAATGGCATTTTAGTTCTTTATTCACTGTCTTTATTTTTGAAAACTTGGATGCAAATTCCTCTTCCAAGTTATGTATAATGGTTGGAATTTTGCTTTTATTTTCAACAGATAAGATACCCAAAATTTTTCAGTGAGCAACGTCTCTGATTTTGTGTCATGCCATTTGAATAAAAATTGTAGTTCTAAGAAAACTTTTTAAGTTGTGTAGGTCTTTTGGAGGGGTGGACTTCATGTTCCCTCTAAGTTTATTTTCTGACTTTTAAAAAGTCCAAGTTGGTAATTTGCTTTTGTAAAAAAAAAAAGAAAAAGAATTCCCCTTTAATATGTAGTTGATATCAAAGGTTATAGAAGCTTATTTTCCCATAAGTTACAGATTTTCTGTGAAGGCATGCATTAATTTTAAGTTCTAATTGCTTGAAGTAGGCGTTACTGTTTGCCCCATGTATCCACATTTGCACTTACAATGGAAATGCTCCCTTCCAAGACGGCAGCTAACATGGATTGTTTGATTTTTTTTTTTTTTTTTTTATAGGACACCATGGTTTCTAATGCCAATACTTGTAGGAAAATTTCCATTTGTTCAAAAATCAGAGAGAACATTGGTAAGAAATATTTTCATGGGGGAAATAATGGAAAAATTGTTTTATGTGATTTGGTTTTAGATGCTGTTAGATCTAAGAATTTGACTCAAATTCCTTTCTTAGCCAGTGACTGAGTGTCCCCAGTGCCACTTTGATTCCTGTGTGCATCACAGGAGCCCATTTCAAAAATATTTGAATAGGCTTCATGATTATACAGATAAAAATTACTAGAAGGTAATAAGTCTTATATTATCAATGGAAATTTCCTTACTTGAACATGAAGACAGAGCCTTCTATTAGGTGAATTCTGTTTTAAGTTTAACTTCTTCTTTTCCAAGTTTTAGGTCATCTGTATTATTTTCAATAACTAATAGAGGTTCCCTTCTAAGCATAGATTACTTTTTCCTAAGTAAGTTATTACAAGCATTAAATAAGGAGTTGGTAAATTTTGCTAATGGTTATGATAGTCTGCTTTAAGAGGAATATTATAAATCCTGTATCTCTTATGAACATAGGTGCAAAAGTTTTCAACAAAGTAATTAGAATCTGAATATAGCAACAGATAAAAAGAATTGTGCATCGTGACCAAGTGAAATGTATTCTAGGAATACAATATTTGATTAATACTCCAAATCAATTATAACCTACCATATCAATAGAATAAAGAACAAAACCTATATCATCATTGCAATAGATGCAGAAAAAGCTTTTGACAGACAGCAACTACTAGGATTGTTGTGCTATAAAAAGATGAGAAACAACAAGAGATGGTGAAGATGTGGAGAAATCAGAACACTGCACATTGCTGATAAGAGTGGGAAATGGTTCAGCTGCTTTAGAAAACAGTCTGACGGTTCCTCAAAAAAAAACACATGACCCAACATTTCCACTGCTGCATATATACCCAAAACAAATGAAAGCATTTGTCCACACAAAACTTATGTGACTGTTCAAAGCAGCATTATTTATCATAGCAAAAACATGGAAACTGCTAAATGTTTTAAGTGATAAGCAAACAAAATATGGGTGTTATGTCTACAGTGGAGTATTTTTAGCAATTGAATAGCTTACTTGCTATAACATGAGTGAACCAAGAAATCTCACATAGTTTGAGATTTCACTTATATGAAATGTCTAGAATAGGTAAATTCATATTTTTTTCAATATAGTTTCTATGTTACTAGATAGTCTATTTTTTCTATTTCAGAGACAAAAAAAAGACTAGTGGTTACCAAGGACTGGGGAGAGGTACTTGACTAAAAGATAACAGGGTTTTGCTAAAACTGGTTTGGCTCAGTGGATAGTGTGTCGGCCTGTGGATTGAGGGGTCCCAAGTTCCATTCCGGTCGGGGGCATGTGCCTTGGTTGTGGGCACATCCCTGGTGGGTGTGTGCAGGAGGCAGCTGGTCGGTGTTTCTCATCAATATATACCTATTTTAATAACACTGTAGAAGTATACAAATTACAAATTAATTTTATTGGTGGTAATTTGATTATTACTGAACTACCTATTGACATGGCAACAGGCTACTCCGTTATATACAGGCAGAAACTGAATATATAAACAATATAGTTTCTATGTTGCTAGATAGTCTGTTTTTCCTATTTCAGTAATTGGAAATAAAGATTATGTAATTGATGCTTTTCTTACATAACTGAAACATTCTCTGTTGAAATGTTTATTTTTTCCTATTTTAGGAATGTTATGTTCATAACTTACTAAGAATTAGTGTGTATTTTCCAACTTTGAGGCATGAAATTCTGGAGCTTGTTGTTGAAAAACTACTCAAATTGGATGTAAGTATTTAATAGTATGTTTTCCTCCTTGATTTTTCTTTATTAAATATATTTGTTATAATCATAATATGTAAAACAGTAGCAATGGTAAAGAATCCATAGTTCCACTTTTGATTCATTTATTTGTACATTTCTTGAAATTCATCCGAGTGCTGGGGGTTATAGACAGTCCCATCTCTCATGGTTGGGGCTCATGGCATTAATTAGACAGTTGCACCAATATAAAAATGTAGTTGAGGTAAATGTTATGAATGGAACACACACATTGCTATGACCTGGGAAATCTGATGTAATCAGGAGTCAGGAAAGCATTTTTTTAAAAAAATATATTTTATTAATTTTTCACAGAGAGGAAGAGAGAGGGATAGAGAGCTAGAAACATCGATGAGAGAGAATCATCGATCAGAGGCCTGCAATAAGGTGCAATAGGAATGAAAGAAAGTGGATTCTCTTGACATTGTGGAAGAAAGGTGGACTTGGTCCTCTAGACTGAGTTGGAAGTGGAGAAGTAGGGATTAAAGAAAAGAATCCTTCAAAGGTAGCTCACTGTGGAATAGAATCTTGGTGTTGACATTAACAGTATAAGAAAAGCCTTAAGGAAGTTTGAAGATTGATGAGCTCCATTTTGGATGGATACTGAGGTGTGCAGGTTGGAAGCTGACAGGTGAATACTCACCAAGCAGCTGTAGCTGCAGGTAGGGGATTGAGTATAAACCTGTGGAATGATGCAATTTAGGATAGGAGAGAGGAAGTATGATTGGAAGTGGGAGGGAAACCAAGAGTGTGGATATGTGGGGAGGATTTGGAAGAAGGAAGGGTTTGGTCAACAGCATGAAATATAGCTGCCATTTTAAAGGAGAATTAGAAAAGCTAGAGTCCTTGGATTTGGTGAGGGGGGTAATCTGTTGCTTTGTCCAAATGGAGGGGGACACAGCATTTAGAGAATCTGGATGGTTAGGAAGTGAAGTTGCTGAGAGATCTCTATGAGGTCTGTGGTGTAAAGAGGATGAGGCAGGGAGAGCGGCAAATGTTAGTGTTGGGGAGGCTTGAGGTTTGTGGACTGAAGGGATGAGTTGGAGAACATTGGTCCTGCAGGGGAGAAGAAGGCTGGAATGAGGCAAGTCTAGCAAGTGCTGGGTGTTCGGCAGGCTTCCCCAGTGCTCACTCAGAGTCAACCTCTGCCAAACTGCATCCAGAATCTTTGTAAAGTCTTACCTGGTCTGTACTTATGGAACATTTTAGAGTGCATTTAGGAAGATGGTCATGTTTAGATAGCAATAAAGGCATGATTTGAATGATATATATATATATATATATATATTTTAAAATATATTTTATTGATTTTTGTACAAAGAGGAAGGGAGAGAGATAGAGAGTTAGAAACATCGATGGGAGAGAGTCATTGATCAGCTGCCTCTTGCACACCCCCTACTGGGGATATGCCCGCAACCAAGGTACATGCCTTTGACCGGAATCGAACCCAGGACCCATCATCAGTCCCCAAGCCGATGCTCTATCCATTGAGCCAAACCAGTTTCGGCTTGAATGATATTTTAAAAAGATATTTGAAGGGTTAGATAACAATGAATATTCATACTTCAGATTTAACTTGCATTTCATCATTTTTCTGCTCAGTAAATTGATGATATGCTTCTTATTCATATACAACATGTATGTGAGTATCTTGTGTATAGTATGAGTTGGAATAGATACTGAGTTTGTAAAAGCTATCCAAATTTAGACTAGTATACCACATATGCTTATATAAAATCATGCTGATTTTATATAAGCATATAGCAGTGGTTGGCAAACTGGGGCTCTGTTGACTAATGAGTTTGCCGACCACTGACCTAGACTCTTGATCCCAATAATTATAGGCTGGCCAAAACCTGTTTGGTTCAATGGATAGAGCATCAGCCTGCAGACTGAAGGGTCCTGGGTTTGATTCCGGTCAAGGGCATGTACCTTGGTTGCAGGCACATCCCCAGTGGGGGGAGTTCAAGAGGCAGCTGATCAATGTTTCTCTCATCGATGTTTCTAACTTTCTATCCCTCTCCCTTCCTCTCTGTAAAAAATTAATAAAATGGATATATTTTTTAAAAATAATAATTATAGGCTGTTGTTCCTTGTGATTAAGCCCCTATCCCAGTGGTCAGCAAACTCATTAGTCAACAGTGCGGTAAACTACAACTCGAGCGCCACAGTTTGCGGACTAATGATCTATGGTAAAAGGAGCTTGATTTATGATCTTGTAATTTCCTTCATGATCCAAACCAATTTTAGGTTTGTACTTTAATTATGTAATGAGTTACAGTGCTTATCTGGACACCTGTAAGGTATATACATCAAATGAATTTTCAGTTCCCGAATAATGTATTTTAAATGTTTTGTTTTGTTTTTTTCTTTGTTATAATGTAGGTGAATGCATCCCGGCAGGATATTGAAGATGCTGAGGAAATAGCAACTCAAACTGGTAGTGGAACAGATGCCACAGAAGGACTATTTAATATGGTCAGCATTTATTAGTAAAAGCAGTCAGACCTGACTATATGAGTCCCAGAGGGAGGGAAGAGACAGCTAATGGCATACCATCTCCTTCAAGGCTTTAGTTTAAAACAGTAGTTCAAACTTGAAAATCGTGTGTTTTTGTTTTGTTTTGTTTTTGTGTGTTTTGTTTTTTTTGGAAGTGATTTCTGAAATGAAGTAGTTTGCTTACTGCAACATGTTGATTTATTTCCAAGGTTTTAATTTGGGTTTGGGAAAGCATGCTTCTCTTTCATTCTGTTTATGTTTGTTTTTGTGACCACATTATTATTGGTGAGGGAGTGAAAAATAGAAGAGCATACCAATTTAATTTTTTTAAATACATTTTTTATTAAATTATTATCTGTGTACATATTTTACCATTGCGCCCCCCCCCCCATTTAATTTTTATATATTATAAGTTATATACCTTAACGCAGTATTTCTCTACCTGGGAAATTTCTTAAGTTGGGTTCACTGGGAGGAGAGCCTGAGATGGGGATTTGGGTGTCCTTGGACAAGGGAGTGAGGAAGCAGAAAAGAGCAGAGGGGAAGGACTTGGGGGGTGCCAGGAGGTGGGAGCATCTGTGATATTTGTGTGGTCACACCCTGCGAGGGTCTTCTAGGTAAGAATTAGAGGCTGCGCTCTGAACCTGTGCTTTTATTTTGAATTTCACGATTGGTTCTGATTTACACCTCTGGTTGAGAGCTGCTGCCTGGAATGGTATATATGTATTTTCTTTGTTTTATCTTTTAAAGGAAATAATCACCTCTAACAGTTTTCTCACTAAACTACTTCTCCTGAATTTTTAAATGTCAACTTTTACATTATCTTTAAAGGATGAAGACGAAGTACCTGAAAATGAAACAAAGGCTGACCCTGAAAGGCTCAATCAGATGGCACATCCTGTCGCCGAACGCCTGGACATCCTGCTGTCTTTACTTTTGTCCTACATTAAGGATGTCTGCTATGTAGATGGTAACAGCCTATTATAGTCACAATAGCTACTATTTATTGAACACCTACTAGGCAACTGGTTCTGTGCTGATAGAAACCCTGTAAAAATCACGATTGTAAGTATGAGGAAAAGAAAGTTTAGTGAGATTAAGTTACTTGCCAATATATCGGGTCTAGTAATAATTAATGTCGTTTTAAACATTCGTTTAAAATCTTGCTTGGCGTTGACTTGTATTGACATAACCTTCAAACACGTGGTATCTACAGAACGTGTGAAGTGCAATTAACAAGTTTTGCTTGAAAAAGTTTGTGTTTGGTTTTTGTTGCAAAACTAGGGCTAAGAAGATGGCGGATGAAGAGCATATTCGGCACTGCATGCTTTACGAGTTCCAATTAGGAAGAAAAGCAAGTGAGGCTGCAAAAAAACATCTGTAGTGCTCTTGGTCAAGATGCAGTTAGCGCCAGAAAATGCCAGCGTTGGTTTGAGAAATTTCGCGAGGGAAATTTTTCGTTAGATGACAAGAGTGGTCGAGGCCGTGTGTCCAATTTTGATCAAGAAGCTCTTCAAGCTCTTTTGGTGCAAAATCCTCAAATTACCCAACAAGAGCTTGCGACAACTTTAAATTGTTCACAGAAAACCATTTCCAATCAATTGCGTGCACTTGGCAAAGTCCAAAAGTTTGGAAAATGGGTTCCTCATGAGTTGACCGACAACCGTAATCAAAGAGTCACAATTTGCAGTTCACTCCTCTCTCGTCAAAACCGTTTGCCGTTTTTAGAGCAAATTGTTACCGGAGATGAGCAATGGGTGCTGTATGTTAATTTGAAAAGGTGGCCTCAATGGTTGGACAAAAATGAGGCTCCGCAGCCCACGCCAAAACCTGACTTGCATGCGGAAAAAAGTGATGTTGTGTGTTTGGTGGAATTTTAAAGGAATTCTTCATTATGAACTTTTACCATCTACCCAAACCATTACAAGTGCAGTGTATAGTGCCCAATTGGAAAGGTTAGCCCAAGCTTTAAGAGAAAAAGAACCCGCGCTGATTAATCGGAAGGGTGTAATTCTTCACCACGATAATGCACGACCGCATACTGCAAGAATCACTGCTGAAAAACTGCGCCAGTTGGAATGGGAAGTTCTCCCTCAACCTGCATATTCTCCTGATTACCATTTGTTTCGTGCTTTGCAAAACTTTCTTCTTGGAAAAAAATTTAATAATGAAGAATGCCTCAAAAATGCATTGACCGAATTTTTTGCATCAAAATCACAAGACATTTAAGAATGGTATAGTAGACATAGATATATGGCGCTCAGTGTTAGAACTGAGGTAGAGGGTCTTGGTACTGAAGTGGACAAATCCTCTGCTTTTTGTCTTCATGGAACGTTTAGTTGCATGGGGCATTTTGTACATTATCATAGTCATTTGCTTTAATATGTACCTAGTAGTAGGATTATTGGAATAAAGGACTTCTGCCCCATGAATTGTAAAATTGCCTTTTTGAAGGGTTCACATTGTGGCATCAGAGCAGTATGTGAGAGGTGAGGGCCTGCTTCCTGCCAGAGCTGAGTTATTACACTTGAGAAGGAAATTTTGTGCAAAATAAAAATGGCACAAATACATCCATTTCTTAATGGTTTTATTTCTTAATGTTTTTTTTTTCCTTAATAAAATAATGTATTATAAAACTTGAAAATAATGTATTTATAAAACTGAAATGCCATATTTTCTCTATAGGTAAGATTGATATCAACAAAACAAAGGATTTATATCGAGAGCTCATAATTATTTTTGATAAACTCCTGTTGCCCACCCATGCCTCCTGCCACGTTCAGTTTTTCATGTTTTATCTCTGTAGCTTTAAATTGGTGAGTATGTCAATATTATCATAAGCTTATTTTATTCTTGCCCATGTTTTCCCTTAAAAATTGGGGGTGGTGGGAGTAGGGAAGGGAGATCATGAGGTTTTTCTTTCTTTGTGGGTTCATTTTACTAGTACCATTAATAAAGTACATGCCCGCCCTGGCTGGTTTGGCTCAGTGGATAGAGCATCGGCCTGTGGACTCAAGGGTCCCAGTTCGATTCCGGTCAAGGGCATGTACCTTGGTAGTGGACACATACCCAGTATGGGGCATGCGGGAGGCAGCTGATCAATATTTTTATCATCAATGTTTCTAACTCTCTGTCCCTCTCCCTCACTGTAAAAAATCAATAAAATACATTTAAAAAAAAGTACATGCCCTTAAATATGTAGTATAGAGCTGAGCAGAGGGTATTGTTATTGCTGTCTTCCAGCTCAGCCACGTGCTCTGAAAACATCATCCTGCATTTGGTCCACTAGGTGGTGCTGGATTAGAATCTCAGATGGGATATTTAACTTCATTTTTTTAAGTCTCTCTTAGTTGATCCTGTGTAGCCCAAACTAACTCTTTAATCTATATTTTATAACTTTAGGGTTAGGTTTTCTAAAAAAATGATTGGAAGATTCTACTCATTTGTAATTATTTTGTAGCTTTCTAGAACAATCGGTATTTTCATGATTAAGAAGGTTAAAGTCAGTCTGTGTCAAAGTAGAGGTTAATAGTTTTTGAAAAGAGCTATTTGGAAGAAATTGGAAGTTGCAGTCTTTGTTAAACAGAAGCTTACTCAGTCTATCTCCGTGGTCAGCAAACTGAGGCTCGCGAGCCACTTGTGGCTCTTTGTCCCTTTGAGTGTGGCTCTTCCACAAAATACCACAGCCTGGGCGAGTCTATTTTGAAGAAATGGCATTAGAAGAAGTTTAAGTTTAAAAAATTTGGCTCTCAAAAGAAATTCCAATTGTTGTACTGTTGATATTTGGCTCTGTTGGATAATGAGTTTGCCGACCACTGGTCTGTCTTTTTCTGTGATTGGCGTAATTAGTCAAGTGACTCACATACTGGTCAAATTCAATACATGCAATCAAACACTGGAAGGTTACTTTGAACTCTGAAAGGTCCTGCAGGAGGGGTTTCCATGTGCATGTGGATTATTGCTGGTTTCCAGTTCTTGCCAAAAGTCAGGATCACTTTGTAGAGCTTTTAAAATAGGTGATTGCAAATCCCTGTCACAAACCTACTGAATCTGTTAGGTTGATTTTGATTCTTAGCTTGTTTTGGGATCCATTGGATTATTTAATGCTCGGGAGCCTTTTTTTTTTTTTAATATATTTTATTGATTTTGTACAGAGAGGGAGGGAGAGAGATAGAGAGTTAGAAACATCGATGAGAGAGAGTCATCGATCAGCTGCCTCTTGCACACCCCCTACTGGGGATGTGCCCGCAACCAAGGTACATGCCTTTGACCGGAATCGAACCCGGGACCCTTCAGTCCCCAAGCCGATGCTCTATCCATTGAGCCAAACCGGTCTCGGCTCGGGAGCCTTTTGTTTTTAATATTATCTCAAGGTGTTTTAAAAATAAGAACCATGACAACTGTTATTTAGCGATATAACAGAGGTACCAGAACTTTCCTACATTGGTGAGTTAAAAATCTTAGGATTCAGATAGCTAGAATACCTTAAGCATTTAAAAAGACCAGACCAGCCGAAACCGGTTTGGCTCAATGGTACAGCGTCGGTCTGGGGACTGAGAGGTTCGATTCCGGTCAAGAGCATGTACATTGGTTGCGGGCACATCCCCGGTAGGGGGTGTGCAGGAGGTAGCTGGTCGATGTTTCTCATAGACGTTTCTAGCTCTCTATCTCTCTCTCCTCCTCTCTGTAAGAAATCAATAAAATGTATTTAAAAAAATAAAAAGACCAGACCAACACCTTCTTTTATTATAGGGATTTGCAGAAGCATTTTTGGAACATCTCTGGAAAAAATTGCAGGATCCGAATAATCCTGCCATCATCAGGCAAGCTGCTGCAAATTATATAGGAAGCCTTTTGGCAAGAGCTAAATTTATTCCTCTTATGTAAGTAACCTAATTTTTCCAAGTGTATGTATGTATGTGTGTGTGTGTGGTGTGTATGTATATTGCTTTAAAAGATTATAGCATTCTCAAGTCAGAGAAGTATCTGCCTTATGTTTAGAGGCAATTTCTAAATAAAACATTTCCTGTTTTATATGTAAAACCTCATGTAAAGCTCTCTGTTTAGAATGGCTGTACTTGAACATGAAGATTCATTTGTCTCCATGGGTAGTGTGCAGTGTTGTATACTATTTTGATTCTTTTTATAGGTTTCTCATTTTTTAATTTGTATTTTGAATCAATTATGTCTGTTAAAGCTGAAGAAAAAGTCCTTGTAAAGGTAACAGAAAAATCTATGTAGGAGGCCAGCTCTAAGCCTATTTCTTCCAGTGATCCAGGAAGATATCTTTGGGCAAGGATGCTATTGGAGACCCTTAACAACTACAGCTATTTGGCCATTCTGTCCTGAATCGTTGACAAGGGCTTCATTAGAACTCCATAGGGAACGGTGAAAGCATTTCTCTTTTCCTTGCAAGCTTTTGGTAAACACCCTCTGTTCTTTTGCCAAATCTCTCTTAAGAGGATTGGGGGGTGGAGGGAGCATTGGAGAAGCTTTTCTGTGTTGATGAGAAACTGGTGTCCATCTCATCCCTTGGGACTTCCAGGGTTCTTAGGGCCTATTGTCCCCCCACCCTACCCTGCATTTCCTTCGTTTGATTCTCCTCTGTGCCCCTGGCTAATATATAAAGAAGCCTAAGGATTGACTTTTAGTTTGCACTGAGAGGCATTGTGTTTTCTGTCACTGTAGTTTTTTTATGAAGCCAGTGGATTTGACTTGAATTTTTCTTCTCTCTAGTACTGTAAAATCATGCCTAGATCTTTTGGTAAATTGGCTGCACATATACCTAAATGACCAGGATTCAGGAAAAAAGGCATTTTGTGATGTTGCTCTACATGGACCATTTTACTCTGCCTGCCAAGCTGTGTTCTACACTTTTGTTTTCAGACACAAGCAACTTTTAAGTGGAAACCTGAAGGAAGGTCAGTGATGTGGGATTGGTGGATGTGAACTGGATTTTCCTGTGTACTAGTCACCCTTTAGAATGCAGATTTGTTACTTTTTTAAAAATTTGTTGAAAACTCTGGAGTCAGAAAACTGCACCTGCACACAAACTTTTATAAATTATTTCAAGCAGCATATAAGCCCCTAACACTTCCTTAAGCGTCCTCTGAAAAGCTGATGGGTTTGAGGTTGAGGACCTTTAGAGGGTGGCATCCAGAGTCATGTAAGATGTGAGGATGCCCTTCAGGCGGGAGGCCAAGCACTGCACTGGGCCAGCACCATGCTCAGCTTCCTGTGCACCTCCTTGTCCCTGTGACGGCCCAGTGAAGGGCAGTCATCCCCACTGGACAGAAGACACCAAAGCACAGGGGAGTAGTTCATTGGCAGGATTGGAAATTGAAACCAGGCGAGGATGGCTGTAAAGCTGTGTTCATAATGATTATGCACCTTTATCTAAAGACTTAAGTAAATGACTGGTTTTCAATTTTGCTAATGTCTAAGGGTTTATTATTTAAATCTACCAGGAGAAGCTTGTTTTTTGGGTTATTTTAAATTTTAGTTGAAGACCCTCCTGGTAGCGATATCAGCTAAACAAAACAAATTTAAATGTTTTGTTTTACTGTCATGAATAATTCAAATGGTTTAATAGGCTGTTTCCTCTACACTTGAGTTTCTTAAGCTGTGCACTTACCTTTGGGCTGGATAATTTTATGTTGTGGAGGCTGCCTTTGCATTGTAGAACGGTTAGCAGCTGCCTCCTCACCTCCTACCCTCTAGATGGCACTAGCACCCCTCCCCATCCTATCCTCTTGTGGCAACTAAAACTGTCTCCAGACACTGCCAGATGTCAGCTAGGGGCACAATTGCCTTGAGTTGAGAAGCACAGCTCTAAACGGAAACTTGTGTGCATTACATATTTTTATTTACATCTGTATACTTCTGAAAAGATGTGGGGTTTAAAAATTAATTGTATGAACTAGTGATAGGACAAGGCTTTATCACAAGGTAAGTAAAATCTCTACATTTCTGTGTGAATAAGTGGTAAGGTTCTTGGTAAAAAGAGTATTTCTTCTAAGCCATAACATCCCATTTAAAAAGTTTTTGATTGATTTGAGAGAGAAACATCGATCTATTGTTCTACTTATTTATGCATTCATTGATTGATTCTTGTATGTGCCCTGACCAGGGATCAAACCCTTAACCTTGCTATATCGGATGAACCTGACATCTCATTTTTAGTAATTTTTATCAATATATACATCAAAGAATTTTTTAACAGAAGTATTTAAGCACAAGTTGGTCTGCTTACCTCTTAAAATAGGTATGGTATCTTTCTTTTACTGATATAGGAGATAAGTATATTTATTATTTCCAGGACAGTGAAATCTGTCTAATTTTCCATTCTAAATCCATAGTTCTCTTGTGTGTGTGTGTTTTGTTTTTTTTAATGTGGAATACAAACAACTAATGCACATTCAAAAATATGGTCAATTTTACTAGTAATTTAAGATGTGCAGGTCTTATGGGCTTGTTTTTTTTTTGATTGCTTGTCAGATTGACTATATACACCCACACATAGTATATGGAATTCAAGAAGGAGAAATTTCCACACTCTACAGGGATTGGAGACTCAATCGTGTTGCCAGAACTTTTTAATGATTTCATGGTTGTTAGCTGAAATAAAATCATATGGCCTTTAATCTCAGCATATGCTGTGCTTACATATCTGAATTTCAAATTGTCATACAAGCTGATAGCCCACTAGGAATGTTTGCTTTCTTTGAAGTCCTGGATCTTTAAAAGAGTAATCAGCCCTGGCCAGTAGCTCGGTGGTTAGTGTCAGCCTGTAGCCCAAAAGGTTGGGTTCAATTCCCAGTCAAAGGCACGTACCTTGGTTGCAGCTACCCCAGCCTGGGGAGGCACATACAGGAGGCAGTTAGCAACTAATAGATGTGTCTCACATTGATATTTCTTTCCTCCCCCCTCTCTTCCTTCTATTATTTCTAGAAATCAATGGAAAAAAATATCCTAGGGTGAGGATTAAAAAAAAAAAAGAAGAAACAGTTTTCTTTAGAAAAATTGTCTTAGTCAAAATTGGCTTAGTGCTTAAGCCTAATGACATTCTTCTGGGCTCCACATTGTATGACTATCTACATGGACCTTTATTTGTTTTAGTTTATTTATTTATTTTAAAATATATTTTATTGATTTCACAAAGGGAGGGAGGGAGAGAGAGAGAGAGACATCAATGATGGGGATCAAAGCCACAACCTAAGCTTGTGCCCATTCATAAGACAGTGCTCAACCACTGAGCCATGCTGGCCAGGCTACATGGACCTTTATTTAAAGCAGTTTCACAATGTTTAAGTCCTTTTTCTAACCCGTGAAAAAAAATCTGTGCTGTTTTAAGACTGTTATTTTTGTATCTTTTTAAAAACCTTTTGTTTTTAATCAAAGGTTTGAGGTACCTTCAAAGTCTAAATTTTGAACGTATAGTGATGAGTCAACTAAATCCTCTGAAGATTTGTCTGCCCTCGGTAGTTAACTTTTTTGCTGCAATTACAAGGTAAGTTATTTGTACTTTGTTGGTGGAAGGTATTTACAAGTAAATTTATATCAGTACTAGAGGCCTGATGCACGAAAATTCGTGCAAAAGTAGGCCTGCCTTCCCCCGGCTGCCGACTCCAGCTTCCCACCTCCAGCTGCTGGCAGACACCTGTACCCCCGCGGCTTCACTCTGGCCTCGGCTTTGTCTGGAAGGACATCTGGTCTAATTAGCATATTACCCTTTTATTATTAAAGATTGTTGTTGTAAAATTCCATTAAATTTCTGTGAAACAATTCAATAAGATTAGTTAAGTAAAATACAGACATTTAAAAACCAGTAACCCAATATTTGCAGGAAACACTGTTGTGCACCAGTTGTTTTATATTTTGGTGCTAATCTTTATGCAGAGAGTAATAATTGAGCAGAAGCCTAGACACTTTGAAATACATAAGGCAACTAGTAACCTGAGAGGTAGAAACCAACGATGTTTATTAGAGTGACTCCTATAATAGTAATAAAAATAGACTGGGCATGAGATAAATCTCCAACAATAGGGGACTGGTTTAGTGAGGGACTGAATTATCTCGGGCCTTGTAGCTATAGCTAATGCGTAATTTTACTATATGCCTGGTACAGTTTTATGTGCTTTACTTAGAACTTACTGAAAATTCACACAATCTTATGGACATAATATTAATCCATTTATAAATAGGAAGATGGAGGCACAGAGAGATTAAATTACTTCTGTGAAGTCAGAGCTAGACTGGGGAAGAGCTGAGATTTGAATGCAGGCAGTCTGGCTCCTTTGTAAGCATTTACTGAACTATTCTGCTTTACATAGACACTGAATTGGAGATCTTGGACATTTAATCAGCATATGAGGACAGGATCATAGCTTAAAATATTGAACAGATAAGAATCTGTGCTATTATAAGAAAAAAATCATCCCTCAGTCCTTTTAGACAACTTACTGCTCTCATTCAGCAATCTTATTTCCTTTGCTGGATATCTAGTTTGAGGTTTACTTTCTCCTGAGATCTCAAAAATGGTAAAGAATCAAAAGATGTAAAGAGACCAACAAGGAATAGTGTTTAGTGGGTGAAAGGTTCCTGGGAAAACAGGAAGGGTGAGGACAGATGAAGCAAAGCAGATGACGCAGCTGCCCCCTGAATATGCTCATGGTGGGGAGTAAGGGTTGCCGTGGAGGAGCACACTGGTCAGATGAGCACACTAGGTTTGGGTTGGAGTTAGCAATGGAGGTTAAGAGTGAGGTGTGATGCTAAGAGAAGAGATTGAAATAAAGTTCTGTGTCCAGGAAGTTATGTATCATCTGTAGCTCCTGCTTTTGCTTACTTAATGGTTTTAAGATGCATTGTCAATTTGTACATCTGCTCTGTAATGTTCTAATGATTTTTAAAAATTGATTCCTTGTTATTAAGCAGTTCCTTTTTCAGTATCAGTAACAGCAGCTTAGCGACACAGTTGTATGTGTATGCTGGTGCAAAGGCACACGCTTCCTGTCACTCAGACGTGTAGCTGCTGGGTTGTAAGAGATGCACATTGTGAACTTGACCAGTGATTGCACACTGTACTCCAGTGTGGTTTTGCCAATTTACCCTCCCACCAGGAGTAGAGAGTCAAATGTGATCCTTGGCTTCTAGAACAGAAATAAACATATGTCACTTAAAATTACAATAGTGACCTGAGAATCTGAGATGACCTGAATGAATACTGTGAGGAGGAGGGTAGGAGATAGAGAGTAGCAGATGTGAGCTTAAATCCTTATGTCAGAGAAGCCATCTGATAATGATTCAAGTTGTCAAGTCATGTGGAGATAGAATATTTTTTTATTGTGAGTTTTTCAATATATTTAAATGTTTACTCCTATTCTCTTCTTTACCATTTTCTGAGGTTGTGACTTAGTCATCCTCTTTCACTACTGTCCTCATTTCTTCAAAAACCAAATTTCCCCATCATCAAATACTATCTCCTCAGTAAATACTGAATCCCCTTTCACCAATCCCTAATTCTTTTATAGACTTTAAAAATAAATAAGTAAAGACAGCTATTTTGCAAAGTAGGAAAGTTTTCTTAAAAGCATCACTTTCTGCTTTATGTTCTTTTTTTCTTGCACTTGTTATGTTTGGCAGTAACTGTGTGGTCAGTATAGTTATCACTCACGAACAAGCATGTTCATGCAGAGTAATTCCAGCAAGCTAATGCCTCTGTTGTTTTTCTTGTTCCATAGTAAATACCAGTTAGTCTTCTGCTACACTATCATTGAGAGGAACAATCGCCAGATGCTACCAGTTATTAGAAGTACAGCTGGAGGGGACTCGGTGCAAACCTGCACAAACCCACTTGACACCTTCTTCCCCTTCGATCCTTGTGTGCTTAAGAGGTGGGTGCTCCTAACACAGTCAGCCTGTCGTGAACTTAAATGCACTGTGTGTTTGCTTTTCCCAAGGTTGGGATGTAGAGTTTCTCTGTCATATGTGGCTGGCCATTTCTAGCCGTTCGTAAAGCCATGGTCATCTTGCACATGTTTTACAGGCAAAGCAGAGGATGCCTGTTAGAGACTGACTGCTGAGTGTCATAGGCACACTAGGGTTTGCAGATCTTTGCCCCATCAGGAACACAAGTTGAGACTAAAGGTTTTTGGTTTATTTTTGTTTTCCTTTAAACTTGTTGGTTTAAAGGTGTCCCAGCAGGGAGGATGCTGTCTTTTCATGGCTCATAATTTTCTGCCAGTGACTTGTGTCTTCCTCTAGAGACCACATGCTGTTGCACAGGCTAAATAAAAGCCAAGAGATTTATGTTGATGGATAATTCTGGAAAGTCAATAAGCCAGTCTTAACTTTGTATTTGTATAAGGGAGCAGAATTTTTGTTTTGTTGTTTATCCTTATCTGAGGATATTTTTTTCCATTGCTTATTAGAGAGAGTGGAACAGGGGGAAGAGAGGGAGGGAGGGAGGGAGGGAGAAAAGAAGAAGAGGGAGAGGGAGAGGGAGAGGGAGAGGGAGAGGGAGAGGGAGAGGGAGGGAGGGAGAGAGAGAGAGAGAGAGAGAGAGAGAGAGAGAGAGAGAGAGAGAGAGAGAGATATCAGATGGTTGCTTTTCCAGTCGAGCTCGGGGATTGAACCTGTTACCCTTTGATGCACAGGTGATGCTCTCTCTAATCACTGAGTCACACTGGCCAGGGCCAGGCAGGCCTTTTCCCCAGACTTACTTTTAGTAAATTGCTATAAGAATTTAAAAAAGGAAGTTCCAGCTGAAACCGGTTTGGCTCAGTGGATAGAGCGTCAGCCTGCGGACTGAAAAGTCCCAGGTTTGATTCCGGGCAAGGGGTACCTTGGTTCTGGGCACATCCCCAGTGGGGGTGTGCAGAAGGCAGCTGATCGATGTTTCTCTCTCATCGATGTTTCTCTCTTTCCTTCTCCCTTCCTCTCTAAGTAAAAAAATAAATAAATTTAGAAAAAAATCAATAAAATATATTTTAAAAAATAAAAAAGGAAGTTCTAGAATAATGTAATTTTTTTTCCATTTGGACACATTATAATTCATTGCTAGTCTATGCAAAATTGAGAAACATTTACACTTGAGAAAGAAATATGTTCCACCTATATGAATTGATGAAGTCTTATAGAGTAGAGGCCACATGAGTTACAGTTTTTACATAGAGTATTTTTTGACACTTAATATTTGAGCCATAATTTTCACTTTATTTCGGGTACTAGGTCTTGTGAAAGAAGAGCCAACATGTTCTGACCTTCACTGCAGTATTTAACTTGATTTGTGAAATATGATCTTTGTTGACAGGTCAAAGAAATTCATTGATCCAATTTATCAGATATGGGAAGACCTAAGTGCCGACGAGCTTCAGGAGTTTAAGAAACCCATTAACAAGGTAAATTTGTGATTCAATATGCTTTTTGGGAATCTCCTGTGTGGTTACACATTATAGTCAAGTAGTAAATAGCAATGTTATACTTAAAAATAGAACATTTTGGCCAGCCAGTGTTGCTCAGTGGTTCGTGTCAACAACCCATGAACCAGAAGCACATACTCAGTCAGGGCACATGCTCAGGTTGTGGTCTCAGTCCCTGGTGGGATGCATGTGGGAGGTGGCCAATCGATGATTCTCTCTCATCATTGATGTTTCTATCTCCTCCTTCCTTCCTCTCTCTGAAATCAATAAAACTTTTTTTTTTTTTTTAAATAGGACATTTTATACATTGTGCCTTTGCAAAATTCCAAGCTCAGGATATGTTCTTATGAAAAGAGTTTTTGTGTTTTTGATGAATAATTTAAACCAGACACTTCACACATTGACTTTGGGGAGTAAAGATTAATTAAAAATTAATAAATTAGATAAATAAATTTAGATCTTTATCACTTGATCATTACCACCAAGTAACAATGGCAAATATACTATGTTGATACTATAGGCAACACCTTAATTATATAGAGGTTACCATTAATTTTGTAGCTCTTTGTGTGTAGGTGGTAAAGATGCAGCATACCTTCCAGTGCATGTCAGATGGAAGTGAGGTAGTTATTGCCAGAGGAGAAAATTAGAATTCACTAATAAATAATGTCACTGTTCTTTTTTTGTTTGGCAGACTTATTTCCCCATTAAAGGTCAACTTTATGCGCCTGTCTTATAAGGAATCACTGGGAATCTCATTATTTTTCCTCATATTTTGTGTTTGAAGCCTCCATTTATTCATTCACATTGTGTTAGATACAAAAGTTATAATAGTGAACAAGAATGACATATCATGTTACCTGCCCATATTGACCTTATAATCTGCTTAAAAAATAAATAAATAAAAATCTGACTTTAAACAAATAGTGACAGTGTGTGGTGAGCAATTGAGAAGTGTGCATCAGAGGAAGTTTTTCTTTGTTAATCCTTGCCTGAGGGTATTTTCCCACTGATTTTAGAGAGTGGAAGAGAGGGAAAAACAGAAACATCGATGTGGAAGAAACACATTGATTTGTTGTCTCCTGCATGAGCCCTGACCAGGCCTCACGCTTGAGAGGAGCCTGCAACCGAGATGCATGCCCTTGACCGAATCGAACGGAACACTGATGCTCAATCCACTGAGCCAGACTGGCCAGGGCCGGGGGAAGCTTTTGAATTGTGTTTTCTTTACCTTTTTAGAAGTAGCACATCCCTGAGGGAAGGAATTCTTGGAAGCTTTTCAAACCACTTGTGATCTTGTTAATAATCTCTGTTCTCCTGATAGGAGGCGGTGGAAGATGAAGATGATGACTTTTTGAAAGGTGAAGTTGGGATTACACCGAGCTCCTTTGACACGCATTTTCGAAGTCCTTCGAGTAGTGTGGGCTCCCCACCAGTGCTGTATCTGCCAGACTAGTCTCCACTGACTGCAAGGATTTGCGATTGAGACGAACATGCCTCCCCATCCTGCCCTTTAATACCAGGGCTCGTACTGTTTGAGTTTCACATCAAACTAGAGCGTCGAGTACCTGCCTCTGGCACCATATTTCAAGTTAGACTTACTCTAGTGCGTGAACAGACGTGTTTTTTCTTCTTTTTCTTTTTGCTCCCATATAGACAGAGGAAAAGACTACCATGTGCAATATTTTATAATGGAGTTGATGATAAATGTTCAAGGCTTGGCTTGTTTGTGTATACTTAATGTATACTTTTATGTAACATAATTATTGTGAAATTTCTAATATCAGCAACAGCCTGTTTTAACAGATTGCATTTTAAACATAGGTTCTGGTGAGAGCCATACTTATAGGACTTTTCTGATCAGTGAAAATCCTCTAGAACACTATTTATAGTCTTTAGAGTTTATTTTAGGTACATTGTTTACCTCTGCTGTAACTGTCTGTGTGTTGGGGTTCAGTGGGGTGCAGAGAAAGGTAGGAGACAGTGGGGAGACGGCCAGGGCTGGTCCCACATGCTGAGAGCGGGAGATCTCCAGGGGCTTCGGAGATCAATAAAAGCCTGGAGGAAAGAGATAGGGGATTTAGGGAGACAGAATCAGCCAAATCGTCCACATGTGAGTGTAAGTGGATTTTTAAAAAAAAATGGAGTTCCATGTAAAAGTAATTCACATTGACTGAAGGTGGGGGTTGGGCTTTTTATAAAACAGCAAGCCAAGAGCAGTTTACCCCAAAGCGCCCAGGTGTGAGGTTTGAACTGGAATGACCCATTTATAGTGGAATTTTAACATGGATTTTTATATTTTTACCAGAATGAGTAGACCAGTTCTTATTTTAAAAATTTCTTGGAGAGGGTGGGTTACATTTTAGGTTATTTATGGGGTGATTTTGCTAGCAACAGTTGGCCAAGGTTACATATATTCTTTGTCCAACTGGCTATTTGTATCATGGATTCAGCTCAGTGAAACCCTAAACCCTCCTCTGTCTAGTTTTCTGGGGTTTTTTGTTTGTTTGTTTGTTTGTTTTTTAACGAAACGAGGAGTCTAAAGAACCTTGCATATAGCAAATTTGTGCGGGCACTGCTAGATTAATTTGGAAGCTCATGCATATTTAGCTTCATTCTTTATTTGTGTACTTTTTTGTTACTTGTGAAAATGTACATCTTTAAACTTATTTATTTTTCTGCCACTTTTCCTATTTTTTATTTAAAAGCAAGTAATATTTTCTTGATCGCAAATATTTTGTAATGAAATACTTTCTCTCTCTTAGAGCATAATATGCTTTTGTATAATTATATTGATGGAGATGTAGAGTTTGAATTGCAGTCGGTAAATATGCTTTGGAACAGAAAAAATTTTATTGCTTTAAAAAGTTTAGGATATTGGTGACTTTCTTTTAGTGACTTGGTGGAATGTCATTTGAGAACCTTTAGGTTCCCTTTTTTTAACTGCTGACAAAAAGGTGGGATTTTTGTATACTGGACAAAAGGAGAAAATGAAATGTGTCCATAGAAATAATGTAAGTGGAGTCTCTGGTTGGGAAGTAGCTTTACTGTAGAGGGGTATATTTATAAGTAAGTGTTTAATTTCAAAGGAGCTTGAGAAAAAACCTATTGTGACAATAAAACAATGACATGGTTAATCTGGAACTCTTGTTCTTAAAGGGAGGTACCTCAAGAAAGATGCTACCTACATAAATGTTCTTTTAATTTTTTTTCTTTTTAAATATATTTTACTGATTTTTTACAGAGAGGAAGGGAGAGAGAGACAGAGCTAGAAACGTCTATGGGAGAGAAACACCGACCAGCTGCCTCTTGCACACCCCCTACCAGGGATGTGCCCGCAACCAACATAACATGCCCCTGACCAGAATCGAACCTGGGACCTTTCAGTCCGCAGACCGACACTCTACCACTGAGCCAAACCGGTTTCGGCTTAATTTTTTTCTTTCTGATCTGTATTTAAACATTGTTTTTCAATGTAAAACTGCATATGAGACTTGATTAAAAAGGCAAAAATATTGCCTGTGTGATTGGGAGTGCTCAAACAAAGTGCATGTTGGTGATGTGATGCACTTCCAGATGCATCTGAAGTGTCACTGACTCCCCTTGATCACAGCCAGCCAAGAATGACTTCGGCTTGAACTGGTCCAAGGAAGACAAACGCTTCTTCAAAAATTTACATGCCTTGAGGCATGTGAAAAAATAATTGTAAAATCTCTTTGGAAAGTGTATTATGAGAACAAGGGATTTTTTGTTCCTCTTACTGAAAAGCAGATGTGTGCGTGTGCGCGCACACTGAATGGCGAGATTATTATGACCACCCCATCAGTACTTCGTTGGGCCACCTTTTGCCTTTAATACTGCAGTGATTCTTCTTGGCATTGACTCCACAAGATGTTGAAAGGTGATGCGAGGAATCTGACACCATGCCTGATGAATAGCGCTGTCCAGTTCTGTGAGATTTGATGGTTGTGGAACCATTCGCCTGGTGGCTCTTTTAACTTTGTCCCACAAATGCTCAATTGGATTGAGATCTGGTGATTGTGGTGGCCACCTAAGCAAGGTAAAATCTCCCTCGTCTCTTGAAACCACTCCTGCACAATATGAGCACTGTGGCATGGCACGTCTTATTGGAAGAAGCCTTCTCCATTGGGATACGCCATCAACATGATAGGATGAACTTGATCAGCAATGATACTGCTATTCAGACGTTCCACACGAATTAAAGAGCACAAATCATGCCAGGAAAGCATGCCCCAAACCATAACACTGTCCCTACCAGCTTGAAGGGTTGTATTCATACATGTGGGGTGCATGCTTTCATGCTGTTTCCGTGAAATTCTCACTACCATCTGCATGATGCAACTGGAAACGTGATTCATTGGACCACATGACTTTTTCCCAATGGTCGACTGTCCAATCCTTGTGTTCCTGTGTGAATTAGAGACGTTTTATAATGGTAACTGCAGACAGCAAAGGTGTTCAAACAGGCCTTTGGCTTCCATATCCCATACGATGCAATGTACAGCTAATTTGCTTACAAACGTCAAGTGGTCATAATAATCTGGTCACTCAGTGTATATCCTATATAATAAAGAGCTAATATGCTAAATAGACCTGATAGGGGAATGACCTTTGGGAATGACCTTCCTGAATGACCAGTGGGTGTGGGGTGGGGCTGCAGAGGCCTATTCTTGCACGAATTTCATGCATCAGACCAGGCCTCTAGTGTGTGTACATACATACATACATACTGAGTGGCCAGATTATTATGATCTCTGAATACATAATCTGGCCACTCAGTATATATCCTATATAACAAAAGGGTAATATGCAAATTGTCCCCTCTACCAGCAGGCAAGCTGGCCAACCGCCCACGTCCCCTTCCTGGCCAGGCTAGCTGGGCCCCACCCATGCACAAATTCATGCATGGGGCCTCATACAAACACACACACTGAGTGGCCAAATTATTATGCATTCAGAGATCATAATAATCTGGCCACTCAGTGTATATCATAAAGGGAGAGGGAGAAACAAATGATGAAAATTATTGCCTCCCATATGACTCCTCCTAGGGATCATACCCCCGACCTCCATAGGTCTATGCTTAACCATAGTCCTACCTGTGAATGCAAAACACTTTGAATTGATGTAGGAGAACCAGAGTCCATCCCTTTGTCTGCTTGGTTAGTAGCTTCTCTTTCTAACCAAGTGTGTGACACGCTCTTCAAAACTAATTTTATTGAACTGTTAATTGAAAACTAATACCTATTCTAGGGTGGTGAGGATTCAGTGAAAGTGCATGTAAAATCTGTCAATAGCTGTTTGGCTACCTTGTGAGAAAGACTAAAGAAGGAAGCTCTTCCATGAAAAAATCTTTTCAAGACAAAGATGACTTCCATTTTACCCATGTTACTTCCTTGGTACAACTTAACCCTTTGCACTCCGAACCATTCTGGACATTGGCTACCAGCTACTCAACGCTACTTTGCGGCGGACACGTGCGTTGAATTAACTCAATTCCCCGTAATCACTAATAAACTGCAATGTCCCCCCTGAGAGGGGACATCCGAGTGATATGCTAGAATTCCAATGTCCCCCTGAGAGGGGACAGCGGAGTGCAAAGGGTTAATAGAGCCCTAACCCAACACTGATTATGGTGTTTCTTAGCCCTTGGGAGTTTAGAGAAACTAAGAGGAGGTGGAATATAAAATGATTACATTTTAGTAGTTTTTGCTCATCGTAGGATGACTCATCTCACCATCTTTTTAAAAAATTACTTTTTGTTGATGTATTGTGGAATTGGGTCTATTTGAGTATTTGCAAGTTTTAGAATAGAGAACCTCAGCCTTGCACCAGGGTTCCTATCCTCAGTAGGACTGCATGGTATGGTGCCTACTGGATGCCAATACTTAACTGATGATTTCTAAATGTGGGGCTAGCAAATTTTAGGGTCTATTTTCCCAGATTAAGACATGTTGCGTTTATTATTCACTGAATACCGTCTGGGACTTGCTCAATATCACGCACGATTAGATGGTGGTAGGGACCGTTTTGTGAACCGAAGCCGAGATCCCTCAGACCCCGCACTCAGGCCAAGTTACCGGATCTGGGAACTGAGCTAGGCTCTGAGAGCAAAGGCTCTCAAGTTGGGCGCAGCTCCCCTCCCTTCGCCCCCACGTTTTCAGGACTACATTTCCCAGCGCCCATTGCGGAAGAGGCTGGCCTCAACCCGTTTCCTGGCTATTAGATTACGCTTCCCAAGGGGCATTGCGGCCCCGCCCTGGATTTCCTCACCCTCCTGGGTCAGTGCGGTCTCCTCGGACTCCACTTCCCAGCGGCGCCCGCGGGGGCACCCAGGGGCGGGGGCGGGGGTGAGGGCGGCGGCGGCGGGGGCAGGCTGCCCGCGGCGGGGGCGGCCCACGCCTCCCCGGGACCGGGACCGCCGCGGCCGCCGTCTCCGCGATGCCGCTGCTGGTGGAGGGGCGGCGAGTGCAGCTGCCGCAGTCCGCCACGGACCTCGTCCGAGCCCACCCGCTGCTGGAGGTGAGCGGGGCCCGGGCGGGGGGCTTCCTCCCGGCGGACCGAGCCCTCCTCCCCCCGCCGCCGCCGCCGCCGGCCGCTCTGCCCCGAGACTGACTCACACTTGGCGCAGCCGAGGTGCTGCTGGCGGCGCCCCCGGCCGTGGGCAGCGCCCTTCCGCCTGCGCTGGAGGCATCGGCGGAGCCTTCGCCTTCGGACCGCAGAGGGCGTCTGCCGAGGCCCCCGTTCTCCGGGGAGGGCCCGGGCCCAGAGAGGTGCGGTGACAGCCCCGGTGCCGCTCAGCGCCGCGGCCGGAGGGCGCCCCGGGACCCCCTGCCCCCACCCCCGACCCGGGCTGGGCGCTCAGGGACAGCGGGGAGCCTCGCCCGCGGGAACGCGCTCCGTTTGGGGTCCTCAGGGCGCGGCGGGTTATGCCAGGGGGGCTCCGGCAGCGTCTGGGCCGGGGTGCCCCGCGGGCTGCTCCCCGGACCCCTCCGCTGCCCCCGGGGCGCAGGGCCCGGGTATTTTTAGCCGGAAAAAGGGCCCAGCTTCTCCACAGCTGCGCCCAGTTGAGGACCACGCCCTGACGGCAGCGGTTTTTTTTTGTTTTGTTTTTCTGCTTTTGTCCTCAAATAGATAGATCTCGGAAACCTTGGTCCGCGCTTATGCAGAAACTGTTTGAAAAGGGTTTTTTGTTTGTTTGTTTTTTTACTGTTAAGAAAAAGCGATTGGGGACCACACCTCACACCTGCCCCAGTTAAGGGGGAACCACTTAAATCTGTCCATTGGGCACTGACCCGTGTTCACCTCTTTCCCTCCATCCAGGGCATTTACCGTCCGGTCAGGGAGGGGGTGGTTGCTAATCACAGTCACTCAGAGGCCGTAAGCTGTTCAGGGCCGCAAAGAAAAGCGCCCCCTTCCCGTCTCAGATGGAGGCACAGAAGCCTGGTCCGGCCTGTGGGCTGAGGACTCTTCCTGAGAGTCCCTCTGCAGCAGCCGCAGTTTGTAATTGTTTTGTCTGCACACTACTTTTGTTTATTCCCCTTCATCTGCCTCCAGAGTGTAAGCTTCCGTCGGTATTTGTTACATCAGTGAGTGAACTGCCCAGCTGGTGTGGCTCAGTGGTTGAGCCTGGACCTGTGAGCCAGGAGGTCAGGGTTGGATCCCAGGCCAGGGCGCATGCCAGGCTTTCCGGATCGATCCCCTGGAGGGGGCCTGTAGGAGGCAGCGGATCAATGATTTTCATCATGGATGTTTTTCTCTCTCCCTCTTCGCTCCTCTCCCTGAAATAAATAAATAAATAAATAGATAAACAAATAAACAAATACATTTAAAAATAAATGAGTGAACAGATGACCCGAAGCATGAGGGGGAGTTAACTGACAGGGAAGAGGGGACGGCTTCGTGCAATTCTCAACTTGCGTTTCAAGAAACCAGTAGTGACAGTGTCAGCACATCCTGAGTGTGCAGCAGACACTGGGCAGAGTGCTAAGCACTCTCCTTGTGCTGTGTCGCGTCACGGTGAAGTCAGGAGTAGGACTCGCCAAGCGAAAACATTCCAGCTGCCTGAGAAAAATGTGACACTTATTTTTATGTCTGAAAAGTTATATGACAGATAGTTAGAAAGATCAGAGTCCAAGGCAGCACATGGAGCGTGTTGAGGGGCGGGGCTGTGGGGCTGGGCCTGTAGGGAGAGGTGGCCAGAAAGGCTTCCTGGTGGGGACCAGTTCGCGTTAGAGGCACAGGGAGGAGGGACGGTCACGTTCACTTGCAGCAGTCTAAGGAAGGAGGGTGGAGGTAAGAGATGTGAAAAGGGGAAGGGGGGTGCTAGGCAAGTGAGAGAGACTGTGCTCCGATGGGCAGGGGAGGAAGGTCCTGAGGGCAGGTGAGCTGCCAGTCTCCTTGGTGCAGAGGACAGACCGGAAATAAGTGGAGAGGGGTAGGTCGTACCTGGATTAGAGGGGTTTGGGTGGATTCTTCAACAAATAAGCAGTGGAGGGAAATGAAAGATTTAACTTTTTCTATAAGTAGCACATCCTCTTTGTAAAAATTAAATAAATGTAAATGTTAAAAAGAATTACTAATCTATGGCTACAGACACATCACATTTCAGTAAATATTCTTACAGAGGTTTTTCTTTGTGCGTGATGTACTTTTAAAAATGAGAGCATACTGCCCTAACCGGTTTGGCTCAGTGGATAGAGCATCGGCCTGCGGACTGAAAGGTCCCAGGTTCAATTCCGGTCAAGGGCATGTACCTTGATTGCAGGCACATCTCCAGTAGGGGGTGTGCAGGAGGCAACTGATTGTTATTTCTAACTTTCTATCCCTTGCCTTTCCTCTCTGTAAACAATCAATAAAATATATATTTTTTAAATGAGAGCATACTATATATTCTTTTTCATGTAACAGTGTGATGTAAGAATTTCCAGGAAGTTTAAGCCTCTCCCTAGCTATGCCTAGCACAGAATAGTAACAATAATAATAGTAACGCAGCGTCATCCCAATATGCCAAGGTTGCGGGTTTGAACCCTGGTCAGGGCACACGCAAGAGCCAACCAGTGAATGTGTAAATAGGTGAAACAGCAAATCGATGTTTCTCTCTCTAAAGTCAATTTTTAAATATATATTTATATTGATTTCAGAGAGGAAGGGAGAGGGAGAGAGAGAGAAACATCAGTGATGAGAGAATATGATTGATTGGCTGCCTTCTGCACTCTCCCTACTGGGGATGGAGCCTACAACCCGGGGATGTGCCCTGGACTGGAATTGAACCCTGGATCCTTCAGTCCACAGGCTGACACTCTTATCCACTGAGTCAAACCAGCTAGGGCTAAAGTCGATTTTTAAGAAATAACAGTAACACCGTGGGACTTGCTGAGCACCGCTGCCCTGTGAAGTAGGTGTGGGAAAAGCTGTTCCCATTTTACAGGTGATGACAGTGAGCACAGAGAGGCTGATTGTGTTGCCCAGGTCCCACATCCTGTAAGTGGTGTAGCCTGGATCGGAACCCTGGCCGTCTGCCTTGGTCTCTAGCTGCACTGTTCAGTATGGTAGCCACCAGCCACATGTGGCTGTTTACATTTAAATTATTTAAAATTAAATAAACTAAAACCCCTCAGTCGAACTAACCACGTGTCAAGTGTTCGACAGCCACTTGTGGCTCCTGGCTCCTGTAGGAGACAGCACAGATACAGATGTTGCCATCACCGCAGGAAGTTCCGTCCGGCAGCACTGTGTAGTCTTTGCTCTCTCTCTCTTTTTTTTTTTTTTTTTTATTTATTTAATTTATTGATGTTTTACAGAGAGGAAGGGAGAGAGAGAGCTAGAAACATCGATGAGAGAGTAACATCGACCAACTGCCTCTTGCACACCCCCTACCAGGGATGTGCCCGTAACCAAAGTACATGCCCTTGACCGGAATCGAACCTGGGACCTTTCAGTCAGCAGACCGACGCTCTACCACTGAGCCAAACCGGTTTCGGCTAGTCTTTGCTCTTAACCAGTCCTGCAACACCTTTTAAATGGCCCCGTAGAGTCGAAGCCGGTTTGGCTCAGCAGTAGAGCGTTGGTCTGCGGACTGAAAGGTCCCAGGTTCGATTCCGGTCAAGGGCATGTACCTTGGTTGCGGGCACATCCCCGGTAGGGGGTGTGCAAGAGGCAGCTGGTCAATGTTTCTCTCTCATCGACATTTCTAGCTCTCTATCTCTCTCCCTTCCTTTCTGTAAAAAGTCAATAAAATATATTAAAAAAATAAAAAAATAAATAAATAAATAAATGGCCCCGTAGAATTCCACAATATGAATGCGCTGTAACTCTCTCTTCCTCCTTTTAAGCATGGAAGGCGCTTATAATCAATCGTTCATTATGAAAAGTCACAGAGCTAACTCGTAATTATTCCTTCAAATCAAATTGCTGGGCTCAGAAAGGTGTTTGTTTGTTTTTTTGAGCAGAGAAGTGATGTAACAAAACCAGTGTTTTGAAGCAATAATTCTGGCGGCCATCAGGGAGGATAGAGTGGGCAAGGGAGACCTTGGGGGTCCAAGAAACGGACGCGGGATGGTGACAGCCACTCCCTACACTCCCGCCCTCCGTTACTGCTCACACAACCTGAGGGTGGTCCGCACCGTCCCCATTGCCCAGGGAGGCGGCAGGAGCACAGTCAGGAGCGTGCCCACGGCCAGTCGGTGAAAGGCAGGGGACTCCGCTGTCTTGCTGTCTACCTTCCGCTCCTAAGGTCTGTGGCAGGAATTCAGATGTGAGACCGTGGAGGACTGAAATAAGGTGGTAGCACAAGTGGGAAGAAGGCTCAGTTTTGAGAGCTGTACCTGTTGATGATAATTTCCTACACAGCGAGCTTTCCGTTCCCAAAGCCCCGTTAGACCTGCTTCTGTTTTTGAAGGAAGAGCTGACCATCTGCAGCAGGAGGTACAGCGAATGACAGGCTAACCCAGCGGGCAGGGACCGATAGGCACAAGTCAAATCCTGTTTGTGGGTAGTTGGTGAGCTTTAACATTAAATTTTAAAGGGTGGGAGAAAAATCAAAAGATTAATATTTGGTGATGTGAAAGTATATGAAATTCAGATTTTGGTATTTCCCATAAATAAGGTTTTTGGGGACACAGCTACAGCCTTTTGCTCTCATGGGGCGTACTGCTTTCATGCTACAGGGCAGCCAGCACAGCCCTAAATACTTACCACCCGGCCCCTTTCAGGAGGGGAGGGTTGGCCCCGGGCACCACAGGCTTGGAGTTGGGAACTGAGGGTGAGGTGAGCACAGAAAGACCGATGGAAAACATATATATATATATATATATATATATATATATATATATATATATATACACACACACACACACACACACACACACACACACACATATATATATTCTTTTTTTTTAATATATTTTATTGATTTTGTATAGAGAAGAAGGAGAGAGATACAGAGTTAGAAACATCGATGAGAGTCATCGATCAGCTGCCTCTTGCACACCCCCTACTGGGGACGTGCCCGCAACCAAGGTACATGCCCTTGACCGGAATCGAATCCGGGACCCTTCAGTCCCCAAGCCAACGCTCTATCCACTGAGCCAAACCGGTTTCGGCGGAAAAGATAATTTTTAAAAGTGAATCTTCGTGTCCAGAGAAAAGCAAAAGTTGAGGAAACTGAGGCTATTTATTATATCAGAAAGGATGTGAGTTTATGAGGTAGGGCTGGCCGTGGGCTCTCCCCCAGAGAACTTTGGCTAAACTTTATTTTATTTCTCTAAGTGGAAGACAGAAGCGGCATACCATTCCTGCCTTGTGGCATTCTCTCTTCTTCTAATAGTGCTTTTCTCTGGAGCTGTGTCAAAAAAGACCTGATTTTTGGTCTTGGGTATGAATCAAATCTCACAAGTAGCTTTACTTTTGGATGGTGACCCAGTTATGAAAAGAAATGCTAAAAATTTGCCTTTGTTCCTACCTCTCTCTTTCCCAAAAGAACAAAGGTAAGGTAAGTAATAAAGGAGTGATAAGAAGGAAATTCTTGATCTCCTTTGTTGTTTTGCATTGAGGTGAGCTGAGAAGAGGTATGAAGATGGAAAGTGCTTTCTGATAAGGAGTGTTTGAGTGTCAGAACAATCTGCCACATTTATTTCTCACTGACGGCCTGCAGAGGCAGAGGTGCCAGGCAGACCCAGTTCTTCATTGCAGTTCACTTAGTTCTCAATTCCTCTCTCAAACTGAGGGCTGGTCTCATTCTAATCGCTGTTTTGCTTCCAATTAATGGGAGTTTATTAAAAAGAAGACACTAGCCGAAGCCGGTTTGGCTCAGTGGATAGAGCATTGGTCTGTGGACTGAAAGGTCTCGGGTTCGATTCCATCAAGGGCATGTACCTTGGTTGTGGGCACATCCCCAATAGGGGATGTGCAGTAGGTAGCTGATCGATGTTTCTTTCTCATCGATGTTTCTAACTCTGTCCCTCTCTCTTTCTCTCTGTGAAAAATTAATAAAATATATTTAAAAAACAAGACACTATAATTCATCAAGCTGGTCATTATGCCTTTTTATATCTATTTTAATAAGTACTAACTTAAATTCTCACCAATATGAGATATGGCAAGAAGCCTGTTTAAGACTATGAAAACATTCTCCAGTCTAGACAATACACTATATTACATATCTGGATAAGAATTTTTTCATTGAGTTTATTTGTTGCAAGTAAGGAAATTATGATACTTAAGGTTGTATCAATTTGACATTTTTTTGGGGGAAAAATGTGTAGTTCAGTTTTCATTCAAGAATTTAACCACTTAATTTTTTCTCCCCCAGGATTACTACATAACAATTTATACAAATATTCATTTAGACAAAATGAGGACACCTAATATTAATCTATTTTTTATAGATTTGCTCATTTTTGGTTTTCTCCTTTAATAATATAACTATATTATAGAAGATTTAGAGAATAGAGAAAAAATACCAGTTAAATTACTTGAGTTTGCCCTGTTCTAACAACCATGCTCATATTGGTGAATTTCCTTCCAGAATTAAACTGGATATTTAATTTTTCCTATGTATAGTCATGTTTTAGCATTCTTGTATTAAACAGTATATTGATAGCTTTAAATTTTTATACTTTTGCATCTTGCTTTTCATTGTACATTTCAAAGCTCCTTTCCCATAGTCCTCATTTTCCACGGCTGTGCAATTAGTAGTTGTGAGTTGGTTCTGCACAATTTACTTACCTTTCTTGTTGCTGCTCCCAGCTTTTTGCCATCCTAAATAACACAGGGATTTTGGATTATTTTCTCATTACGGATTTCCAGGAGTAGGATTATCAGATGAGGGGATAGGGAAGATCTTAACCTTTCTACTTCTTTAAAGAAAGGAAAGAGGAGATGTGGTTTCTAATCCACTGATCCACTAGGCCATACCATCTGACTCTCCTTACTCTTGTAAAATCGTGAGGAGCCTCCTGTCTTCTTCAGTAAGGAACTGTGAAAACGCATTTTTGCATCTTATTCCATAGATGCAAAAAACTAAAATCTAAAAAACTAAAACTAAAATCTTGTTTTATAGGATAAAAAAGAATAGGACTTTGTTGTTGCTTTTTGCATTGTTCCACATGATAGTTACTGCTATCTTTTTAGTTTAGCCTGTCAAATAACACACACACCTCAGACCTACAAGTGTGTATTTCCCACTTAGTGCACACTTTGGCTCTCTCCACCCCTCTAGTTATTCAATCCTCACTAATTTCCATCACTATTTTTTTTTTTAATTAAACAGGAAAGAGCCAGACTCCTCAGAGGTCAGTCTGTTCAACAAGTGGGACCCCAGGGCCTTCTGTATGTTCAGCAGAGAGAGCTTGCAGTGACCTCCCCAAAGGATGGTAGGTTAGGAAGCAGTGAATTGGGCGCTATCCCAAAAGGCTATTGGATATTTTATTTTATTTCTTTTTTAAACAGGCTCCATCTCCATTCTGGGTTCTGATGATGCCACCACTTGCCACATTGTGGTCCTGAGGCACACAGGTATGGCGAGAGAGACAAAGGAAATCATTATTTAAACCAACCACGTTTGGGACCGTTAATTTGAGTGTCCTGGTGTCCTACCGGAAACCTGACTCGGCTCACCTTTTCTCTGGTCTGCATGGTACCTCCCTGTGCCCTGGTCAGAACGGGTTGGCTGGGCAGCACAGTTTCTGTCTTTCCTTACAGGATGTTCAGAGAGGAGGTGGTCCGGATGGACAGGATTGAGTTGGCTTGCTTACTGAGTGCTCATCGGGAATAACATGAGTCATTTCACCCTTGTTCTTCAGGTAATGGGGCTACCTGCTTGACACATTGTGATGGATCTGACACCAAAGCTGAGGTCCCCTTGATCATGAACTCCATAAAATCCTTTTCTGACCACGCTCAATGTGGAAGGTGAGCTCCACGCTACTCTGTTTTGATATCGGGAACTTTGTACCCTTGTGTAGAGGAAACCTCTGTGGAAGCTGGGACAGACACACAGGATGTCACTACCACAGTGGCTGTCTTGTTCCCCTGGAGTGGAGCTTGGCACAGCATGGCCCCTTGTCCTGGTTGGTGAGTGAGTGGGTGGGTGGGTGATGGGTACAGGCAGGAAACAGTGCTGGATTGTGAATGGAAGGTTTGACCTTGCACCTGGAGTTTTATGTTCAGTAACGTATTTTTAGATGTTCCTATATCAGACATTGGGGTACATAGTACCCCAGGTGTAGTATCCCTTCATTCATTTATTCCTTCAGCAATTATTTATTGAATGTTCTGTATGAACAAGAGCTGGTTTAGGTGCCAAGGACAGAGCAGTGGACAGCGTACACCAAACCCGCCCCCACGGTGTTCATATGGTAAAGCAAGGAGAGATTCAGTAAGTAGAGTAGGATGTTAAATGGTAGACAGGACTGTGGGGGGAAATCAAGGCAGGGAAGGAATGGGAGATGGCTGAGGGACTAGGGGTACATGTCAGCAAAACAGTGATTTCACCAGGGATCCCTTACAAGAGCTGAGGTCTGACCTGGCTGTCCATCACAGCATCTAACCCTCACCGGTTACAGGAAGTGTAACCACCTCCTTTCCACAGCTGCTGACACAGACTCAGCTGGCCCGGAGTCACACAGCTAGTCAGTGGTAGGCCCGTGACATCTGACGTGTGCTCACTCCCCTGTCCCCTCTCCTTCCTCTCCCATCAGGCTGACTGCAGGCTTTGCTCTCATTTTACTTGAAGCCTGATGCAGCCGTTGAATGAACTAGTCCATTCATATACAAGTGCTTAGAATACCAAAGGTTTAAAAAGGCCTCTGTCAGTGTCACTAGTACAACACAGTTGAATTTTTAAATGTAATTATACTCCTGCCTGTGGCTGCCGCGGGCTGGGCCGCCTTCACCGGCCTGCAGCCTCTGCAGCCGCAAAATGGACTTTCATTGGGCCCTCGATTACTCAGCTGGATCTGGCCACTGGCCCAACTCCATGATTCTCGGAACGCAGTTGTGAGATATCCCTGGTCTCTTCACGGAACTGCTTTGGTCTCTCTGGAAGGTTTGCTGCACCCTGTGGCCCAGTGTCCAGCAAAGCCACGGCGACCTCTGCTCCTCTTACTTTGAATGCTCAGTATGAGACCGCTTGATGGTTGGCCCTGTGCTGGTTTCTTAGAGATTCCAATTCATTCCTCACGTCTATGTGAAATACAGCTGCACTTTCTTTTCTTTTTTAGTATGTTCTTATTTATTTCAGAGAGAAAGGGAGAGGGAAAGAGAGAGAGAAACATGACTAATGAGAGAATTATTGATTGGCTGCCTCCTGAATGCCCCCCACTGGGGATTGAGCCAGCAACCCAGGCATATGCCCTTGACCAGAATTGAACCTGGGACCCTTCAGTCCACAGGCTGACACTCTATCCACTGAGCCAAACCAGCCAGGCTACAACTGCACTTTCCAAAGCACTCGTCCCCGGGTTGTTTTCGGCTGCGCACAGGTAGTTAGCAGACAAGTGGGAAACACGTGGCTAAACAAGGTTTATTTTTCCCCCACCTGTCGGACTTCTTACGGCTTTTCTTTGCTGGTGTGAACTAGGATTCCTAGGGAGGGGTTACCTTGGGCAAGATTTCCCCAAATTAACTCCAAGAACACGTTTTTCCGTCTCATGCATCTGACGTTCAGGGGGACACGTGGATAATAAGTCTCGGTTCCCTCTGTGGGATGGAGACGATCATTTCTGCCTCTCCAGGAGAGTGGGCATGGGGGGGGACAGCACTGGGAAAGGTCCGCTGCAGCCCCTCCACAAAGCGGGCTGTCTTCCCTTCCCACTCCTCCACCCAGTTGCTCCTTGGCGAAGACGCCGAAGAGGTTTTCGGAGGTGTCCTGCTGTGGGTGGGTTACGTGTTAGAGGCGTATTTTTCTTGAGCAGAGTTCCTCGGCCCCTGCACCAAGCGGCAGCACACTGTGGTAAGGCAGAAATGCGCTCAGCCGCCAGGCTTCCTGGGCAGCCTCCCCACTTACCGCAGGGAGCACACAGGTGTCTTCTGTGTGCATGAGGCTCAGCACGGCCTGGAAGAGCAGGGCTTACTGAAGCTGAGAAACGCCATTGAAAGCAAAACCAGTGCACAGTCGCTGCCTTGTGCTGGCCTCTGACCACAATCCCGTCTCTTTGCCAGGCTGGAAGTGCACCTCGTGGGCGGCTTCAGTGACGATAGGCAGTTGTCACAAAAACTTACTCATCAACTTCTTAGTAAGTTCCCTGTTCTCCCCCCAAAATTTGATAAAAATTTGTACCTATTTTTGCTTGGCTGTAAGTCCCAGTGAGGACACGAGAGGGGCACACCTTCCTGGAGTGACATAAACGGCTCAGCTTGGAATCTGACATACAGACTGGACAGCACACAGCTACATTTTCAGGGGGTAATGGGATGGGTCAAGATTTTTTTTAAGACAGCAGTTGATATGCTCTGAATTATGTAAAAACAGAACCACCCTCCAGGAAGAAAAGTCCATTTTAATATGTAGAAAATGAGAACACCAATCATACCATATTTTCCCTACTCAATGAGCAAGTATTTTTTTTCAAAAACACATTGTTCTGTTAACCATGAGGATTGAGGTAACAAATTGACACAGAACTGGAGCATACATTGGTACAGCCTGCTGGGAAAACATTTTGGCATCATGGTAGTCTTAAAAAGGCTCATACCCTTGGACCCAATAGTTCCCCTTCTGGGAATATTCTAAGAAAATAACCCGAAATGTGCGCAGAATGTATGCCCAAAGATAGACGGGCAGTAGAACATTACCAACGGGAAATGATCTAATGTTCATTAGTAAAGGAATAATGATGTAGCTATTAAATATAAAATGTCTACATGCTATAAGCTTAGCTGTGCATTGGAAAAGCATGGAATACACAGCATATTAACTGAGATTATGGGGATTAAAACCCATATACTTCTACCATTAAAAACCATTACTCCTTATTCTCTCCTGTTTTTCCAAAATTTTGGAGTAATAAAAAATTTTTATGACTATGATATCAGGAAAAATAGTTACTTAGGGAGAGTAAAACTCTTACAGTCATTTTATCCTCCCAAACCTCCGAATGAAGAGAAATGGAAAGCCTTGGTCAGAGTTTTCTTTGGGCTTGAGGCTGGGAACATGGCTATAACTTGGCAGGCCTGGTAGGACAGGTGGTGGCTGAAAGGGTGTTAGGACAGAGATGGCTCAGCTGGCTTCCATCCCTCCGTCTCCTTCTTGACTTGCTCAGCTTATGTTCTGCTAACCAAAGGAACTTTTTTGACACCCAGTTTTAAAATTCTAATTGTAGGTGAATTTGACAGACAAGATGATGACATTCACTTAATGACATTATGTGTGACAGGTAAGTCCTGCCGTCCTTCCCAAAATGAAGTAGATCCCAGGGACATATTGCCCTCCCCTTAAAGCAGGGCCTAGCCTCAGTAGCTCAGTCACAGAGGACACAATTTGCCGATGCTTTGCTGACTTTTCCTCTGGCTTTCCCCATCTGCTGGGATGCTTTCCCTCCTGCCCTGTATCCAAATCCTGCGCAGCCTCCGTTGTGATGCTGACCCGCTTCAGGGTCACTCATCTTTCCTTCCCTGGGATTTCCAGAAGCATGTCTGTCCTGGGCAGGAGAAGGGGCCACACCCCATGGGAGCTGCCACCTGCGTGGCAGGCTGCTGAGCATGTGGATGGCTGGGAGCCCCTGCCTCTGGAGGTGGCCATTGGTTCAGGATAAGCCCGAGTGCTCTGGGACTCAGCAGGGAAACGGGAAAACAGTTCCTTTTGTGGTCCGTTTTCCCCGCTTTAGTAGCGGGGGCTCTATTTTACAAAATGAAAGCAATTGTTTAGTGTTCCTTAAAAATTGGATCTTAAAAAAACAAAACTTTTGTTTGTTTGTTAGAATTAAATGACCGGGAAGAAAACGAAAACCACTTTCCAATCATTTATGGCATTGGTGAGTAGTGTTTATCTGAGGGTTGGAAACTGGCCACATGTTGACAAGGCAGGCCCCAGTGAAAGGAACTAGTGAGCCACTGATGTCAGTGTGTCACAGTATGTTCTCCTGTGTTTGCTGGGGACCCTGGGCAGGGTCCTGATCTCCTCTAAGCATTATCTTCGAAAGAGAGAAAATGTCCACATGCAGCCCGGGAGGAGAAAGCCAGGAAGCGCACACAGCCCGGACGGCGCCCCCAGCAATGGGAGTGTCAGTGGCGCTCTCCTTTCCCGAGGCGGCCGGCTGTGCTTTTGTCCAGCCAGGGCTCCAGGGGCCGCAGTGGAGCATAGTAATTTTCTTACATGTAGGGAATCAAGTAAGGTTTGATTGAGAAGGAAAGTAAAACTATCAAGGACCTTTCTCCGATTCGAGGAAATCCAGAAACTTCCACCCTTTCAGGATGGTCCCTAAGACTCCAGAGGTATAGGATGAAATAGGCTGTATGCAGAAGGCTTCTACCTTGTCTGTAATACTTCATGTATTGAGTTGTGTGGTGGGCACACAGATGCGTGTTGTTTTCTATAACGTATATGTTTGAAACGCATAGTAAAAATTAGGAAACAAAAACACGAGACTTGGCCATCATCACAGGTCCTCTACCCCCAGCCGCTTGCAGACACGCTCGGCCACAGGGCTGACCAGCAAGGCCTTGCCACGCACCTGCCTGAAGAGATTGTCTTCCTGTGGGGCTGGCTCTTGGTTTGGTCCAGTCCTACAGAACCTAGTTCAGTTCAGCCATTTTGAGTGAGGTACTTGGCTAAAAGATTTCATTGTCCCTTTCCAGGAAGGAGGAAGCTACAGGCACTTGAGAGTGATTTTGTTCAGTTTTCATTCTGTTCTGTATTTGAGAGACTTATCCATGTTCTATTAGGTACGGTGGGAGAACTGTGGGCCTGTGCAATCTTCCCATGTTTGTCTTCGTCAGCTCAGTCATCCTGTTGTCCCAACAGCTGTCAACGTGAAAACGGCAGAGATCTACAGAGCCTCCTTCCAGGATCGCGGTCCCGAGGAGGAGCTGCGCGCTGCCCGAGCTTTAACAGGAGGACCAGTGAGTTTGGAATCATCCTTGTGTTCAGGGTTTACGGAAGAAAAGGGCATCAAACTCCAAAGCCTTATAGACCTTGGATATGAAAAGTTGATGTCAGCTTCTTTAAACCTGTGAATTAATCAGGGGCCACCTCTCTCCCCCTCTCCGTTTTTCTGAGTGCTTTTAGGTTATAAGCTCAGGACCCCAATTCTCTGCCTGGAAGGTGTAGAGGAGGTGATGTGAACCTTTAGCATTCAATCCAAAGAGAAGGAATCCCTTTTACTTTGTAAGAACTTCACCTGTAAAGTTCCTACAGAGAAAGAGCCAACAAGGGGGAAAGAAGTGTCTCCCCTTTGTACCTCAGATCATATACTCCTTTGGACCAAATAACTAAAGAACAATCTTCTGGAATGAACTGATCAAAAGACCAATCAAATCAATTTAAAAGTCTGATTGCCGCTGAAACCGGTTTGGCTCAGTGGTAGTGTCGGTCTGCGGACAGAAAGGTCCCGGGTTCGATTCCGGTCAAGGGCATGTACATTGGTTGCGGGCACATCCCCAGTAAGGGGTGTGCAAGAGGCAGCTGGTCGATGTTTCTCTCTCATCGATGTTTCTAGCTCTCTATCTCTTTCCCTTCCTCTCTGTAAAAAATCAATAAAATAAAAAAAAATCAATAAAAAAAAAATGAAAGTCTGATTGCCTTCGGGTGCTTTTTAATTAAATAACATTTTAAGTGATCTTTTTATTTTAAATATATTTTTTTATTGATTTTTCACAGAGTGGGAGAGGGATAGAGAGTTAGAAACATCGACGAGAGAGAATCATCGATCAGCTGCCTCTTGCACACCCCCTAATGGGGATGTGCCCGCAACCAAGGTACATGCCCCTGCCCGGAATTGAACCCGGGACCTTTCAGTCCACAGGCCGACGCTCTATCCACTGAGCCAAACCGGTCCCGGCTGATCTTTTTATTTTATATTTATTTTATAATTAAAAAAAAATCCATACCCAAGGATATTTTCCCATTGATTTTTAGAGAGAATGGAAGGGAGGTAGAAGAGACAGAAACATTGACGTGAGAGAGACACATTGATTGGTTGCCCCTGCACACCCCCGAACAGGGCCAGGACGGAGCCTGCAACTAAGGTTTATGTCCTTGACTGGAATCGAACCCGGGTCCCTTTAGTCCACGTGTAGATGCTCTATCCACTGAAACAAACCAGTTAGGGCTAAATAACATTTTTAAAATTTTTTTTTGTTTTTTTTTTGTTTTGTTATTGATTTCAGAGAAGAAGGGAAAGGGGGAGAGGCAGAAACATCAATGAGGATGAGGGAATCATTGACCAGCTGTCTCCTGCATATCTGCCTCCTACTGGAGATCAAGTCTGCAACCCAGGCAGGCATGTGTCCTGACTGGGAATCAAACCGTTACCTCCTGGTTCATGAGTTGACTCTCAACCACTGAGCCACATCCGCCAGGCTAAATAATATTTTAATTTTAAAAGTTAGAAAAATAAAAACCCAAGACTGACATCCCCCACTTGAGGAATAGGTGAAAGAATCCCTTTAAAATGTGTGTAAAACTGGGGGGGGGGGGGGAAAGAGATTTGCTCATTTATAAAATGCTGACAATTTCATTGGAAAATAATATTTGGATTCAGAGTGACCTGTTTTGCCAACCCTTGAACATTTTTAGAGTTCCTTTTATAATTTCTCAAGTAGTATCATAGCCTTGATTTAACTAATATTCAGAATATATTTCAATCTCAGTAACCAAAATAGAACATTTGTGGGTAAGTTGACGATGACCATCGACAAATTTGAGAATTTAGGAGTTGGTCATTTGGTAAATTAGCATTTTTACAAATTGTTTTTCCTTTCTTTTGATGGGGCAGCAGGCATTGTGTAAAGTTGTAAGGTAACTTAGTTCTTGGGTATAAATGAGGAGGCAGTGTTTTCTGTAGCCATGAGGAACACGGACTTTATCAGGCACACCTGGGACTGTGGGCTCTGTGCCCCACCTCTCTGAGCTTCAGGTTTCCACTACAATGGGGGAAATGCCATTTTCACGCAGGATTGTTAAGACTAAACAAAATAATGTATGTTACCCACAAAGTGCAGTACCTGACAGGTGGAAGTATTCAGTAAGTAGCAGCTCTTGTTATTAGGAGACATAATTGTAAAGCAGCTTATCATTCAGGTAAATGCCTTACGTGCTAGACTACACTGGAGCATGCTTTAATGGTAGGGTGTGAGAAGCTGATAGCATTCCTTAAAATCTATCCTTGCAATGTTCTTTTCAGATGGTTAGTATTTACGATGCAAAGACAGAACAACTTCGTATAGGACCGTATTCCTGGGTGCCATTTCCACATGTGGATTTCTGGTTGCAGCAAGATGATAAGCAAATACTAGAGGTGAGAATTTACAAGGTGGGCAAATCTTAACTCTCTGGACCCTGGTCTCCTCATCTGTAAGAAAGAAAAGGGTTTAGACTAAATAATAGCTGTTCCCTCCCCCCTTCATTGGGCAGTATTTATTGTTAGAATGCCCCTGGCAGACCCCACTTACCTTTTGTATCAGGGGACATAAGCACTGTCCTGGGTAGACACTTGCATAGGTGAAGTAGTAAGCAACCAACTGCTCTTTTCTCACGAACCCAGTACACCTGTTCCTACGTAACTTTACAATTTACATGTGTGTATAGAGCGATCCGAGAACATCCTGATTAATGTTCAAGGAACACAAGAATATTTGTCATCTTCATCAAAGTAGGGAACAGCGAGAGGTTCTTCTCTTATGCCTCATATCTTGTTTTTCCAGAATCTTTCCACTTCACCTCTGGCCGAGCCCCCACACTTTGTTGAACATATTAGAAAAACCTTCATGTTTTTAAAAAAATACCCATCTCCAACAAACACATTATTTCCTGGAAATAAAGCTCTGCTCTACAAAAAAAATGAAGATGGCTTATGGGAAAAGGTCCCTTCTCCAAGAAGCTCAAAATAGGAATTACCAAAGAAAGCAACTTTTTGGCATGACAGAGACCATTGGTGGGGGTTGGACAGAATATGAATTTGGAATCTACATCCGTTGAGTCTTAGTGTCTTTCACATGACTTTCAAAATAAAATCTTATTTTGGCAAAGGCATTTGTTACTTTTTGCTTTGCTAAAAGTTGACATCCAGCTGTTCCTTTTTGGTTAGTGATAAGGGGCAGAGGAGAAGCCATCTGCTCACTATTCTATGACAGCCATTTCAGTTACTTAGGTAATTCTAACTCTACAAAATTAGTGAATAAAGGGAAATTTATAATTGAGTCTGCTTTAAAAACAGTATTTAAAATGCAATAAAGTTCAGTCAGAATTTATACATCTCACTGAGGGTGGTGTTTTTTGTGGATTTTTTTTTTTTACCCCAAAATATTTTAGAAGCATCAAATCCAAACTGATATAAATTATTTCTAGATGAATGAGATGGAAGGTTCAGAAATACAAATAGGATTTGATCTTACTGTCCTACATTACAATTATCTCTAAAATAGATAATTTCTCATGAGAATAAATTTAATCTAAGTATTACACAAAACCAGTGATAAATCTGTTCTTTTAGGTATTAAGTCACTAAAATGCCCAAATTGTGATTATTGTGCAAGTTATATTTTTCAGAAATCTTTATTTTTCTGAAGTTTCCGACTATCCAAAAGGAAGCAACTATGCTTGACTGATAGTAAGATTTATGAACCGAACTCACTGGGAACAATTTCAGGAACTTTTATTGAAACCAACATCCAAATAGTATCTTAAGGGTGAAATTCTGTTCAGCAAAACCAATTTAACAATTCCAAATATATATAAAAACATTTAAAAATTAATCTTGTTAAAGGTGATAATTTCCCCTTCCCCCATTTTATCTGCTATACTTCATTGCACCAAATAAACAGGAAGACTTCGTTTAATCATCTGCACACACACACAAAAAGAAAAAGGAAAATTGCATTTTGACAAATGCCAGATGTCAGAAATCACATCAAATCAGAGTAATTATAGGCTTACTATGGTATAACTAAGGCTTCCAATACTACAGTCCACAAACCCAGTGTCAATTCCCACCGTGCCTCAAGCCTGACTGCTGACTGTAAGGACGGGCCATTGCCTCTGGTGCTGAAGGGGAGCTGCCCTCTGGAAAAGCAGACGGCAGGCATGGAAGGGCTAACCAGTCATTCAGCAGCAGTCTGGCTTGGTCAGCCTGAGAAAGGCTACTTTTCTCTTTCTTATTTGTGTGTTGGGCCTAAAGGGGTGAGCTGCAGTGGAACAAACCTATGGAAGCTCCCGGGTAAAACAGGTCAAAGTATACTTATTTTAGAATTCAAATTTAACTGGGTGCTACACAGCATGTTTAATATTAGGCTTTTAGGAGTAGCATCTATTAGGTTTTCAGATATTAAACATAGAAATGAGCACAGTCTATTCTCTTGTGCCAATTTAAAAGCTTTACCAATATTTAAAAATATACATATATATGGTCAAGAAGAGTCTTTACAGTTTCTCTTAATAGAGGAGTCACTTAGTTAGTTTAGAAATAGTATATAAAGGGAGGAATGGATTCGTGGCAGAGGAAAGTCACAGACAGAAGCACTGCCCAGTCAACTTGCTCGATAGCCTGCCACAGTTTGAGTGGACACGGTCCGTACTGATGTCTCCAAGGAAAGCAGCAGTTGGGGATGGCAGAGAGGGCTTCTGACACTCTTATTTACAATTCCATTGGAACCCATTCTCCTTCAAGCCAGCACGATGCAGCTGTAAAGGAAGGTTGTCTGTCTTTCTCTGCAGTGGCACAGCAGAGGACCCAGAGAGGTCTAAAGAAAGCTGTCTTACCAGGAAGTTCTGTGTAACTAATAATTTATGTTTACAAGATAAAAGCATGTGTTTCAAGTGACAGACACTTGACATTCTGAGTGTTCTTTGTGAATAAAAAGTGTTTACAGTAACTCGGGGGAAAATTATTACTACAGTTGGATAGACAGAAACAACAGTTCTCTGTACCCATTAAATTAGACAAATCAGTTACCCTGATTTTTTTGCACATACATGTGCAAAAAGCCAGTTAAAGCACAAATAACAGTAATTTCTCTTGTATTAGCATGTGGCACAGTTCACATTTTCAGTATAACTTTATCTTCCATGACACAATATGCAGTACAGTCTCAAACCAAACACTGAATTTTATCTTAAGTTTTCCGGTTCTTCTACCTGTGGGCGGTCATCTTCTGGGCCCTGGGCAATGTTCTGGAAGGTTCCAGTCTGCTCGGCTTCCTGAGGGGCAGGAGCCCCTGGCTGTGGCTCAGGGCTGTTAGCCTCCAGGGCCTCCTGTTCCTGCCCACTGGACAGGTGCTCCATTTTCTCTAAATCTTCAGTGTGACTGACTGAGCTTGTCTCACTCAGAGCATCTGAGCCTCTTAGCGACTTTTTAAAAGGCTTCTGGCCTAGAGAAAGATGGGATAAACCGCACTGAAAGTTCAATAAAGGATACTTCTGCAACAAAGCTCTCTGTGTAACAAGTGATTGCTTTATCAATTCCAACCATTCAGTGGAAATCCCCAGCATTACTGGTTTGGAGCATTTGAGTAAGGAGGAAAGAAAAGAGAGCTGATAATGGACTAACATGCTCCTTAGGTGAGGACTTTGGAGATCACTCGTAAACAGCTCAGGAGAATAAACACCAGGTTAAACATGATGCCAGTTCTCAAGACTGTAATTTCCCCCTCAGGAGTGCTACAGAGGTATTCTTCCAAGGCTGAAGCCCAAGGCTATTGGAATGGTATTTAAAGGGACAGCTGGGCCCTAACCAGTTTGGCCCAGTGGGTAGAGCATTGGCCTGTGGATTGAAGGGTCCCAGATTCGATTCCTACCAGGGGCACATGCCTGGATTGCAGGATTGATCCCCCCGTAGGGGGTGTGCAGGAGGCAGCCAATCAATGATTCTCATCATTTATGTTTCTATCTCTGAAATCAATCAAAATATATTAAAAAATAAAAACAAAAAAAAGGACAGCTGGTCTTAAGAGAAAAGGAACTTTGGGTTTAAGACCATGAAAACAAAGATGTAAAGGCAATATCAAATGGAAAAACATTAAATGATGCAGAAGTCTACTTTCCCAAGATAAATGTAAACCTTTTTCTTTTTTTCTTTTGAGAGAGGAAGGGGAAGGGAAAGAAACACACATCAATATGAGCGTAGAATGTCAATCATAGGGCTCTGCCATTACTGCAGCCAAAGTGTGGAATTCCTCCACCGACCGCAGCCCCAGGAGAACTAACAAGTGAGCCAAAAAGGCAATCTAAGTATTAACGGGATGGTGAGGAATGTGGAAAGGCTGGGGGGGGATTTTGTGAAATTGCAGTGCCTTCCAGATTAGGTGCACTTTCAGTCTCTCTTTAAATGGGGCGAAGACCTGCAGGCTGCCAGGAGCAATAGTGAAGAATAGGCACATTTAAAAACAGAAAAACTTTTAAACAAACAGACATGAAGATCATATTGGGAAACTGAGGAAGAACGCAAAAATCATTATAGGGCCATCATCCATCTTGATACATGTTAGCAAACACCACCAACAATTTCATGCACGTGAAATGCAAAATAGTTCTATTGTGGGTTTTCTTTTGGCCATCCTTAAAGTATAATTAGATCCAGCTGGGGGGAAGCTATAGCTTCCAGCATTAGACCCCTTGCCCCCACAGCAGGCCCTGCCCGATTGGCCCCCAGTGAGGAGGCTGGATGGACCCCTCCCTCCTGGGCACGAATTTGTGCACCAGACCTCTAGTGAAGATACAATGTACCTGGAAGTCTGAGTTTAGTTCGAGAGCCTGTGGGGGTCTGAGGCGGTGTTACTCCTGTATCTTGTACTTTGTAGACATACGTGTGTTCTGTGGACTCCAGAGAGCCTGCCAGGGAAAGAGAGAGAAGGGTGGGTGGGTGGAAACTCCTGGCACAGACTGCCTTGGCAGATGCTCCCATTCAGCCTTGTTCCCTACTGAGCTTCCTCCAGCCATGCAGCCTCACACAGACTAGTGGAGACTTGGGTACTCCTGAAACATGCCAGAACTGGAGAAAGCCACCTCACAGCTGTGCTCCAAAGTCCCAGCCCTGCTGGAGGGTTTCATCCTTGTTTCTCCAGGTATCCTGTGCACATGTGAAGAAAGCCAGCAGTGTGGCTGGCTAAGCATGCCTGGAGAGCCTGGCTCAGGTGGGAAAAGCAAGCCCTAACTTCCCCATCAGAAGTGCTTTAGCAACAGTGTTTTGGTAATAAGGAATGAATGCCTCTGGTAACAAGGAATGAATGCCTCTTTGCTAAAGGCTGAGGCATGGCAGGTTCTAAAAGTCAGATTATCTCTGGTTGACAATGGAGTCATTTCCTGGGGAAGGGTCACAGGAAGGGGCCCCTGGTAGAACAGGAAAGGAGTCTTGTGGATATCATCTCCCCCAAACCTCAGCAACTGTTAAAGTCTGGTGCTACAGACCATGGTCTTCACTGGGCAAAGGCATTACTTTACTGGGCAAAACACTAATGGGGACTGCAATGTTCACACGGAGCCGAAACCGGTTTGGCTCAGTGGATAGAGTGTCAGCCTGTGGACAGAAGGGTCCCAGGTTAAATTCCGGTCAAGGGCATGTACACTGGTTGTGGGCACATCCCCGGTGGGGGTTGTGCAGGAGGCTGGTCGATGTCTCTCACTGATGTTTCTAGCTCTGTCCCTCTCCCTTCCTCTCTGTAAAAAACTCAATAAAATATATATTTTTTAAAAATGTTCATATGGAAACCAAATACCCAGACACAGCCTTAAGGGCGAGAACATCTGAGTGAACATGTTCTCACTGGATCCCAGGAAGAGAGATCTGCTCTAAGTAATGCGCATCTGCTTTTGGGTCATTTTAGCTAAGGAGTTGAGGGGAGATGAGAAAGTCACAGGGGCAGGCAGATTCCTGGCACAGTACCCAGGATAAAGCATGGGACACATAAGGCTTTTCAGCGTGAGTGTGGGATCCAGGACATTTGGTTCAAACTCTCGAGGTACATGAGATCTGGGAGGAGGCTGTTAGACCTACCTGCTGTTAAGTTAAAAGTTCTTCCCTTCTGTGAAGGCTGGACCGGAGAAAACCAATTCAGCACGGATCCTACTACAGGGATCTGCCTTAACACCCCCTGCAAAACAGAACATTGTTCAATATCGCCCTGTCCAGTCCAGCTTCCAGCCTGAGCCACTCAGCAGACTCACCTCTTCCAGAAGGCGCTCCTCATTGGCCTTCTGCAGTTGAACCTGAGCTTCCTGAATTCCTTTCCGAACCACTTCTGTCATGTTTTCCAGAAGCTGTGTTAAGACCAAGAAAGGCATTAGTTGTCATCTAAACTTACTGCCTGGGGCCTAGAACTATTAACACAACACTGGGGACATTTTTCTAATGCAGTGTTTCCCAAAGTGTGGTACGCCTACCCCCAGGGGTACGGGAAGAGTTTGGTGGGGGTACGCGTTGCGCCGGAGTTTGGTGGGATATGCACTGCACCGTGCTTAGCTGAGCCTAATTCTACATTCTCATGAGTATGAGGGGTACTCAGCGTTACGGAAATTATAGAAGGGGTACATATATGTTAAAAGTTTGGGAAACACTATTCTAATGGAATTCTGCAGTGTAAAATATTAGTGTAAAAATAAAATCAAATAGAAGAGGATAGAATGCTCAAGGAGGTCTAAGCAGACAGACCTTGGTGACCAGCCTCATTAGCCAGGGAACAGGGAGGAGAAAGAACTATCCCTATGATCTGAATGTCACATCATTAGAAAACATGTGGCTCCCCATTTGTGCAATTGGAGTCAGAAGTGAGATAGGTTTGGAAGAAACTGCAAAGTCCATTCAAGAATGAATGAAATGTCCTCTTCCCCACCCCTACCAAAAGTGAAATACATGGCACGTTTCTGTCTCCTCTTAGATCTATCATGTTTTCTCTCTTTTTGAGTGACTTCTAGTAACTCAAATCTCTAGTTTAGAGAACCAGCTTTAAGCCTCAGAGCCCCCTTCTCCATGCCAACTGGCCAGCAGGAGCAGGTCTGTTACTGGCGGGAAGTTCCAGTTATCAGAAACATCCGTCGCATTCAGCCTCAGGACCCAGCTACAACCAGGAAGTCTCCCCTGACCTTGTCAGACAGTGAAGGCATCTTTCTGAATGCTCAGCTACCTCTAACTTCTATTCTATAGCATTTACTACCTCACTTGGTTATATGTCTGTCTCTCCCCACTGGCTTGTGAGTTCCCCAAAGGCAAGTACCATGTCAAATCCACTTGGTATTCCCAATGCCCGGCACCAGGCCTAATTCATAGCAAACATTTAAAAACTTTTTGGGAAAGAATGAATGAACAGACATTGTGATGCCAGCTAGCTGCCCAGGCAAAACTTAGAAAAGGAATGAGAGGCCGGGACCGGTGTGGCTCAGTGGATAGAGCGTCGGCTCGGGGACTGAAAGGTCCCGGGCTCGATTCCAGCCAAGGGCATGCACCTTGGTTACGGGCATATCCCCAGTAGGGGGTGTGCAAGAGGCAGTTGATAGATGACTCTCATCGATGTTTCTAACTATCTCTCTCCCTTCCTCTCTGTACAAAATCAATAACATATATTAAATAAAAATAAAAAAATAAAAAAAATAAAAAAAAAGGAATGCTATTTTTCATTAGTCTTACAGACCCTTGAGTTTTCCTCAATTTCTCGGGCTGTGACTGCAATGGTCTCCACGAGTTCGGAAACATCTACTTCGTCACTCGCCATGCCAATGTAAATACAGCTCTTCATACTTTTATACTCAGGGCCTGTGGGAAGAAACAACAGACCAACTTGGTTACCTGTCATGAGTCAGCCCCCAGCCCCCTGTTCTGTACACGCAAAGGAGCCTCCCTGGGGGTGGGAGGAAAGTGGTTCTAACGAGGAGACAGAAGCCCGGAGAGGCGGACAGGGAAAGGAGCTCTCACCCCTCAGAATGAACTAAAATGACGTTTCCTCAAAAAGATACAGCCCGTTTTCTCTTAGCCAGTTAGAAATGTCCTTGCACAGTTAACAGCTGACTTATAAAAATAGTAATTACCCATTTTAAATGTAAGGTCAGATTCTAGTTCGTTTAACTTTTTCAGGAGTCCAGCATGGATTTTTTCCCCTTCTGGATCTAATTTCAAACTGTTCTTATCGTCATTAGCATGTTCATACCTGTAAACAATATAAAACAACAGTATTTAAAGCTAGAATATCAAATGTCTCTCGGACACAGTCACTGGGGAAGTATAAGGTACAGGAGGTTACCAGGAATGTGAATTGAGACAAATGAACAAAGGAGCCGCTCAGAGAGGGTCTCAAGACCAAAAACTTTCAAGAACGTCTCAAGGAAAGGTCTAGTCTGTTAGGCCATGAAATTTACAGAGGGGGGCCAAGGTCTGCAAGTCTCATCATTTGTGATTAAAAAGGCAGCTGTCCCTCATCCTGAAAGGAGATGGAAAGCAGCCACAAGGAGGACAGCACACTGACTACAAGGGCTGCAGGAGTTTGCTCTGCTGAGGAACGGGCCCTTTCCCTCATCCGCCGCGGACAGGCACCACCTGTAGGTTGTAGACCTGTCTATGTCTCCCGATGGGGAGCTGGCACAAAAACACACACAGCAACTCCGACTGCCCTGAGTGCAATGGTGGGTCCCCTCGCCGGCTGCATGTGCTGTTAGAAGTGCCCAGAATTACTACTTTTATTTATTTATTATTATTTACTGATTTGAGAGAGGGAAAGAGAAACACTGATTTGTTGCTCTACTTATTGATGCATTCATTTGTTGATCTTTTTGTTGTTGTTAATGCTCACCCAAGGATATTTTTCCATTTTTTTAGAGAGTGGGAAGGAGGAAAGATAGAGGGAAATATTGATGTGACTGAGAAATTGAGCCTGTAACCGAGGTCTGTGCCCTTGACAAAAATCAAACCCAGATCCTGCAGTCTGTGGGCTGACACTCTATCCACTGAGCCAAATCAGGCAGGACCAGAACTTCTAATTGAATGTTCATTAGATGTTTTCACTGTGACTGCACGTATTCATCTGAGATTTTTAAGTTGGTTCATAAATTGACCCACTTGGTCTTTATACAGCAGAGAAATTAACATCAGGCAATAAGCAGAAACCATACCTGACAACCCCTATTCCAGGCCAGTTAGGGTCATCAACATGCAAGACGCCTGCTGTTCTTGTCACTTCTTGCTTGAACTCCTCTCGCAGCTGTAGTGTACAGGTCATGACCGGCAGCTTGCCTTCTATGCAGGCTACCAGCTGGTCCACGTCCTCTCCCCGAGTTCCTAAAACTAAAAACATTCACAGAATGTTACGGAAATGCTTCAGGAACAGCTAAAATTTAGAGGGCAGGGCTCCCACTTCTTCTACCAGAAAGGCCAACAGCTCTAGGTACATCCAATTAGCTGGAGCCGAGGACGAATCTGGTATTCTATAGCCACACCCTCCGGTACAGAGTTTTTTCTTACAAAGATAGAATTAGCTCCTCCAATTTAATACACAATGACACTCTGATATAAAACTGAGATTCTTCCCACAGAAAGATTCTGCTTAAATCAAATAAGAACAAAGAGGCGACCACGCAGCACATTAACTTCTCAGGAGAAAGTTATTTCGGTGTGCTGTGGCGGGAGGCCAGAACTAAGTCACTTCTGAAGGTGAGAGCCTGAGAGGTCTCAGGGCTGCAGGGATCCAAGAGTCTTGGCACCATCATGGCTCCCTCACTTCTGTCGATTTCAACACTGCGTGTGACCTCACTGAGCGCACCGCCTCAGTGTCCTCAGCCCGCCTTCCCAGTGTCAGAGACCAGCTCTGGGGCTGGGTGAGGAAGCTGGGCGGCAGGAGCAGACACTCCTGGAGAATCCCGAGGCCAGCAGCCATCTTCACAACAACTTTTCTTTGCAGGATGGATGCCTGAACTTCCTTACTTTGATGTTTTTGAGAAAACATCCCAAAATGTTGAGAACATTTCATGAAAAACCATCAAACATTTTCTGAAAATGTTGAAATCATTTCAAAATAAAAGCACATCAACAACAAAATACATCTTTTTTCAGCTTTTTAAAATGCCTACTATAATATGCTAAGCACTACCTAAGGCATTTCATATACTTGTTCTCATTTTAATATTCACACCATTATCACGGAAGTAGTGGGAAATAGGTCTGGAGATAACTTGCTCAAGGCCCCCACAGGTATGAAGTGGCCTGGGGGGACAAATACTCAGGACTCAGAACCAGATACTTTCAGCTACCTTCTTCCTTAAATAACTAAAAGTGGTTCTCAGCCTTTGCTGGCCTATGTGAGTCACAGGGAACTTTCAAAGATAAGATGTCCAGGCTCCACTCTAGACCAAGAAAATCAGAATCTCTGTAGGTGAGGCCCAGCCGATGGGAGTTGTCAGAGCTCCACAGGTGATTCTATTATACAGACTGGACTGAGAACCACTGACAGAAAAGCGTCACACGACATCAAAACACAGGTCAAGTGACTTCAGAAGCCTCCGTTTCTGAGAAATTACACTGGAAGGCTAATTTACCTAATTTAACCCAAAAGAAAAGAAAAATCCTCTTCAAAGAGAGCAGAATATCACAAGGAAAAGCTCTAACACCCCATAGCCTGGACTTTCATACATAAGTCACTGATGTTCCCCAGAACAGAAGTGAGGCAATCCATGGAGACGAGTTACCTGCCGCTGTCATCAAAGGGCTGAACCTCACACACACTCCCTCTGCTTCCAGATCCATGACCGTGAGGCCACTCACAGGCACCAGCTGTTTCAGCTCTTCTCCCAGCTGCAGGGAAAAGGGTAGAATGAACGCGCTCCCGCAAGGAGGGAATCGAGTGTCTTCAGACCTATCCTCATCCATTCAGCCCCGGACTCAAGAAGCTCCTGAGGGTCTAGTTTCCTTTTATCTTTTTTTCTTTTTTCTTTTTTCTTTTTTTTTTAAAGGAAATCTTACTGAAACTGGTTTGGCTCAGTGGATAGAGCATTGGCCTGCAGACTGAAGGGTCCCAGGTTCGATTCCAGTCAAGGGCATGTGCCTTGGTTGCGGGCACATCCCCTGCGGGGGTGTGCAGAAGGCAGCTGATCGATGTTTCTCTCTCATCGATGTTTTTGACTCTCTGTCCCTCTCCCTTCCTCTCTGTAAAAGATCAATGAAGTATATATTTTTTTAAAAAGGAAATCTTACCTTTTTATTTTTATTTAAAATATATTTTATTGATTTTTCACAGACAGGAAGGGAGAGGAAGAGAGAGTTAGAAACATCGAGGAGACAGAAACATTAATCAGCTGCCTCCTGCACATCCCCCGTTGGGTACGTGCCACAACCAAGATACATGCCTTTGACCGGAATCAAACCTGGGACTCTTGTGTCTGCAGGCTGACGCTCTATCCACTGAGCCAAACCAGTTGGGGCAGAAATCTTACCTTTTTAAAAAATATATGTTTTTACTGATTTAAGGGAGAGGGCAAGAGATAGAAACAGCAATAATGAGAGAGAATCATCAATTAGCTGCCTCTTGCAAGCTCCCCACTGGGGACTGAGCCCAAAACCTTGGCCTGTGCCCTGACTGGGAATCAAACTGTGACCTCCTGGTTCATAGGTCAATGCTCAACCACTAAGCTATACCGGTTAAGCTCCTTTGATCTTATGATTTTCTTTGAATGCTATCATAATTCCTTTATAAAACAGTTAATTTTACATCTATTCTTAATTTAAAAGCCTAAGTTCATTGTAGAAAAATCTAGGAAATATAGGTAAACCAAGTGAATAAAAATTACCCAAAATATACCACAAATGTCATGTGGCATATACACAATGTCTTCCTCCCTGTATATGTGTGTGTGCATGCCTTATTGTTGTCATAAACCAGGATAATCTATACACTGGGTTGTAATCTACATTTTTCATATAACTGATGACCATTTCCCTTCTTTCATAAACACCCAGACACATGGTTTAATCTGGCTCTTTTGAACGTCACTGTATGGACATTATTCACCAAATGTCCTAGGTTGGGCATGTCCAATGTTTTGCTAGGATTTATAATACTGTGCTAAACATCTTTACATTGTTTAGAACATTCTTTAGGCTGAGATCCTTGAAGGTACAATTTTAGTGTCAAAAAGCAGCCAGAGCACAACGCCTCTATTCATACTGACATTCATATTCAGACTGCCGGTGGTGTTCAAGGGCCTCTGGCTTATGTGCTTTCTGGTGTCACCACAGACCCTCACCAGAACCCCAAAGTGGCTGCACTGTAACCTACACTGTGCATGTTGTTTTAACAGCAAAGAAATGGTCACATGAGGAAATATGTTGGGAAGACTTGCCAGAACCATGCAGTACGGGAGGTAGTGATCTGATTAAGAACAGAACCCCAGGATCAAGCCCAACGCCTTCACAGGAGGCTCCCTCCTCTGGGTCTCATTTCCCAGACATGGCCATGTAAAGCGCACAATTGCTATTCTTACCCAGCGATTCAGTGCATCACAGGAGTGTCCCTCCCGGCCAACTGTTGAAGGGGCCATGTTGGGTGCTGGGACAGCTTTAAGCGCTGGATCTGAAACCAAACAGGAAAGGATTCACTTCCCAGAAACAGCAAACTAAAAAAGGCAACCCTCCAACTCATTTTCTTTAGCTTCTAACATTAACCCACAAACAGTTTCAAATAATATGGAAATCTAATGTGTATCTTACATGAATGGATGCACAAAATGTGGTGTATACATTCATGGACTATAATTCAGCCTTACCGTGTTTCCCCGAAAATAAGACATCCTCCGAAAATACAGGTTTCCTTCTGAGTGAAATATAAGGCATCCCCCCAAAAATACCCCCCCCCCCCCCCCCCCGCCTTAGGCTCTGTCTCAGAATGCTATTGCTAAACATGAGAGATTTGGCCCACTGATTTTGAAAGAAATGGAGTCACAAGAAATTCACCAGGAAATTCAGGAATTGGATTGTTATGATGATGTTCCAGAAGATGATGACATAATTGTCATTGAATAAATGAGTAAATTCTTGATACTGTAGGATTCACAGTTTGTCTGCTTTGTGTTGACAACTACCGTACTACCGTACCATATACAGGTAATAAATTTCCTTTATTTTCATTTAACAATAAATGTGTACCGTATTCTTCTTCATGGAAAAATAAGACATCCCCTGAAAATAAGACCTAGCACATCTTTGGGAGCAAAAATTAATATAAGACACTGTCTTATTTTTGGGGAAACAGGGTAGAAAGGAAGGAAATTCTGTCACAGGCTCAGTATGGATGAACCTTGAGGACACTAAGTGAAATAAGCAATCACAAAGGACAAGTGCTGCTGCTTCTGCTTTTAGGATGCATTAATAGAAACCGTAGTTCAATGGTGTTTGCCAGGTGCTGGGAAGAGGAAGAAAATGGAGAGATGCTGTTTAATAGGTAGAGGGTCAGTTTTGCAAGATGAAAAAATTCTGGAGACTTGCAGTACAACAATATGAATATACTTAATACTACTGAATTGTACCTGTAATGGTTAAGCTGACAAACTTTATGTTTTTTAAGTCACAATTTAAAAATAAATGTATCTTACTAAACTAAATGTTACCTTTTTCATGAAAAATATAGCTCTTGAATATATTCATACAGAGTTCTTCTTTTTTTTAAGTATATATTTTATTGATTTTTTACAGAGAGTTAGGGAGAGGGACAGAGAGTTAGAAACACTGATGAGAGAGACATCAATCAGCTGCCTTCTGCACACCCTCTACGGGGATGTACCTGCAACCAATGTACATGCCCTTGACCGGAATCAAACCTGGGACCTTTCAGTCCGCAGACCGACGCTCTATCCACTGAGCCAAACCGGTTTCGGCTACAACTAGAGTTCTTAACTTTATTTTAAAAGTTTTCTATCAAGGGATTTAAGAAAAAAAAAAAAATCAAAGCAGCCCCGACCAGTTTGGCTCAGTGGATAGAGTACTGTCCTGCAGACTGAAGGGTCCCAGGTTAGATTCTGGTCAAGGACATGTACCTTGGTTTTGGGCACATCCCCAGTAGGGGGTGTGCAGGAGACAGCTGATAGATGTTTCTCATTGATGTTTCTAACTCTCTATCTCTCTCCCTTCCTGTCTGTGAAAAATCAATAAAATATATATTTTTAAAAGGAAATCAAAGAATAATATTATAAATTATCACTAAGCACTATGCAAAGTAAATCAAAGAAATCACCCAATAGCTGTGCTTCAAAACAGAATCAGCCTCTACTCATCAAACAATCTGGATGACTACTCATGCCAGGAGCTGGGTCAGGCCCAAAGGATATAAGACTGATAAGGTTTTTTTTCATCTTGGAGTTTACACTCTACTTGAGGAAACAGACCACAAAGAATGAAATGAAATCACTAATATTGCTGTGAGTGCCATGCAAGAAGGGGGGCTCTCACAGGCAGGGAAGGCTCTCTGAGGAGGTGGACATTATGGAGATCTAAATGGAGAAGTCAGCCAGAAGATGAGGGGAAATGTACTAGAGGGGGGGAACAGTAGTGTAAAGATCTTACTCTATTGAGCAGGAGGAAAAGTGGCCTACGAAGTCAGAAAGGCAAAGGCTAGAACTGTAGGCCCTTACAAGACCTAGCACAGAGCCCGGACCTCATTTCAACTGAAACAGTAAGATTCCAGAGAGTGATGCGATGTGACTTCCACTTGCACTGCTCACTCGGACTGCCATGTAGAGAATGGTCTGGAATGGGATCTGGCGTGTACCAAATTGACAGATGAGTGAGAGGGGACTGTGGCCTGAACTAGGCTGGTGGCACTTGGGACATTCTAAAAAATAGAGATTCCTAGATCCAACCTATTAAATCAAAATACCTACTAAACAGGGCCCCCAACCTCTATTTTCAAGGGATTCTTTATCATTCATTCCAGTACTTGTGCAGACACTAGAATTTGAAAACCACTGGTTTACCATAGGAAATTACTGATAAAATGCTAAGGCATTTAGGTCTTGAGTTCTTACGAAAATTATCAAATTTTTTCTGAAATAAAGACCAAAGATTTTAGTAATCAAAATATTTTGGACTATGTATTTTACTTGAAATAGTTTAAAATTAAAAGCCCTAAACACAAACACAAAAGTAACACTCTTTTTAAAATCACTTACCTGAGCCCGGTAATTCCTGGAAAAACCTAAACACTACTACTGGAGAACTGAGCTCATCTTCCACCTGAAAAATAGAATCTGACATTACCCAGTAATATCACATTTCATACACTTACAAAATGAAACAGAGTTTGAAAAACCGGCTAGAGATTTTATATTTTCTTTCTTTTTTTAAAATATATTTTATTGATTTTCCACAAAGAGGGAGGAAGTGGGATAGAGAGCTAGAAACGTCAATGAGAGAGGAACATCGACCAGCTGCCTCTTGCACACCCCCTACCAGGGATGTGCCTGCAACCAATGTACATGCCCTTGACTGGAATCGAAACTGCTAACTTTCAGTCCGCAGACTGACGCTCTATCCACTGAGCCAAACTTGTTTCGGCTATATTTTCTTAATAAACACTTAAGTTTAAAGGCTAATTTCAGTTGTTAGAGAAACAAAAATCAAGGGTTCAGTAAATAATTATATTAATTCTGAAAATATATTGCTGAATTACAGTAAGTGACACTGAAAAAAAAAAAAAGAAAATACAGTAAGTGATACTGCTATACTGAAAGTAGAAGGAAATTTTAATAACAATGGGTAACTAGCCGAAACCGGTTTGGCTCAATGGATAGAGCATCGGCTTGGGGACTGAAAGGTCCCGGGTTCGATTCCGGTCAAGGGCATGTACCTTGGTTGCGGGCATATCCCCAGTAGGGGGTGTGCAAGAGGCAGCTGATCGATGACTCTCTGTCATCGATGTTTCTAACTCTCTATCTCTCCCTTCCTCTCTATACAAAATCAATAAAATATATTAAAAAAACAAACAATGGGTAACTATAAGTCATTATAACATTAAAGATCAAAAAAGGCAAGGAAAAAGTTGAACTAGAATCAGTGCTGAGAGAGCCAAAGCTTTTAAGTATCTAAAAATGATGCTAACTCAATCAGCCAGGATTGACTGGAACTTTTTATACTCATAGAAAAAAGTAAAACATGGACTTTTATCTTTTCAAACTCCCCAAACAGAATGCAAGTCCTGTTGGTAATGTAGATAACCACAGTCTAGAATGGAATCTATGTATTTTCTAAATCAGCGGTAGCCAACCGGTGGTCTGTGGACCACTGGGGTCCGTGAGGTCCGAAAGGTTGGCAACCGCTGTTCTAAATCACTGAACTGGAACTTATATTCAGGACAGGCATCAGGCAACCAACTTCATTAATGGATTTCATAACAAATGAAAACATTCACTGCATTAAGATAAACCCGTGCCAAGTTCATGTTCTCATTGAACAAATACACAGCTGGCCATCAGCTTCACTGTGGAGTCAAGATACAAAGGGAGCTACAATGCCCTTGACAGACTCTGGTACTTTGGGAGGTGAGGAAGAGAGAAACATGGGAAGAAAGATCTCTAGGCATTAAAAATTCCATACTACTATTATAGTCATTAAAACCTATTTTCCAAAGCTCTGTGAATGATGTCTCATTCATAGGGCCACAACAGGAAATGCTAACTTGGAAAGATGACAGAAAGTTGTCAACCCACGATTTTCTCTACTGACTTTTCAAAAGTCTCTATGGATGTCATTCAGATCAAACACAATATATATTCAAATCTGCTATTTATTAAGCCAATTCCTGTGTCTTCACATCTATTATTTCTTTACCTTTCATAAAAACAAATCCATTAGTATTTTATTTTTTAAATATATTTTATTGAGTTTTTACAGAGAGAAAGAGAGAGGGACAGAGAGTTAGAAACATCGATGATAGAGAATCATCGATCAGCTGCCTCTTGCACACCCCCCACTGGGGATGTGCCTGCAACCAAGGTACATGCCCTTGACCGGAATCAAACCTGGGACTTTTCAATCCACAGGCCGACGCTCTATCCACTGAGCCAAACCAGTTTCAGCAATCCATTAATATTTTAAAGTCAGGGGGACTTAATAGGATGAATAAGCCCAGTAAGGAAACAGGAAGAAGAGTGTCAAAATTCTATACCCATTCTCTCATCCTCAGGATAAGGCAGAATGATTCGAGTGCCAAGACTTTGTATATATAGGCTTTTAAAATTTTATTTCTTTGAGCTCCATGGTCTTAAATGCCAGTGTGCGTAAGAAATACTGTACAGGGTTATACAGTTGACCCTCCATACCTATGGGCTCCATATCCAAGGATTCAACTAACAGGATCAAAAATGGGAGCCCAGATAGTGTGACTCAGTGGTTGAGTTTTGACCTATGAACCAGGGGATCACAGTTTGACTCCTAATATCATGGCACAGGCCTGTGTTGTGGGCTTGATCCCCAGTAGTGGGTGTGCAGGAGGCAGCCAATCAATGACTCTCTCTTCATTGATGTTTCTCTCTCCCTCTCCCTCTCTCTTCCTTTCTGAAATCAATTAAAAGTACGTATTTTTAAAAAAGTTATTTACTTCAAAAACAGATCAAATTTTATACTATACCAAAATTTTGATGTGATTCACTTTCTTCAAACTTTCTTGCAACCGTTGACTCTGTAAATAACAAAAATAAAAAACATGTTAAGTAATTCTATTACATTGACAAGAACATATTAAGAAGCAATTTTCATGAGTTCTTTGCAGGGTTGCAAAAAACGATTTTGTGCAGATAAAGCCCTGGTATCTGAAATTTATTTATCTTCTACAACTGAAACTTTGTAGCCTGGAGCGAAGCCAAGCCCCATACTTGCTCAGTGGCTGCCCTATTTGAATTTGTTTACCATCTATAATCAAAACTTTGTATCCTTGAGTGGAGGCCTAAGCCAGCCAGGGTGTGTGGAAAGCTTGGCTTCCTCTATTGCCAGGGAAACTCAAGCCTCTCAACTGCTCTCTGTGGCTGCAGCCATCTTGGTTGGGGTTAATTTGCATACTTGCTCTGATTGGCTGGTGGGTGTGGCTTTGTAGTGGAATGATGGTTACTTTGCATATTACTCTTTTATTAGGTAGGATTATATTTTAATCCTCATCTGAGGATATTTTCCCCACTGATTTTTTATTTTTTATTTTTAGAGAGAGTGGAAGGGAGGGAAGGGAGAGGGAGAGAGAGAAAAGGAGGGAGTGAAGACAGAGAAAAAAAAGAGAGAGAAGTAGCAATATGGGAGAGATACATTGACTTGCTGCCTCCATGTGCACCCCAACCAGGGCCAGGGATTGAGCCTGCAACTGAGGCATGTGCCCTCAACCAAGAATTGAACCTGAGACTATTTGGTCTGTGGGCTGACACTCTAACCACTGAACAGGGCCAAAGATTTACTCTTTTATTTTTTATTTTTTTTTTTTTTATATATTTTATTGATTTTTTACACAGAGGAAGAGAAAGGGATAGAAAGTTAGAAACATCGATGAGAGAGAATCATTGATCAGCTGCCTCTTGCACACCTCCTACTGGGGATGTGCCCGAAACCCAGGTACATGCCCTTGACTAGAATCGAACTCAGGACCTTTCAGTTCGCAGGCTCACTCTCTATCCACTGAGCCAAACTGGTTTCAGCCAAAGATTTACTTTTAAATCTATTATAACTTGATTAGGCACTACTGTAAGAGCTTTATATGCATCAATTCATTAAGTCCTCAGAACAATCCTCTGTTATATCATTATCCCTATTTACAGGTAAAAAAACAGGTATAGAGAGGTGATGTCATGCTTTTAGACTTTGGCAGGACTCTGCTCTCAAACTGAATAATTATGAGGTTTTTTGCTTTCTAAACCTCAATATCTATAATAACAGAAGGGTAATATGCAAATTAGACTGGATGTCTTCTGGACATCATTCTGGACGATCTTCCTGATGAAGCTGGGCCCCAAGGGAAGCCAGCCCGAGTCATGGGTGCCTGTGGGAGGCCAGAGGGAGGAAGCAGCCCAGGTGCTGGACGAAAGCCGGTGCTGGTAGCCAAGGGAAGGGAGGCCTATCTTGCATAAATATTTGTGCATTGGGCCTGTACTCTTATATAATAAAAGCCTGATATGCTAAGTGTCCAGTTGACCAGTTGGCCTTTCAACCATCAAAGCACAATATGCTAATGATTTGCTAAGGCTGCTCAACCACTTACTATGATGTGCCTTGGGCACCAGGGGGAAGACACTCTAACTCACATGTGTCAAACACAAGGCCCGCGGGCCAAATCCGTCCCGCCAGGCCTTGCAATGTGGCCCGCACGGCGCTGTCATCACTGCACTCCGCTGCGTTTCCATCACAATGACAGTTTATGACTGTTCAGTAAACCATTCAGCCCGCAATTTAGGCTGGATTTTAGATTTTGGCCCCTTCTCTGATTGAGTTCGACACCCCTACTCTAACTGGTAGATAAGCTTGCTGCTGGGGTCCAGACAATCAGGACTGAGCGAGACAGGCTGGGAGTCCTCCCATGGTCCCTCCATGGCTGGCAACCTCCCACATCACTCCCTGGCTCCAATTATTCATCAGTAGGGTCCCTTGGCCTGGCCTGCACCCTCTTGCAATCTGGGACCCCTCAGGGGTTGCCGGAAAGCCAATTTCAGCCCGATTCCGCAGGGCAAGCCGAGGGACCCCCATTGGTACATGAATTTGTGCACTGGGCTTCTAGTAATTATATATTTTTCAAAATTAGAACACCTCAAACAGAATTAAAATTGTCCCTCAAAGTCTTGCTATGAGAGAACTCAAGCCAGATGATGTTAAAAATGTAGATGCCATCCATAATCAACCCTAACCATCATATTCATTTACCCTCAAGGATCAGTCAGTCAAGTGGAACATTTATGCCCCTTTCTGAATCCTTTTCCACTCCGTGGCTGTCCTCTTGTGACTTTTTCCCTCATTCTATGCTGACAACAACATTCATTTAAAAATATATATATATTTTTTACTGAATTCAGAGAGGAAATGAAGAGAGAGAGAGAAACATCAATGATGAGAGAAAATCACTAAATAGCTGCCTCTTGCACATCCCCCTACTGGGGATTAAGTCCACAACCTGGGCATGTGCCCTTGACTGGAATTGAAACTGGGACCCTTCAGTCCACAGGCCAAAGCTCTGTTCACTGAGCCAAACCAGCTATGGCAGCGGTTGTCAAACTCCTTAGTTAATAGAACCAAATATCAACAGTACGACGATTTGAAATTTCTTTTGAAAGCCGAAAATCGACTTCTGCGCATGGGCCATGAAGTTTCAATTGCACTGTACGGATGCACCCGCACGTGGTATTTTGTGGAAGAGCCACATTCAAGGGGCCAAAGAGCCACATGTGGCTCGGGAGCCGCAGTTTGCTGATCACTAGGCTAGAGCGACAATACCATTCATTTTAATCAGGTTTCATATGGACAAAGATGCTGGGACAACCTCATCAGTCTCTCCTAGAACTCTCAACAAGAAACATATGCAGAGCTATTAATGCACTTGCTTATGAATCAGGAAATCCAGGCAAGGTATTGGATGGAGAGTAAATTAAATGACTGAAGTATTTTTCTGACTCTGCTTTGCCATGGAGTATTATTTGTGACTCATTTAAACTTCAGATTTCTACTCACCAGTTGGCAGGCATGCTTAATCCTCTCCACAATCCCATCAAGACCCAAGTACTGTAAAGACAACCACAGTGGCAGGGCACGAAGTTTGTCTGCTGGTTTATTTGATGTGAGACCGGCAACTAAAGTCTAAAAAAGCCAATATGAGTTTTTAAACAAAGTCAATGAAAGCATATAACAGAATTAACTAGTTACCATTTACTAGGCACTTAATATGGGTCAGATGCTATGCCAGGAACTTGGCTTGCATTATTCATTGAATCATCCAACAACTCTGTGAAGTAACTATTCCAAACAACTTAACTCAGAAACCTTGCTTTGCCCGGGGTTTCATGTCTAAGATGTGACAAAGCCAGGATGAGGATCTGAATGAGTCATATCCCAGAAAGGGAGCTCTCAGGCAACCCCTTCCAAGGTTGTTCTGATCGTCCTCAAATATGTGGTCCTTACCAATTGGACAAGACATCAACTGTTGTAGCAAGAATCACTTAAAGCTTGTTTTGCATGAGCCTGTCACTAACTGGTCACTATCAAGACCATTCCTCTACAACCTTCTAGACAAGGTGAACTAAGCACTTGCACCACTCCGACAGGAATGCCACTTCTGGGAACCTATTCTAAGGAAATAATTTGAAACACAGAAAGATGCTCATGATTTCAATAACAAAAATTTGAAAACATCCTAAAAGTTCACAAATGGAGAATGATTAAATAAATCGTGGTATTAAAGTAATAGAATATTATGTAGTCATAAGACATCATGTGTTCTTTATACACACATGGAAGTATGGGAAGAATAAGTAGAAAAAATACAGGTGGTACAGTTTCACTTCTGTTAATAATAGTTTTTGAGAGTAAAAAATTACAGAAGTGACATTAAGGGAACTTTTCACTATTTCCTTTGTTTTTCTGTGTTTTTGCCCCCAGAACCAATAATAATTATGAGCACTCCTTGTCAGTAAGAGTAAGCTTACCAAGGCAGGATCATCATGTTTATAAAGAGTAACTGCAGGAACTGCTGGCAAACCCAGCCATGGCCCTGGAGTCAATGTCATGCTATCACATTTGGTTGCAGCCTACCAAAGAGAGAACAGCTTTTTGTTAGACAATTAGAATACATGAAACCCAACACCCTCCTGCATTCGTAAAAACCACGAAAGCCACCAGGAATTAAAAGATTTAAAATTCCTTCTTTAAAACTCAATATTTGGTAAATCAACAACATACCAGCACTGACGAGGAGACATAACCCAGAGCCAATGTTGCTAGATTCACACTGGAAGAAAAAAACACACCAATCTAAGAATGACTCCTTTACTGCTTATTCACTAAGTATGCATTTTAAAAAAGAGCGAGAGCTGAAACCGGTTTGGCTCAGTGGATAGACATCAGCCTGCAGACTGAAAAATCCAAGGTTCAATTCCGGTCAAGGGCATGTACCTTGGTTGCGGACACATCCCTGGTAGGGGGTGTGCAAGAGGCAGCTGATCGATGATTCTCTCTCATCGATGTTTCTAACTCTCTATCCTTCTCTCTTCCTCTCTGTAAAAAATCAATAAAATATTTAAAAATAGCCGAAGCCGGTTTGGCTCATTGGTAGAGCGTCGGTCTGCAGACTGAAAGGTCCCAGGTTCGATTCCGGTCAAGGGCATGTACCTTGGTTGCGGGCACATCCCCGGTAGGGAGTGTGCAAGAGGCAACTGGTTAATGTTTCTCTCTCATCGACGTTTCTAGCTCTCTATCTCTCTCCCTTCCTCTCTGTAAAAAATCAATAAAATATAAAAATAAAAAAATAAAAAAATATTTAAAAATAAATAAATAAATAAAAAAGAGAGCGAGAGACTGCTATCTTTCAGCTGTGTTATTAGCTTTATAAGAGCAACAGAAAATGTGGTACCCTGTTTTCCCGAAAATAAGACAGTGTCTTATATTAATTTTCTCTCCCAAAGTTGCACTAGGTCTTATTTTCAGGGGATGTCTTATCTTACCATGCGCTAGGTCTTATTTTCGGGGAAACACGGTACATACAAATTTCAGGAATATCTTGAAAATCCATTTTAATCAAAATGTAGTTCAGGGGTATTTCCTGCTTATTTGGTGTGATGGGTCTTGTATCTCACAGCTATTACTATCCAGTCATCTTCCCCAGAGGAATAAAATAAAGAAACCTACCATGCATGATGTGCTGGGTAAGGACTACTTTGGTTACCCTGCGTCCTCTCCCCCTCTTAGCAGCACTCCAATGACTTTCTGGGAAATCACCCCAATCTCCTTTATTAGACCACAGCTTTGGGCAGAGGAGATACCACCACCGGCTCCAGAGGTGGGCAAATAACCTAAACTACATTTCCCTGGCTACAGTGATTGGTTAGATATTTTTCCTTGGGCTTCTGACCTACTGGACACAAACTGGAAAAAAGGCTGGAGCTGCTGCAGCTACTCTGGACCATAACGAGAAAGTCTATCTATAGATGAGCCAACACAAAAGATATTAAACCAAGTGATTGATGGTGGTGGTGTGGGAGAGGAGAGAATGACACACTGACTCCTGATTGATGATGTGCCTAAAGCCAATCCTAACACTGTTTTGTTGTTAGTTATATGAACCAATAAAATCTCTTCTCACTTAAGCCAATTTGGGTTTTCTTGTTATTTGCAACCCAAAGAGGCCTTAGTGAAAAATGTCATGACAAAGTGAGAACGGGGATGTCCACTCCTCATGAGCATGGTATACAGACCACTCATGGAGCCAGTCCCACCTTCCACTCACCCCTCCACATGGAGCCATATGCCATACTGCTCACAGAGTTCTTTCAAACGCCCAATCTTATCTGTGTGTCCTACCGCTGCAGTTCCTAGGATAAAGCACACACACAAAAAGATACTAAAAGGAACAAATATTTTCTGGGTCTTTAAAGCATGATTATATACATTATACCCCTGTGACTGAACATTGTATCTGTTTTATTAAGATTTTCTTGTCTAGCCAGTTTGGCTTAGTGGACAGAGCGTCAGCCTGCGGACTGAAGGATCCTGGGTTCCATTCTGGTCAAAGGCACATGCTGGGGTTTCCAGCTCGATCCCCAGTAGGAGTGTGCAGGAGGCAGCCAATCATGATCCTCAACATTGATGTTTCTATCTCTCTCTCCCTCTCCCTTCCTCTCTGAAATCAACAAAAATGTATTTTTTTTTTTTAAAGAACTTTGTGGACTGGCTTAAAATCAACTTTTGCAAATTGATGATTCAAGTTTTGAAGAGTATGTATTCTTTATTATATGTATCTATAAAAAAGCTTGTAAATTGTGTTATTTAAATCCCCTATATACTTAATTTTCTATATACATGGTTTGTTGTTTCATGAGAAGTATATTGAAGCCTCCAACCAAGATTGTAGGCTTGCCAATTTATACTTATATTCTATCAACTTTTCCTTTAGTCTATCTTTATATATTCCAAAGTTATGTTCATAAGTTTCATAACTGTTATCTCTTAAATTATATAAATTAAAATTAATATGAAGTCTACTTTATCTCACACTAACACTGCTTAAGTACTTTTGTTCTGTTAGCATTTGCCCCAGAATAGTCTGTTCTACCCTAACTTTTTGTCACTTTTGGGCTATTCTATATTTAGGTGTATACTGAATTTGAGATGTTTTCAACCAAATTTGGAGGTTCTTCATTTTAATATAGAATATGTGTTTTGAAGTAAGCTTGAACATATTAAATATTTTAACCCATCCCTTTGGTAATTAGTTTACACTATAGCTTTTATTGGGCAGATCCCTCTTCTCAGATCATAAGTAAAATACAGAGTCAAGTATTCTCCCAACTATCTTAAATTTCCAGTTAGCAGGATCCCACCTAATAAGATTTTAAATCCTTACCAACTGCCTCAACACACTCGCAAGTAACGCAAGTGGTTCTTGTTCAGGGTTTATGCTAGGAAAAGGGCTGAAAACTGTTTCCCTACATACGGGTCTGTCTCAATTAAAAAATAAAATGTTGACATAATTGTTTAGTTGAAACAACAACAAAGGCCAATGCATGGCCTGTGTCACATGACCCATCAAAACATAAAGCATAGTGCTATGTTTTAGTGACTTGACTATATTCAGATTCTCTTTTTAAGTTTCTCTGGGAGTGTCTGCTAGCTAACCTCTGCAATGTGTATTCTGGCGACAGCCGTGTAATCATATTGGTAAATCACTCAGTCATGTGTAAACTGTAGTCTCTCCCATCTATCAAATGATTGAATATGGGTGGGTTTATTTTTGAAGATATGACATGATAAATCAGGCAGGAAGTGGTGATTTTCTTACTAACAATAAGGTAGATATACATTTTTCTGTTTATTACTATTTTTTAAATACAGTTGGCTATATGTATCTGAACCCACAGATTCAATCAACTGTGAATTTAAAATATTCAGGGAAAAAATCCCAGAGAGTTCTAAAAAGCAAAACGTGAACCTGCCACACACCAAGCACTATGCTGAATGCACACAAATGAAGGGATATGGAGGCATATCCTGCTGTAGCATATATGTTATACGACTTTATACAGGGACTTGAGCACCTGTGGATTTTGGTGTCCAAGGAGAGCAGGGGTCCTGGAACTTATCCCCTCTGGCCAAGGGGCAACTCTAATTAGCTTTATTGATTGAAGTATAACTTACATGCAATAAAATCCACTCATTTTAGTGTACCGTTCAATGAATTTTGCCAAATGTATCCAGTGTGTAACCACCAACACAATCAAGGCAGAGAATACTTCCATCACCCCAAAAGCTCCTTGTATCTTCCCCCCACTCCCGAGGTGTCACTCTTTTCTCTGCTCCCCACTGGCCACAGGCCTGACTTGTTTTCTGTCACTGTATTTTTGTCCTTTTTTTTTTAGAATTTCATATCAATCATATGCTATATAACTTCTGTCTGACCTTTTGCAGTTAGCATGCTTTTGAAATTCATCCCTGTTATGTATATTAGTACTATTCCTACATACTGCTTAGCAGCCCACGAGATGGATACAACCTGTTTATCCATTCACAGGGTAAAGGACACCTGGATTGTTTCTAGTTATGAGTTCTGCATACAATTCTTTGTGTGGATATATGTGTTCTTTTCTCATTGATAAATACCTACAAATGGGACTAATGGATCATATGCTAATTTTATGTTTAACCTTTTGAGGAACTGCCAAACTGTTTTTCCAGAGGTGCTGTAACATTATCTGCTCCCTACCAGCCGTGTATGAGAGTTACGGGTGGTTTGTGTTCTCATCAGCATTTGGCACTGTATTTCTTTTTTCTTTCTCTCATTCTAGCAGATATGTAATAGTAGCTCATTGTGGTTTTAATTTATATTTCACTAATAACTAATGATGTTAAGCATCTTTTAAGAGGTTAAACATTCATATATTTTCTTTGGTGAAGTGTCTATTCAAATCTCTTATTCATTTAAAAAATTGTATTATTTGTCTTCCTAATACTAAATGGTAAAACTTATGTATTTTGATCAAGTCCTTCATAAAAAAAAAAATGTTTTGCAAACATTTCTCCCCAGTCTGTAACTTGCCTTTTCATTTTCTTAACAGGTAGTGTATCTTAAGCAGCATAAGTCTTTAATCTGTGATAAAGTCCAACTTATAGGCTCATACCTTTTGTGTCCTAAGATATCTTTCCCTAATACAAGATCACAAAGATCTTCTATATTTTCTTTAAGAAGTTTTAGTGTCATGGCTCATATGTCTAGGTCTATGAACCATTTATAATTAATTTTTGTATACAGAGTGAGGTAAAGATTAAGGTTCAATCTTTTCTCCACATGGATATCCAATTGTCCCAAGACCGCTGGTGGAAAGACTATCCTTTCTCCGTTGAATAACCTTGGCATCTTTATAACAATAAGTGATCATATAAATGTGAATCTATTCTCTTCAATTAATCACTCTCTCTTTATTAGGACTAGCTTATAATAAGTCTAAAAGTCAGATAGGTAAGTCTTCCAATTTTGTTCTTTTCAAAATTATTTTGGCTATTCTTAGATCCCTTGTATTTTCATGTAAATTTTAGAATCAGCTTATCAATTTCAGTAAGATTCACCAATTTCTACAAACTGTGCTGAGATTTTGATATGGATTAAGCTGAATCTATAGATTAATTTGGTGAGATTTAATTTAATAATATTGAGTCTTTCAATCATACACATGACATATAATTACATTCATTTGGGTCTTCTTGAATTTCTCCCAGCAATGTTTTGTAGTTTTCAGTGTACATATCTTGCACTTATTTCTTAAACTTATCCATGAAGTTCTCATTTTTTTTGATGCTATAATGAATGACATTTTAATTTCAATTGTTCATCGTTAGTATACAAAATTCTGCAATTTTAATAGATTCGATTGGTTCCAATGGCTTTTCTTTGATTTCCTTACAACTTTCTACCTGTACAATCATGCTATTGGCAAGCAAAGACATTTGATTCTTCTTTCCAATCTCTATGTTATTTAATTATTTTTCTTATTTATTAGACTGTCTAGAACAGCAGTCACCAACTTTCAGGACCTCATGGATCACCAGTGGTCCACAGACCAGTGGCTGGCAACCACTGGTCTGGAACTGCAAGTACAATGTTAAACACAATACGGTAAGTGGAGCAGCTGCTGTCTACAAGGTGCACATTTAAGTATGACGTTTCAAAATTCAACTTAGGAAAGAAGCACATGAAGAAAGGAGTAAAGAAGTTCCTTACAACCTTAATGAGAAGGTATACACACAAAAGTAGCTTCTATAACAAACCAACAATTAAAGGGAATCAAATGAGCCAACTTTACTATTATAATTCTTACCACAGAGCTCATACAGACTATATTAAGCGTGTGACACACAAACATTTCTTAAGATCTGGTCTTTTTTAGACTAAGTACTTAGCCTCTCTCTTTTATTTTCAAAATGTGAGATTCAGGTTCATGCTACCTACCAGCATTTGCAACAAGCAACAGGGGCAGTTTTCCTCGTTCAATATCATCTTTAATCAGTTTTTCCAGGAGGGCAATATCCTGAGATTAAAAGATAAATCATAAAAACATGAGGCAACCAGCATAAAAGTTATTCAGTGAGAATTACAACTTCCAAAAGAAGTACCTTACTCTCAAAATCAATCAATTCTTGACAATTTTTCTAGTTTCTCTAGTCATAGATGTTAAAATCAACTACTTTTCCTGAAGACTAACTAGAAAAATCAGTTAAATGTTATTACAGTTAAAAAGTACATATATATAGCCAACATTTTATTGTTTTAAACATGTATGTTTAAAGAAACTGTTCTCTCAACTATCAATAAAAAATATATCTCTAATCTTACTCATTAATGCATCTGAATTAACGTATAGAAAATCCAACTATTTAGAAAAAAGAAATGCAGAAACCCAAAACCTATCCTTTTGCTCTGGCTTCAGTATGCATGGGAAGATCAAAGCAATAAATGAATAAGCTAAGAATTATCTGGAGGGCAGCAAACAAAACTTCAGTTAAAAGAAAGACAGTTTCAAAACACAATTCCATATTACTTTACAAACCAAAAGGAGAACTCACCATCTGATGCTGGGATCCAAACATAGTGTTACAGGGCACACGAGACAAGCAGGGGAAGGGTAAGCCAAGCTGTAAGAAGAAGCATACAGTTTTACAAGAAAACTCCTTGTCACCATTCACTTATGCCCTCAAAGGATTCTAACTCCACCCAGCCCGTCTTGCTCAGTGGTTGAGTGAGGTCACGGTTTGATTCCTGATCAGACTAGGTACATTCCCAGGTTGTGAATTCAATCTCCAATGAGGAATATGCAGGAGGCAGCCTACTAATGATTTTCTCTTATCATTAATGTTTCTCTCTCTCTCTCCCTTTCCCTTCCTCTCTGAAATCAATAAAAATATATTTTAAAAAAAGATTGTAGCTCCAAGACAAGTCATAATTATTCTTTGTAAACAATCTCTGTCCTTAGGAAGTCTTATTATAAATAGATGTTAAAATACATCTAGAAAGCTAAGCCAAAAAAAGGGTGAATTTCCAGGAGTTGAGATGTCTTACAAGAGGCCAGAGACAATGTAAAGTTTTCTAAATTCTATATATCAAAAAACACTTACAAACTGGAAACAACTGAACCCTGAGCATTTGGGAGGATAATTTCAGGGTCCTTCCTCCAAACATTAGTAGTACCAGTTAAAGGCATTCAAAGAATACTTTATTTATGGGCCCAGCCACTCCTAAAAATCAATAAACATGGACTTGCAGAGAAATGAAGTCAGTGTTATAAAGATATCAATTGTCAGGTTTTATATTTTTCACTTTTAGCTTTCCAACCCCCTCCCCCCAACCCGGCTTCCAAATTCTTGAGGAGTTTATAGTCTTAGAAAAATTTTAACAGTTTCAGTCTATTGCTCTATATAACTAAACTTGGTAGAATTTAAAGACCAAAAATTTGCCCTAGCCAGTTTGGTTCACTAAATAGAGGGTCAGCCTAGGGACCAAAGGGTCCCTGGTTCCAGTCAAGGGCACATACCTCAGCTGCAGGCTCCTCCTCAGCCCAGGCCCTTGTCAGGGCACGTGCAGGAGGCAGCCAATCGATATGTTTCTCTCTGTCTTTCCCTCTCTCTTCCACTCTCTCTAAAAAGATTAATGGGAAAATATCCTCAGGTGAGGATTAACAACAACATCAAAATAATAAATAAAGACAAAAAATTTAACAAGCACTTTATCCACACTCATTCCCCTTAAAGGATTTATCTTTTAAATTATGAAAATGAAACACAAAGAAAACATACAATAGAGAAAGAGAGAAAAATTAAAATGCTCCACATAAAGCACCAATCTCCAGTTAACAGGTTAAAATGTAACCTTCCAGATATTTTCTCGATAAAAGTATAGTTATATATTTTTCTAGTTCTAAAAACACTCATATAAGCATGTTAACACTTTGTTGGAACATGAACACATTAATACTGTTCAGCCACTTCCTTCCTCACTTAACAGAATACTGTCACACATCTTCTGAAGATAGGACTGCTGTCCCAAGACGGCCTCAGGTCCATAAGAGCCTGGCCTATAGTAGTACTCAATAAGCAATCCCATATAATAAAGAGGTAACATGAAAATTGACCATCACTCCAACATACAAGATGGCCACCCCCATGTGGTTAAAGATGGCTGCCCTCGGGTGGATACAAGATGGCTGACAGGGGAGGGCAACTGTGGGCCATCAGGCTAGCAGGGGAGGGAACTTGAGAGGGACCAGGCCTGAAAAGGAGGGCAGTTAGTGGTGACCAGGCCTTCAGGGGAGGACAGTTGGGGGGACCCAGGCCTACAGGGGAGGGCAGTTGGGGGGAACCAAGCCTGCGGGGGAAGGCAGTTGCGGGGGGACCAGGCCTGCAGGGGAGGACAGTTAGGGGAAACCAGGCCAGCAGGAGCAGTTAGCAATTAGGGGCAATTGGGCTGGCAGGGGAGGGCAGTTAGGCGTCGATCAGGCTGGCAAGGGAGTGGTTAGGGGGTGATCAGACTGGCAGGCAGAAGCAGTTAGGGGCAATCAGGCAGACAGGCAGGCGAGTGGTTGGGAGCTAAGAGTCCTGGATTGTGAGAGGGATGTCCCAGATTGGAGAGGATGCAGGCTGGGCTGAGGGACACTCCCCATCCCCCGTGCATGAATTTCATACCCTGGGCCTCTAGTTTATTTCATGTTTCTATATGGATATTACAAAACCCTACCCCCCCCCCCTTTTTTTTACACCCTCAAGAAGAGTACATTTCTTGCTACTAGTGAGCACAGCTCTAAATCAACTAAGTCCTTGAATTTCATTCATCTATCTCTCCAGGGGTTCTTCATCTTAAAAAAGAAAACCCTTAAAATGTTAAGGTTTTGCCTTAAAAACATTATTGGTCAAGAGATTTCATTTCTTTTCTCAAGGTAGCCCCCTAATTGGACTATGTGCACTATGAACTTTAAGAATGGAAATAATGCTCTTTGATCTAGTAATTCTAGATTGACTCTGAAAGTCTATCTGAGAAATATAACCCTAAATACAGACAAAGTTCATGCACAAAGATGTCCATAATAGCACCATGTATAATAGCACTGGTCACAGAAATAGTCACAGAAAGCAAAAGGATGCAAACACTCCATTTGTCCAAAAGGGAAGCAGTCAGTTAAAATACCACTATACACTCACTATATATTATGAAGACATTAAAAATAAGCTTTACTTTCCCTAACTGGTTTGGCTCAGTGGACAGAGTGTCAGACTAAGTACTGAAGGGGCCCAGGTTTGATTCTGGCTAAGGGCACATGCCTGGGGTGCAGGCTTGATCCCCAGTAGGGGGCATGCAGGAGGCAACAATCAATGATTCTCTCTCATCATTGATGTTTTTCTCTCTCTCCAGCTTCTCTGAAATCAATAAAAAAAATATTTTTAAAAAAGCTTTAAAGATATGCATCTATTAACTGAAAAAAGTCAGATATAACCATGTAAAGTCTTCGATTGAAGTCTGGAAAGAAAGACTGATTGACTTTGGGTAACTAAAAAATTACATATCTAAATTCATTAATATACAATTACATGTTTTCTTATAATGACAAAACAAGCATATAAAGAACTCATCTTTCTTTTCATTTGAAAAGAAAATCAGCTAAAGAAATGGGTCTACACACTTTTAAAAGTTCCAGGATAGAACGAAACATCTAATCTTTAAAATGTCCACCTTACGCCACATTACCTGATTACAAAGATACTGGGCCAGGCCAGGCCTAGCAGCAGCACTAAGATATATGACAGGTTTCTTGTTATACAACACATTGAACCCATCCACCACAAAGTCTTCATAACGAGAATGAATGGCAAGTCTACAGATCTTTGCAAGTCCTTCTCTTTCATCTTCATGGAAATAAGCACAGCCATTTTCATACCTGTTAAGAGACACCCATATATTAATATGTTCTTATCTCTGGTTAACTCTGATTTTATATTCCAGTTTTGTAATCAAGGAAGTAATTATTTTCTCATCCTAAAAACTGTCACCTAGATCAGTTAAAGGAGATAGGAATCACCCTAATTTCTGATGGTTGACAACTCCTTACAGTTGACTGTTATAAGGAACAGTGACCCTTTGTCAGGGTCATTATAAGGACAATGACCCTTTGTCCAGCCCCAACTCCATAAAGAGAAGCAACAATTAAAATCAGCAGAGAACAGGAAGTTCCTCAAATATATAAAGGCTGATCATGGTTTTGGCTTATCCTACGAGGAGGCTAGTACTGGGTAATGCAGGCATGGTTCCTGGAAGAGTTTTAGCCTTAAAACATCTACAGTAAATAGAACTGTCAATAACACTGGTCAGGCTAACTATTATCTACATGGACCCTTTTATTCTTCTTAATCTCCTAGAGAGGAAGGGAGAGAGACTTTCAATTACAGGTATTAGATTTTTATTATAACGGAAGAAAATTTCTTCTTTACAATATAGTTAAGCAAACTTATACTCAAGCCAGGCCAACCTCTTTCCCAACATCTGAAAGTGGGTCTCCCAAGTTAAATGTTCCGATGTTAGGCAAACATTTCTTTTCCATAAAAGAAATAACAGAAATACAACTGGTCCAATGTCTTCTGCTGAATCCTTCACTTGCTGTAATTCCTTAATAAGAACATCATTATCACAGTATAAAGCAAATTTCAATTTCATAACACACACTCATCTTCCCTCTGACAGCATTTCCTTTCTACTAAAGCACAGGCTACTTTGATTAAAAATATTTTAATATGTTTCACTGCTCTACCTTCTATTGACATGTGCCAATAGCAATTCTTAAAATAAGGAACTGCTGACATTATCCAACATGCATGTGCTTATGTTCTGAGCTGTTTACATGTATTAATTCATTAGCTCATTTAATCCTCACAACAATGCCATAATATAGACATTAGTACTACCCCCATTTAGTAATGTGGAAACTGAGGCATGAACAGGTTAAGCAACCCTTCTAAGAGGAAGGGAAAGAGGCATATTTGAACATAGGTAGTATAGCTTCAAACAACATATACCCAACTCATTAATTATCTTTATTGGAAACAAAAGACTCATAATGTCTTTACCTGAAAATTCTGCACAGCCATAAGGTAGTGTCTGAAAATATCCTAGTTGTAAGTTTTCTCAGCCTCTCTTTGTCCAGAGTTGAAATATAAGCTCCCAGACTATGCCCCAAAAGAGCTATATGACCTTGTTCTCCAATATTCTGGATTCTGTTAATCAAAATTCATTAGATTAAAAAAAGGCTTAGTAAAAATATTAAAAAATAAAGCTTTGAGAGACAGCATTCCAAAGAAATTTCTTTTCTTTCTTTTTAAAACCTCATCCAAGGCTATACATACATTTTAAAAAACATATTTTATTAATTGATCTCAGAGAGGAAGGGAGAGGGAGAGAGAGATAGAATCATCAATGATGAGAGAGAATCATTGATCAGCTGCCTCTTGCTCGCCCTACACCGGGGATCAAGCCTGCAACCTGGCATGTGCACTAACCGGAATCAAACCGTGACTTCCTGGGTCATTAAGTCGGCGTTCAACCACTGAGCCATGTCTGCTGGGCAATATATACACAATTTTTAATCCTCACCCAATGATGAATATCTATATGTAATTGATTTTTAGAGAAAGGAAGAGGGAGAAGGAAGGGGGGAAGAGAGAGAGAAAGAGATAGGCAGAAGGAAACATTGATGTGAGAGAAAAACATTGATTGGTTGTCTTCCAGATTAAACCCACAACCTAGGTATGCCCTGACTGGAAATTGAACCAGCAACCTCTTGATATGGGATGACACTCCAACCAACTGAGCCACCCCTGAAGGGCCCACAGAAATTTCTGTCAGACTGAAAATCCACTTAATGGTTTAGGGCACAAATTCAGATAAATTTAGAAAATTCAATGCCTATAAAGTATTGACAATCTGAGGAAAAAATATTTTAAATACTAATTCCTAGGAGATAAATATCCTTTTTTATTGAATATCTACTAAATGAACAAATTGTGAGTAATTTTCTCCTAAATTTTTTTCTTAAAACTAAATACCAGCCATAAGAACTTTGTGGGGTAAAGCTAAATATGTAGAAAACCATTGTTTAAAGTATCATTACATGAAGATCAATTCCCCTCATTAGCTATTTATAACAATAATTTAGCAAATTCAAGGTAACTAGGTATTGTTTTGTATATAATTTAAATGTATGGACTAATTTCCTGTATAAAAAATAAGTCAATTTTAAAAGGTCAAAAAATCAGCCAAAACCGGTTTGGCTCAGTGGTAGAGCGTCGGTCTGCTGACTGAAAGGTCCCAGGTTCGATTCCGGTCAAGGGCATGTACCTTGGTTGCGGGCACATCCCCGGTAGGGGGTGTGCAAGAGGGAGCTGGTCGATGTTTCTCTCTCATTGACGTTTCTAGCTCTCTATCTCTCTCCCTTCCTCTCTGTAAAATATCAATAAAATATATTTAAAAAAAATAAAAATAAAAGGTCAAAAAATCAAACAGGATACAGTTGATAGAAAAGGAAATATAACTGGATTTTAAAAGATGCGAAAAGATACTTAACCTGGTTACTAAGAGAAATGCAAATTAAAATTATGCTGAAATATCATTTCTCACCTATCAGACTGGCAATAACCCTTAAGTCTAACACTCTTACAGGCAAACATGTGGGGAACAAGGTACTCTCATACTGGTGGGACCGTGAACTGGCACAGATTCCATGGAAGAAAATTTGACAATAGCTATTAAAATTAGAAATACACAAACTATCTTGCCTAGGGATCCCACTTTAGAACTTTAATCTCCAGAAATATTTGCTTCTCTAAGAAATGATACATATACAAAGTTAATGGCTGCAGCAATATTTATAAAAGGAAACTAGTTAAATAGAATATGGTTCATCCATTCAAAGTAAAATCAAACAGCTCTTTTTAAAAAATATATTTTTTTTATTGATTTCATAAAGGAAGGGAGAGGGAAAGATAGAAACATCAATGATGAGAGAGAATCATTGCTTGATTGCCTCCTTCATGACCACTACTGGGGATTGAGCCCACAACCCGGCATGTGCCCTTGACTGGAATCGAACCCGGGACCCTTCAGTCTGCAGGTAGATGCTCCATCCCCTGATCCAAACAAGCTAAGACCAAATAGCTCTTAAAGGAGAAAACTCCTTGTGTATTCATATGCAATGAACTCTAAGACATAAATTAAAAAAGCAAGGTACAAAACAATGTGTGTGTACAGAATTTGTGTAATGTTTGGAGTAAGGACATTTTGCTTGTGTACACATATAAAATATCTCTGAGAAATACAAAATTGTCTGTCTCTAAGGAAGAGAACAATATAGAGAGGCTGAGGTAAGAAGGAAAACTGCCTTTGTATACCCTTTTATCTTTGAAATTTGAGCCAGAAAAATGCATTACTTATTCTAAAAAAATAAATTTAAAAGAATTAAAGATAAAATGAAACTGAATAGCTAAATAGATGAAAATAAAGCAAATGGATGATTCACAAGAATGCCCTGCTACCAATCAATTCAGCTGCAGCAATTCTTAGCAAGCAGAAGCACAAGTACAGGAGCAGAAGCCATCAGAAGTAGAAAAGTGCACAGCAATTGTTCTTTGGTCCTTTTGCCAGCCCCTCGCAAAGATGATACCATTAAAAATGTAGGATTTAGGGTTAGCAAATGCCTTCCCCTTTTATAAAATACATTATGTAAAATATATAAATGTTTCTCTGAAAAGAAAAAAAATGAACATCCTCTTAATATCATATGAATGAAACATAGCTTATCATTTCAGCAACTTGCAAGAATGCAATCACTTTCAAAATCAAGAACACATAATACTGTCTCAGAGAAGCTGTCAACCGTTCTCCATTACCGGGCACCCTGGGGCTCCTCATCTTCATCTCCGTGCATCAGATTCTGAACTAACTGGAGGATGCTCACCATATCTTGTCCACTGCAGAATAAAAGAAAGACTTGATGGACAGGTGGAAATAGCACATATCCCCCACCACTCCATCCTCTCATCCAAACTAGCTTTGATAAGTTTTTGTGAGTAAGAATATGATTGAGATACAGTATACATCTTTTTTAAAAAAAACTCTCAAATTATTAACTGGAATCTTGAATACAATCTTACTTGTGATTAATTAAATCTTATACTTAAATCTGAGATTGAAAATTTTGAAAAATATGTTATTGCTTTTTTTACAGAGAGGAAGAGAGAGGGATAGATAGTCAGAAAAAACAATGAGAGAGAAACATCGATCAGCTGCCTCCTGCACACCCCCCACTGGTGATGTGCCTGCAACCAAGGTACATGCCCTTGACCGGAATCAAACCCGGGACCTTTCAGTCCGCAGGCCGATGCTTTATCCACTGAGCCAAACTGGTTTCAGCTGAAATTGAAATTTTTAAATTTCACCAATATTGCTTAAGAAATATTTATCTACCTGTTCATTTGAATCCTGGAAAATAAGCATGTCATAAGAGCCAAAATAGACCTTATAAGATGCTGAAGGTCACAGAAAAAGCAAGAATACTCCAATGTCACTAGTAAATCTAGTTTCCCACCATGTAGGCATCTTGTCTGCTGTTCTAACAGACTTAAACATGTAATGCAAGCATCATTTTTACCACTTCTTCCCCAAAATGGGAAACTGGAGATCTGCTTGAGTATACCAGTAAACAGATTTACTTCTATTCAAGATAAGTTACTATTATCACATGAGGTGGTGAAAACTTCTGGGAAGAAAGTGAATGACTAATGTATTTAGCAATGTCAAATTGAGCACATGTAATGTGAAAATATTGCTCCATTAACAAGATTATGACTAATAAAAAGTTCTCTCTTCTGAAAAAGCAGCACTGTCAAAACAATGCCCCAATACCCATCCTCCCCAAGGTGCTGACATTCACAGCAGAGGGGCCCTGGTCCTTGGACACAGTGCAGAAATTTCCTACCGTTGTCCCAATAATGTAAAATAAAATGAATCATATACTTAAAAGTTATGACTTAAATTTATATTACAAATGATATGCTGTATACCTAGCCAAAGGACTTGAGCAAGCTATTGAAACTCCCTAAGTCATTAAGAAATTGTGAGGATGCAATCAGACAGTGTATGTAAAGCATTTAAGGCTATGCCTGGCATAGTGCTATCTCAGATGCTGGCTATTAACACTAAGTGTGAATATGCCTGGCCAGTAGCATTAATGCCCTCTCATTCTGAGAATTACAGATGGTCTTGGTGGTATCTCTTCTGGGAAAACTGTGGAATCAGTAGAACTCTTTAATTCCCTTCAGGAAATTTAATTCCCTGAGGAGATTTATAGGATTTGGTTTCTGTTCTGACCTGTAAACAACACTGCATGCACAGATTTAAATTGAGAAGGCTTCAAATCAACACCATTCAAGCCCAGCCCATGTGGCTCAGTGGTTGAGTGTTGACCCACAAATCAAGAGATCACCAGTTCAATTCATAGCCAAGGCACATGCCCAGGTTGCAGGCTCAATCCCCAGTAGGGGGTGTGCAGGAGGCAGCCGATCCACGATTCTCTCTCATCATTGATGTTTCTGTCTTTCTCTCCCTCTGCCTTCTTCTCTCTGAAGTCAACAACAACAACAACAACAACAACAAATTCAGCACCATTTAAGCTACAAGTAGGAGTGCCTATTTTAATATTGGTATCTGGGTGTGTTAGTTGTGACATTAATGGCACATTGTGATCCTTCCCTTCCTCCTCACTTCCCTTTGGCAACCTTATATTTATATTCAGGTCAAAGGACAATTTAAGGGTGTTGTAATGTTTACCTATGTGCAGTTTCCTGGTTATAAAAAAAAGCTTGTATGAAGGAACCTTGCATGAAATTTAATTACAAACTGAGTACTAACATTCTGTGAAAATTTTAGATACTTATTTTTCTGTCATTTTTCCTGTTAGTTCAAACCATAAACACTAGACAAATTTGTTTTCATTGTTAAAAAAGAAATTGCACCAAAACCGGTTTGGCTCAATGGATAGTGTCGGCTTGGTGACTGAAGGGTTCTGGGTTCGATTCTGGTCAAGGGCATGTACCTTGGTTGCGTGCATATCTACAGTAGGGGGTGTGCAAGAGTCAGCTGATAGATGACGATCTCTCATCGATGTTTCTAACTCTCTATCTCTCTCCCTTCCTCTCTGTACAAAATCAATAAAATATATTTTTTTAAAAAAAGGAAATTGCTGTCAATAAATGGTTAAAGTTGACATTTTCCTTTAATTTTACTGTATTATAAAAATAATAAATCTTATCAAATTAAAATATCCCTCATAATAATGCTCAGTGTACCATGCAGATTACAGGTTTCAAAGATAAATTAAGTATGATATTCAACTCATAATAATAAATTTGTGCACTACTTTTGATTCATGATGTTGTGTTAAATTCTTTATAGGAAAGGGGAAGAAGCAGACAGGCTTGGCATTATCACCAACCAGACAATGGCATTTCAGTTTTCTACTTGTTACATTGCTTATAACTCTAAATTTGCTCTTTGTTCAGTAACACTAAAATTGTAAACCAATGATGGTAAAATCTTGGTTTAAAGAAAATGATTACCCAAACTAAAAGTACTTATCTTTATTTTCACCTACCTGCCTTGGAGTGGCCCTGGAATATCCCCTGATAGTTTTTTTCCATTTTCCTCCTCTGTTCTTCTAATTTAAAGGAAAATTAAAAATTATTAACTTTATCATATCAAATTTTTACCATTTGAGCATGCAAGCATGTGATGATCCTATATAATAAAAGCCTAATATGCTAAATGCCCAGGTGACCAGTCAGCCATTCAACCAAGCAAAGAGTAATATGCTAATGATATGCAAAGGCTGCTCACCCACTCGCAATGACATGCACTGACCATCAAGGGGCAGTCAACTGGTTGACCAGTTGCTAAGATGTGCACTAATCACCAGGGGCAGACACTCTGACCAATAGGTTAGCTTGCTGCTGGGGTCCAGCAGATTGGGACTGAGAGAGATGGGCCCGACAGGCCCTGGAGCTTCTGGAACCTCCTGTGGTTTCTCCCTTAATGGCCAACCTCCCCCGTCCCTCCCCAGCCCTGATCATGGACTGGTGGGGCCCCTTGGCCTGGCCTGCACCCTCTCGCAATTCGGGATCCCCTGGGGGATGTCAGAGAGCCAGTTTCAGCTTGATCCCACAGGCAAGGCCAAGGGATCCCACTGGTGCACAAATTTGTGCACTGGGCCTCTAAATTATCTATAATCTCTTAGTAACTGATGTAGAATTTAAAACACTTTTATCACATCTCTCCCTCCCTTCTCATCCCTTGCCCCAGCCACCAATTTGGGGTATAATTTGAGTTTCAGGAAAATAACATGAAACTCATTTCTTGGTTAGTTGATGCTTTATATGACCTTAATTTACAATAAGAAATCCTTAGTTTCAAATCAATATATTAAGTTAATTAAGCTCTTAATAGGCAGAATTGAAAATTATAAGTCCTGCCCCTCAATTTAAGAATCCTTTAATTACAAAGCATCTTATACCCAAAACAAATACCAAGTTCAAAGTCAGCAGAAGCTAAGTGTGACATTCTGAAACCCAGAGGTGTTTATAACAGCAGGAAACCAGTACCACCAGTTTCATAACAGACTGAACATGTTTATAACAAGGTCATTTCTGTTCCACAGGCTCACCTCTGACTGTCCTCTAGCATCTTCATAGCTTCCTTCAAGTTTTTTCCCATTTCAGCTAACGTAGGATCTGCTATCTAGGAAACAAATTTTTTAAAGGTTCAACTTTGATTAATCCCTACTACTTCTAAAACACAATTCACCCAGAAAAACAAAACACTTAAATTTATTATAAAGTAATATTTAAAAATGCCAACAGCATAGCCTGGCAGGCACGACCCAGGCCACATGGTTCAGTGGTTGTGTCGACCTATGAACCAGGAGGTCATGGTTTCAATTCCCAGTCAGGGCACTTGCCTGGGTTGAAGGCACCGATCCCCCCAGTGTGTGTGTCAACCAACCGTGTCTCTCCCCCTCCCTTCTACTCCCTCTAAAAAATAAATGGAAAAATACCCTTGGGTAAGGATTAACAGCAAAAAAGTCCACCAGTTCCTCTCCCCAGGGAAATCCACTTTAAGTTTGATATTTTTCTTTCCAAATTTTTACCTTACTTATCTGCACCTCTGCAACTTGCTTCTTTTTCTTTTACTTTATAGTGAATATGGTTCCATGTCAGTATGTCTATTTTATTTTTTTTAGTGCTGACTCCATATTCCATTCTATGGATGTCCCATCATTTAACCAGTCCTGAATTAATAGGTTATTAATTTGGGTTATTCCAGTTTTTCACTCTTAGAAGGTTCAGAAAAGTGAATAGTATGCTGTTTATTTTATTGTTGCAGTAGGCTGAAAAATGGCCCCTCAAAAGTTATGCAGACCTAAACCCTGGAACTTATAAATGTTACCCTTTATTGCAAAACTTTGCAGATATGATTAGGTTAAGGCTCTTGAAAGGTCAAGATTACCCTGAATTATCCAGGTGGGCCCTAAATGCAATCACATGTACCCATATAAGAGAGAAGTAGAGGATGACTAAACATGCACACACTCCCACACACAAAAGCTATGTCAAGATAGAGCAGAGGGAGATACGAAGATGCTTGCCTCAACACTGGAGTGATGGGGCCACAAACCAAGGAAGGCGTGCTGGCAGGCAACATAAACTGGAACAAGAAAAGAAGGAACTATCCCCTAGAGCCTCTGAGGTAGTGCAACAGCCCTGCCAATGGCTTGATTCAGCCCAGTGATGCAGACTTCAAATTGTGGGCTCCAGACTGTGACAGAATTCATTTCTTTTATTCTAAGACACCCAGTTTGTGCTAATTTGTTACAGCAGCCACGGGAAACTGAGACACTCATAAATCTCTAAGTTCTCTATAAACTCTAGAAGCTCACACAAGCTGCCTCCAGAGAAGAGAACTGAAAGATGAGCCTAGAAGTCAGGGGGAGGCTTTTTAGTCCAGACCCTTTCGTTTCTTTTGGATTTTAGTATCAAGGGTACATCTATCTCCAATCAAAAAATAAAACAAAATTTTAAAAATTCATGCAGAAGTAAAACAAACACATCCCTTTTCCCTTTTTTCTTCTTAATCTCCATAGCATTTTTATTGCCTTGAATCTCTATATAGTGTCAGCTGGTTATAAACACTTATAGAAGCTGTCTTATTCTGCTCTGAGTCTTCTTTCCTTATCTTGCCTGCGGTATGCAGTAGTATCTTATTCGGAATAGGTGTGCAGTAAGTTGAATTTGGTTTTACATTACCTCCTCACTGTGTGCCCTACTGCTACAACTCAGTTCCTCCACCTGAGTCTCTCTTTATAGCACACACTCATTCAGTGGACTGGCTCACATTTAAATTGTTCTTTCTATTCTCGTTTAGGAATTGAAGAGGGGAGGAGGGAAGGAAGAGGAAAAACATTTACAATTAAATCTGAGTGAATTCCATGTGAATATGATTTGCCTCCAATGCTGTAAACACTCATGTGTTTGCTGTATTAACTGGATATCCAAAATATAAAATGTTATCTAGTTGCAGAAAAATACTAATTCTAAGTCAAGAAGTGCTCTAAGAAAAAATATATATTTACTACTTGGTTCCTTAAAACTAAAAGCCATGCCTCCATAAGCTTGGAGGGTAGGCAGCCACTACTTGCCTATTTATAGTTTGTATCCACAGTACCTGTTACAGTGCCAGACAATGTATACAAGAGATTGATAACGCATGCTTGGAAACTGAGAAATTTTTCTAAGTGATTGTAGAGCGAAGTGTGACAACAAAAAAAATCACACATTTACTTTCACATGAATAGGGCTAAAAATAATAACAAACTCTGAATTAAGACATTACTTGTTTATTTTATTTTTTTAAAGGAAAGGAGGGGTTCAGGGTGGCTAGACAGTAGCATCAGAAAGCAGATCTAGGGTGCACTGAAAAGGGGCACAAGGGAGAGTTGAGAGTTGCATGAGTATCAGAATCCAGGATTAAACTTGTTTAGAAAGTTGTTGGAGGCACAGAAATTTGTAGCTTTATTGGATCACTTTGATCAGTTGAAGAAAGGTAGTGATTTTTTTTTTATACATCTAATACATACATTGTAAGCTAGCATTTAGTAACACCAAGGTCTGTCTGAGATGAGCAACTGGTAGGTAGTTAGTCTCACACATTTTAGTTTTTCTTCTGTCAAAAGTCCTGGAACCCCGTCCCCAAATCCTATTATTTTCCTCCTAGATGAAAACATAAACCATGCCTACTATCCAGCACTACCCTGTTTCCCTGAAAATAAGACAACGTCTTATATTAATTTTTGCTCCCAAAGATGTGCTAGGTCTTATTTTCAGGAGATGTCTTATTTTTCCATGAAGAAGAATACTGTATACATTTATTGTTAAATGAAAATAAAGGAAATTTATTACCTGTATACGGTACGGTAGTACGGTAGTTGTCAACACAAACCAGACAAACTGTGAATCCTACAGTATCAAGAATTTACTCATTTATTCAATGACAATCATGTCATCATCTTTTGGAACATCATCATAACAATCCAATTCCTGAATTTCCTGGTGAATTTCTTGTGACTCTATTTCTTTCAGAATCAGTGGACCAAATCTCTCATGTTTAGCCTAGGGGGGCCTTATTTTTTGGGGGATGCCTTATATTTCACTCAGAAGGAAACCTGTAAGTAGGTCTTATTTTTGGAGGATGTCTTATTTTCAGGGAAACATGGTAGTACCCCAAATGTTACTCAGCTTGAGAAGCAACGAGAATGCAGCAGTAGCTGCTCTAGGAACATAGCTGTTCCTCATGTGTCAAAGATGAGAGAAAATAACAGGAATTCTCTGGAAAGTTGATATAGTGCCTTGCAAACCTGGCTACCTTATAGAGGCTCAATTTATACATATTTTTGCCTGATTCAACAGAAAAGTATTTACTTAAGAACTGGGTACTTTTGTCTCTATCTTCTAAGAACTGGATATTCTTTAAAAATCTTATTTTTAATTTTCATGGACTCTGTGCTTGAGTGTGTTTATGAGAATGTGAAGACACTGTAATTACTGGTTCATTGAGCATCATAATATTCTTAGTTGAAAAAGATATGCAAATATTGCATAAGATGCTAGTATCTAACCTTATGAATTCCTCAAAAAGAGAGGCAGATGATTGAAGATGTTAACTGGAGCCCTTTAATGAGAAAATAAAAGTTTAAAATTAAAAAAAAGAGAGAATAATAATTTAAAAAAAAAAAGAGAGAGGCAGAAAAGAATATGGAAAAAAATATACAACAGAAGTAAAAATCTAGTAGAGGTAAGGAGGCAGCAAAGTCAGTAACATTGCTCAAACCTGTCATAGAAGTATGTGGAAGGGAAAATAAAAGGGCATTCAAATTACTCGCCTTAAAATATGTGCTGGGAATGCCTCTATCTCTGGAGAATTAATTCATTTAGACATATCATGAGTAAATGCTTCCCAGTAACTATACAGATGAAAAAATAAACACATCAGGCAAGCTCTATTTCAAAACATTCATGAGCTTATCTGGAATCACACACTTTTTCTGGAATAAAAACAAAATTGCTTAAAAAAAAAAAGCATGCTACAAAAGGAGGCATGAACATACAATGGAGTCAAGATAGTCTCTTTAATAAATGGTGTTAAGAAAATTGGACAGATACATGCAAAAAAGTGAAACTAGATCACCAACTTACACCATACACAAAAATAAACTCAACATGGGTATAGGACTTAAACATAAGACGGGAAACCATAAAAATACTAGAGGAATCCATGGGCAGCAATATCTCAGACATATGCTGAAAGAACTTCTTCACTGATACTGCCCCTAGGCCAATGGAAGCTAAAGAGAAAATAAACAAATGGGACTACATAAAAATAAAAAGCTTTTTTTTTACAGCAAAGGAAACGATCAACAAAACAGCAAGAAAGCCCACTGTATGGGAGAACATATTTGCAAATGATAACACTGATAAAGGTTTAATCTCCAACATCTATAGGCAGCTTATACAACTTAAAAAAAGGAAGATAAATGACCCAATAAAAAAATGCGCAATGGACCTAAATAGAATCTTTTCAAAAGAAGACAAAAGGAAGGCCAAGAGACACATGAAAACATGCTCAAAGTCACTAATTATCCGAGAGATGCAAATCAAAACAACAATGTGGTACCATCTCACACCTGTCAGAATGGCTATTATCAACAAATCAACAAAAGACATGTGCTGGTGAGGATGCGCAGAAAAAAGAACTCTCATGCATTGCTGCTGGGAATGCAGACTGGTGCAGCCACTGTGGAGAACAGTATGGAGTTTCCTCAAAAAAAAAAAGAAAAAACAAGAAAAGAAAGAAATGGAACTCCCATTTGACTCAGTGAGCCCACTCCTAGGAATATATCCTAAGAAACCAGAAACACCAATCAGAAAGGATATATGCACTCCTAAGTTCATAGCAGCACAATTTACAATAGCTAGGATTTGGAAACAGCCTACATGCCCATCAGCAGATGATTGGATAAAAAACTATGGTACGTCTACACAATGGAATACTATGCTGCAGTAAAAAAGAAGGAATTCTTACCATTTGCAGCAACCTGGATGGAACTGGAGAACATTATGCTAAGTGAAATAAGCCAGTCAATGAAAGAAAAATATCACATGATCTCACTCATTTATGGATAATAA